TAATTAAATACGCATGAATTCATTTTGAGGACTGCCCACTGGAATAGTATGTGCCCGGTGTTGTAGTGGCATCTCTAGTGTCTATCTCACTCATGTGCTAAGAATAATCGCCCAGGGGTCGCAGGAGCAGCAGTTTCAGCAGGGACTCCCAGATTTCCTTCAACCGAGACACTTCCGGGGAGATCCCAGAGGAGCCAAGAGACATAGTCCCTCGATCATTTCCTGGGTCTTCCCCAGGGCCTCCTTCCAGTGGGACATGCTTGAAACACCTCCCCAGGGAGGTGTCTAGGAGGCATCCAGAACAGATGCTTGAGCTACCTCAGCTGGCTCCTCTCGACATGAAGGACCAGCAGCTCTCCTCTGAGCTTCTCACTCTATCTCTAAGGGAGCTGCAGAGGAAACTCATTTCATCCTCTTGTATCTGCGATTTGTTCTTTCGGTCATTACCCAAAACTAATGACCATAGATGAGGGTAGGAATGTAGAGTGTTCAGTAAATCGAAAGCTTTACCTTTCAGATTCGCCTGTCAATCTCCTCCATCATCCTCCCCTCACGTGTCAACAAGAGATAGTGAGATACTGAGATACTTGAACTCCTCCACTTGAGGCAGGACCTCTCCACCCACCTGGGGAGGACACCTTATTCCGATTGAGAACCATGGCTTTGGATTTGGAGGAGCTGATTTTCATCCCAGCCACTTCACACTCTGCTGCAAACCGGCCCAGTGCATGCTGCAGGTCCTGGTTCGATGGAGACATTAGGACAACATCATCTGCAAACAGCAGAGATGAGATCCTGTGATCCCCAAACTGGACCCTCTATGGCCCCTGACTACGCATAGAAATCCAGTCCACAAATACAATCAACAGAACCGGTGACAAAGGGCAGCCCTGGTGGAGTCCAACATGCACCAGGAACAGGTCTGACTTACTGCCAGCAATGCGATCACAGATCCTGCTCCGGTCATACAGGGACTAGACAGCCCTTAGCAAAGGGCCCCAGACCCCATACTTCCGGAGCACCCCCCAAAGGACACCACAAGGGACAAAAAGGAGATTGCCTTCTTCAGATCCAGAAAGCACAGGTGGACTATTTGGGCAAACTCGCATGAACCCTCAAGCCGGCAAAGGAGAGTGCAATGTCAAGAGACGGGATGAAAAACACACTGCTCCTCCTCAATCCGAGGGTTGATTCTCGGTCAGAATTCCACCCCGGTCCGTTAGTCCAGAGGTACTGTCCCCGACCGCCACGCGATGTTGCAGATACGTGTCAGCCAAGACAGCCCCCCAGCATCCAGAGACTTAAGATATTCGGGATGGATCTCATCCACCCCCAGAGCCTTGTCACCAAGGTGCTTGCCACCCACCTCAGTGAGTTCAACCAGCGTGATGGACAACTCTGCCTCCAAGTCCCCAGCCTCTGCTTTCTTCTCAGAAGACATGACAGTGGGATTGAGGAGATCCTCAAAGTATTCCTTCCACCATCCAAAAACATCCCCAGTCGAGGTCAGCAGCTCTCCACCTGCATTGTAAACAATGTTGGCGAAGCACTGCTTCCCCCTCCTGAGACGTCGAACGGTTTGCCAGAATTTCTTTGAGGCCGAGCAATAGTCCTTCTTCATGACCTCCCCAAACTCCTTCCAACTTTTGTCAGTACCTGTCAATTGCCTGACGGCATCCCTTACTTCCAGCATCCACCACTGGGTTCAGGGATTGCCGCCAGGCACCACAGACCTTACGACTACAGCTATGACTGACCACATTGACAACAGAACTCGAGAACATAGCCCACTTGGACTCCATGTCCCCAGCCTCCCCCAGAATCTGGTAGAAGCTCTCCTGGAGATGTGAGTTGAACGTCTGACAGAGGGCTCTGCCAGATGTTCCCAGCAAACCTTCACTATACGTTTTGGTCTGCCAAGTCTTTCTGGTTGACAGCTCTGCCCCTCTCTTCACCCGATTGTCCAAGACATGCGGCTGAAGATCAGATGACACGACGAGAATAAAACATTTGTAATTTAATTCTGTTATCTGCAATATTGGTGATATTGGTCCATTACTGAAAATTTTGTCAATATTTGGCACCAATATTTTTTCTGTACTATACTAGTCAGTCTGTGTGTGCCTTTGTGTCAGTCCAAGTTTGTCCTCAGTGCATCAGATCTGTCCTTTAGAGCAGACTAAATGAGAGAAAATATGAATTTATATCTCAGGTAAAATAAAATGTTGTTATTATTTTTACAAAACTGAAAACTTATTTTGTAAACTACACTTTTACTTAACATGAATTTGGTCTGTATTATAGATTTTAAAAGCTCATAATATTGGTATAGGCAAAGGTTATCGGCCACAACAGAATTTATTTTATATAAATATTGATATCGGCTCAAAAAATATACTGAACCATTCCTAACTTAAATCACTGTAACTGACATACGTTTAATGACATACTGTGGAGCATGTGGATCAAGTAACAACACATTTATGGAGACAGAAAAACGCTTTTTGTGTATTTTATGTTGACGTCATGTTCGGCATATTCCAAATAAATCAAAACCAACTTTTTATTTTTTACAGTTGCACCTGGGCTGATGTATTTTGTTCAACAGCATCAACTGACAGTGTAATGTGAAATATAAATGATCAGGTTTAACTCTGTGGATTGTATTTTTTGGATATTTCAATTCTTATAAAAATATAATGGATAGAGAATATTGTCTTCTGCTCCATCTGAGAGGGGGACACAGCACTTTATATTGTCATTACTGTAAATTAGTCATGAAGAGTCAATATTTCAGGACACTTTATGAGCTTTTATTGTCCTATGCACCCATTCATGAATCTTAAAGTGACATTAGACCAGTACTACTACTACTTCTACTACTACTGCTACTACTACTACTGCTATTACCACTTCTACTGATACTACTACTACTACTACTACTACTACTACTACTACTGCAACTGAGACAATAATGCTGTGATCATCTCTATATTTCAAACGTTTCACCAAATACCTGCCAATAAGTTATAATACTGCCCCCATGTGGTAAGAGGTGGAATCACCTTTTTGACTATAATGTACTGCTATAGCTTGATTTTTCTGATATTTAAATATGCACTGCATATATGCACTTTCACTTGTACTCAGAACTCATTTCAAAACAAAAAGACAATATTATAACATTTAAAACTAGTGATTTAACCTGTATTATAGTCAGGAAATGTGCAGTCAAAATGGATAATGGAGTTAATAGGATATGCAAATAGTACTGTCAAAAGTGTCCAAAATCAGACATTAATCGAAACTAAAACAAGTATTGAAACTAGATACTCATTTGAGCAGGTATCGATACTAAAAAAGTCACATTCGCAGGACAGAAATGAATAGCTTTAGAATGATCTTGAGCTGTATCAGGACAAGTAGAAGAGCACATAGACTAATGTACACCCATGGACCATAGGAACCTACCTGGACCACCGATGGATTATACCGATATAAGGCCACATGGAAAGAGACAAGAAAGTACTATAATTTAAAGTTCAAAATAAATATAGTTTTTTTATTGTCATTGTGGTATCAGAACGGGTATCATCTATTCTATATCGTCTGTTTCCTAACATTGAAATTGGGTCACAAAAATGGAAAAAACTGTATTAAATGTGAAGGAGCGCTGCAAAAAACACAAATCATTTAATATTGTCACATAAAGCTTTTGTCACTTGTAGACAGAGGTTGGGACTTGCAAGTCGTGACTTGGACTCGAGTCAGACTTGAGTCACTATTTTTAGGACTTGAGACTTGACTTGAGAAAATGGACTAAAACTTGGGACTCGACTTGGACTTGAAGGTCAGTGACTCAGGACTTGACTTGGACTTGAGGCCTGTGACTTGAGAAGACTTGATGCTTCTCCTAAAATATATGTTTTTAGAAAATATTTTTCTCTTTACAGTCAATAAATGCAGTTTACAGAAACAAACTGGAACATGTCCCTCCCACTTCTGTTTGTTACTTCGGATGGAACTGAAGTACTGCCATGCGGTATCCTTAAAAGTACTACAGTAATATACAGTACAATACAGTAATATACAGCACAAAGTCAAACAGAGTGAAATACATAGAACATGATCCTTCATAACTATAAAAAATAACTGTTATTAAGCTCTTTTAAATCTTAATTCTTTCTATTCTGACTGTAATAGTTCACACTAAGAGCTTGTAAAGACATTTAAAAACGAAAAAGTAACATTTCTACAGCTCATCAAATATGTCATCACTTAAGTATAATTAAGTTTAATTTAGTTTAAAATATCAATAGCTAAAATCTAAGTAATACTATTTGGTACTTTGGTTTAAAGACTTGAAATGACTTGAAGCTCAAAGCAGACGACTTGGACTTGACTTGGACTTATGGGCCAGTGACTCGGGACTCGACTTGAACTTGTCCGTCCCTGACTTGGGACTTGACTTGGACTTGAGATCAGAGATTTGAGACTTACTTGAGACTCACAAAACAACGACTTGTTCCCACCTCTGCTTGTACAGGGGGAAGAGGAATCAAAACATTTACTCAAGTAAGAGTACTGTAACGTCAATAAAAAATAATACTCATACTAGTAGGAATAAAAGTATGCTTCTAGAAAAATATTCTGAAAAGTAGATTTTATTTTAAAAGTTACTCAAGTAAATGTGACTGAGCAAATGTAATTGAGTACTACCCACCTCTGCCAATGAATGTAACTGCGTGAACGTTGCGTGGTCATTTGGCAGCTTATTTCGGTCGTTTACATCACGCAGACGTGTTTTAGCCAAATGGAGATCCAGATTGGCCGCGTGTTCTGTGGTTCCCCCCGCTGCCCCCCGTCCGTCACCCTGCGCCCCCTGCAGGCTGCCTCTGCTCTGAGCTGACTGTTCCCTGCACCCAGCGCGGACACATCAGCAGAGAGAGGAGTGGGGCAGGGAGTTTGTGCTGTGTTGTCCCGCGCATTGGACCGTAGCTATGGCCGTGGTTATGAACTCCAGCTCGGACCAGAAGAGGCTCACGCAGACGCCGCTGCTCAAGATCTGGGTCCCGTGGATGAGCTGCAGCCATAACCGAAGACGTGGGTGTGAGTTTCTGCAGCGAGCGCTTTTTGCAGTGTACAATATGCTTACTACGTGGTGTCCCTTTCTCAGATGGGAGCAGTAACTAGTAATACATCGTCTAATGGTAACCTATTTTGCAGACCAGTTGTATCAACCAAAAATGTTGAACCTGATAACGCGTATTCTTTGGTACGGTTTGATAAGCATAGCAAGATATATGCTTATATGCCTCGATTGCCACTAAATTTAAAGGTGCACTGTGCAACTTTCTGATAAGGATCCGCCACGTGCTTGTCTCCATGGAGATGATACTGCGTTTCCGGGAATGTTCCACAGCAGCGTAATATGAAACGTGTCCTTTTGCATTTGCATTTGTTGTAATTGCGCAAAAATACATTGGAAAACATGCACGCTCCATAGATCTGGCCTGTAACCTGGCCTTGTGTCATTCATGCTGTCTCCATAGATATCGATATGTTTAATCAATGCCATACTGTGAAACATTACAGGAAAAGCAGCACTATAGAAACAAACAGGTAATAGTTACAAAGTGTGCTTAATATGAGCTTTCAAATGAACCTCACTACAAAATATGAATACTTTTACCTGCACCTGTGTATTGTGCTATATATTACTAACTGGATTACAATTAAAACTGAACCTGTGATAGCTGCCATAGACCCCCAAATTGGATAATGAACTTGAACCAAAACAAAAAATGCAAACTTAAACCATGACATGTTTGCTTTTTTTCTGCGAACACAGACCGGTAGTTCATAGTCATAAAATATTAAGAACTAAATTAATGTATGTAGGATCCAGTGGTGCGTGTAGTGTAATAATAGCAGTATGTAATTAAACCTGATGTACATGACTAGCTGGTTATTGGCGGTGTTATGTAACCAGCAGTGGTACGGCAGTGGAATAAAGCCTAAAGGGAAAGGGGAGAATAAGGGAGATGGTGAAGAGGAGGGGGGAGAGTGGCGGAGGGGCGGTGGGGGTAGAGGAGGGAAAGGAGGAAGAGGAAAGAAGGAGAGGTGAGTTGGAGGAGGGAGAGAGGAGGAGAGGGAGAGGTGGTGGGGGTAAAGGAGTAGGATGAGAGGAGGAAGGGAAAGATGGAAGAGGAGAAGAGGAAGGGAGAGGAGCGGGAGAGAGGAGGCATAGTGAAGAGGGAAAAGGGAGAAGAGGAAGAAGAGAGGAGTAGGGGAAAGTTAGTGCAAAAGTCTGGAAGAGGGAGAGAGGGTGGGGGTAAAGAAGGGGAGAGCGGGGAGAGATGGAGGAGGAGAATAGGAAGGGAGAGGAGCGGGAGAGAGGAGACGTAATGAAGGGGGGGAAAGGAGAAGGGGAAGAAGAGAGAGAGAGAGAGAGGAGTAGGAGAAAGTTAGTGCCAAAGTGTGGAGGAGGGAGAGAGGTGGTGGGGGTAAAGGAGAGGAGAGGAGGGTGCGATAGAGGAGGAGAAGAGGAAGGGAGAGGAGAGGGAAAGGGGAGGCGGGGAGAAGAGGGAAAAAGGAGAAGAGGAAGGAGAGAGGAGTAGGGGAATATTAGTGCCAAAGTGTGGAGGAGGAGAGAGAGAGGAGTAGGAGAAAGTTAGTGCCAAACTGTGGAGGAGGGAGAGAGGTGGTGGGGGTAAAGGAGGGGAGAGGAGGGAGAGATGGAGGAGAAGAGGAAGGGAGAGGAGATGGAAAGGAGAGGTGGGGAGAAGAGGGAAAAAATAGAAAAGGAGGGAGAGGAGAAGAGGAGAGAGAGAGAAAGGAGTATGGGAAAGTTAGTGCCAAAGTGTGGAGGAGGGAGAGAGGTGGTGGGGGTAAAGGAGGGGAGTGGAGGGAGAGATGGAGGAGGAGGAGAATAGGAAGGGAGAGGAGCAGGAGAGAGGAGAAGAGGAGAGGGAGAGAGAGAGGAGTAGGGGAAAGTCAGTACCAAAGTGTGGAGGAGGGAGAGAGGGGTGGTGGGGGTAAAGGAGGGAAGAGGAGGGAGAGATAGAGGAGGAGAATAGGAAGGGAGAGGAGCGGGAGAGAGGAGGCGTAGTGAAGAGAGAGAGAGAGAGAGGGAGAGAGTGAGAGAGAGAGGAGTAGGGGGAAGTTAGTGTCAAAGTGTGGAGTCAGAAGGGAGAAAGGTGGTGGGGGTAAAGGAGGGGAGAGGAGGGAGAGATGGAGGAGGAGAAGAGGAAGGGAGAGAGAGGAGGTGGAAAAGAGGAGGGGGGCAGAGGAGGAAGAGAGAGAAGGAGGGAAAGGTAGAGGAGAGAAGAAGGGGGAGACATAGGGGAGGTTGAGGGGGGAAAATGGGAGGCGATCCAGGACACACTGATCTAAACAGGCCTCCGTGAATGAAACTTCACAGCCAAGGCCCATTCATAAAACTGCCCTGCTCTCAGTCCGCTGGGACATTTGGACATTTGGACATTATATTTGAACAAAATTAAATAAACTTGCATCACCAGCAAAAAGAAACTGCATTTGCAAATATCAACAGAAAAACAAAACCAAACTCTACTCTTATTTGATTTATAATGTCCCAAAGTGTGCATAAAAGAAGTGTGCTTTAAAGGTGTATCACATAACATTTCTGGAAGAGGCCCCATCTGCTTGTCTCCATGGAGATGTTATTGTTTTGCATGGAATATCAGATTATGAGGTTGGATTTATTTATGGAGACAACCCTGTGACACCACCAGGCCAAGCTACAGGCCAGATTTGGGGAGAGGCAAGCTCACAGTGTGAATGCATGTTTTTTCAAGGTAATTTGGAGCAATAAAAACACCTTTGAATAAATGCAAGATATTTAATGCCATTTTGTGGAACATTCCTGCTGGCAAAGTCATGGAAACAAGTAGCGGCTCCCCCACCAAAAACTGTGCATACAGGACCAACAAGAAATCTGATCTGTAGCAGTTAAAAATATGGATTACCACCAATAAAATAATGTTATGAAATTGTGATAGAAATTTAGATTGTGGAAAGATTTCTCTCATTCTCTCTTTGTGCAAATGAATGTGATTTCTACCTGAGACCAGACCCCCACATGAAAATATTGATTATGATTGATTACATTAAAATAGTGATTAGTTTATCTTTTAGAAACACATTTGGTCTTGTAACGAAAACTTATTTGGCTTGTTAGAAAGACCCTTCGATGTAAATACTTCTGTTCCCTTTTGCTTGCTAATCTTGTCAGGAAGTGACAAATGTAAGTGAATATGGATGCAAATCAGATCAAGCACATCTGGCCACATCTCAGTAGGAGTCGTCACCTTCTCACTTTGAAATGTATGTCTTCTGGTCATCTCAGGATATATAAATTTGATGCTTTGTAACATTGTGGGGATATGGTTGGGAGATGTAGTAGGGGCATACTGCTGGTGGAGAAAGGCTGTTGGGCTTTGGCCAGAACAGGCCTAGGCCCTATCCATATCTGCTGTAACAAGAATAAACCTTGGTCTATATTTCAAAAACTCATCGGGCTTCGCAAATAGATTCATTATTTATCTTCAAGAGATATATATTTTTTTTCATGACAAAATCAAAGCAGATGACCCAAATCTGGCGTTAAACTCAACTTGGACCCAGTTAAATCAGGTTAAAACCCCGGCAGCTGATCAGAGGAACAAACAGTTCGGTTGAGAGACACCTGAGCTGTACCTGAGGCTTGTATTTCGGACTTAATGTAGATTAGGTCACATCACACGTGTCTCTGCACCTGTCTCTGCACCTGTCTCTGCACCTGTCACTGCACCTGTTACTGCACCTTGGGGAAACTAGTACTCAAGTAAGAGTAACTTTTTGGACATAACATCTGCATTATAATGTGAAGTATGAGGTTTGAAAACTACCCGGAGAAGTACTCAATTTTCAATGTTACTCCAGTAAATGTAACTATTTACCTTTGGTATTCTGTATCAATTATATTAAACAAATATAACAAATTTTCAGATATTAAATTAGACAAATGCATGTTTTTTGTAATTCACAGGGACTTTAAATGGCACCTTTAGCAAGTGACAATGGTCTATAAAAGTCTCTGTTAAAGGCCCTTAATCAGGAAGTGCACCTTAGCATGCTTGTTGTTATTATTTTTATTGTCAAGGTAAAACTCTCTGAAAGTTGTGAAAAAAGTGAATGATCAGAATGCATAAAGTAAGTGAGGAATAATTTGGACCACTGCCAAAAGTTTAAAATGAATTTGTTTTTGTTTTTTTTTACATTTGTAAGGCTGTAAAAATCAGATACAACACCTTAAATATGACACTTTAATAGCCTTTTTATTTTAGGTAGTTTTTTTTTTCTTTTTCTTTTTTCTCCAATCCACTCCTCTCAAAATCTTCTTCTTTTCAGCATCTGTGCCGCAGTTCTGTAACTCCCCGACCATGATTGTGATGGTGGGGCTGCCCGCGCGAGGAAAGACCTACATCTCCAAAAAACTCACGCGGTATCTCAACTGGATTGGGGTTCCTACAAAAGGTCCATTTTCTGTTTGTGAAATGTATTATAACCAAAGCAGAAAAACATTATTAATCATGATATTTGTTCTGTTGCAGTGTTTAACGTGGGGCAATACCGGAGGCAGGCAGTAAAGACTTACAAGAACTTTGAATTCTTTAAACCGGACAATGAAGAGGCCATGAACATTCGCAAGTAAGATTACATCATGATGATTCTTACAATCAGAGGTCTAGATGTAGGGATGTCACAATGCTCTTTTCTTAAAGGTGCTATGTAGGATATTGCAAATTTAAAGAGGTGTTATGCAAAATCTATTTTTTTTGGACCATGTTATAACTTGTTCCCTACTTTATTTCATTCATGCATGTTTGAGCAATTTAGTGATCTTTCATGGGCCCTATTCAAACCTGTCCAACACCTAGCCCACAAGCCTGCGTCACGTCATTTTTATAGTATTTTACATAAGTATAAAGCTGGATACAAAACAATTCACTATAACTTTACAAACTGGATACTGCGATGTGCAGTAGTTTCATTTGCAGGATGATCTCTGATTTTGTTGTGGCACCGCTCTGAATGGGGAGTGACTTTGCACGGAGGGGAGACTTAGCGTCAAAAAGACTCTGAAACATATTAACATGTTAAAAAGTTGTTTTCAGCAAATGTTCATTTTCAAAAGAAAAGCTAACATAGTGATCTAAATATGTAATGATTTAGCATAGATGTGTAATAGCCCCTCTTTAATGTGATTTTCTGTAACTCTTCTGCTGGTCGGTTGCATGTTCCTCTGAGGGTTACATAAGTAACAGTGACTGTGCTGTGTCCTCAGAGCCTGTGCAGCTGCTGCCCTCTCAGACGTCGCAACTTATTTCACCAGAGAGTACGGACAAGTCGCTGTGAGTAACAATCAACTACATCTCACATTATATTTATGTTTTTAATTTGTCAGGCTCAGTGCACTCATACACAGTTCCACAGCAGAGCTTGTAGCTGATGGGATTAGAACACAAATTTTCTTCTTAAAAGAAGCTACTCAGGGTTGGGCCTGGTTAGTACTTGGATGGGAGACTGCTACAGTGAGGCAGCAGTGGCAAAAAACTGGCAGAAACTACTTTTGTGTCCTTAGGCCAAACACTTCACCCACATTGCCTAGTATGAATGTGGTGTGTGTGAGTGTTGGTGGTGGTCGAAGGGGCCGATGGCACAGATTGGCAGCCTTGCTTCTGTCAGTCTGCCCCAGGCCAGCTATAATAGTACCACCTCCAGGTATGAAGGGAATGAATAATGCACCAAATTGTAAAGTGACTTTGAGCGTCTGGAAAAGCAATATGTAGACCTAATGCATTATTTTTGTTGGATCAACTTTGGCATTTGAATTTCCATTCTTTTTCATTTGATATTTTTGTATGATTCTAAACTGCGCTTTTGTGTTTCCAGGTGTTTGATGCCACAAACACCACGAGAGAAAGACGAGCCATCATTTTAAACTTCGCTAAAGAGAGAGGATATAAGGCACGTCTCAAGTATCTAATCAACTATGTTTAATCTTTACCTTTGAATAACAAAACATGTCATTTAAACAGGTACTTTTTGTAGAATCAATTTGTGAAGACCCTGAAATTATAGCAGAGAATATTAAGGTACATGGCATTAACATTTGAAATATTTTTTTTTAAATTTGTAGTATAATAAAATATTGTTTTATTGGTTTCCTTTGCAGCAAGTGAAGTTTGGGAGCCCGGACTATGCCGATCGTGATTTTGAAGAGGCCATGGAGGACTTTGTTCAGAGGATAGACTGTTACAGAGCCAGCTATATGCCCATAGACGACGAGAAGGACAGGTGATATAAGGATATGAAAAATGAAAAGTAAATGCAATTGTAAATAGATAAGGTCAAAGCTTTATTCAGAGGTGGATAACATGGCAAAAAAATTATACAATAATTTTCTTGGACCCATGATTTTGATTTGATCATGTCATGTACACTTTGTATTTGGTAAATTAAGCATTAAGTATTGAGTAGTACGGTAATCTGTTGCTTCTTCTGAAAGTTCAAACTTCAATGTGATTGGTTAAATTCAGCTGTCACTCACTCAGAGCATGACAGAGGCTGACCAACAGGAGGAGTGGGTGGGAAAAATGTCTGTGCGTTTAAGCAGACAACTGCATCACAGTTCTTTTCAATCTGTTGTAAACTGTAAAAAATGGTAAGCTCTTGTGTAACTCTGTTTAAAAGCTCTAACCTCTAGCCCTAAACCCCTGTTTTGTGTATGTTTCAGAAACCTTTCATACATAAAGATCTTTGACGTTGGGAGCCGGTACCTGGTGAACCGTGTCCAGGACCATCTCCAGAGCAGAATCGTGTACTACCTGATGAACATCCACGTCACCCCACGTTCCATCTACCTGAGCAGGCATGGAGAGAGTGAACTCAACCTGCTTGGGAGGATCGGTGGAGACTCAGGACTGTCCCCTAGAGGGCAGAAGGTAACTCAAAAGAGGGGTCAAGATTTAGTGTGTAAGATGCAGTTTAAATTTCATAAGTATGACCTATCTGTGTCCCCAGATATGAGGTAAACATGTTCAAATCAAATTTAACTTACTGGTGACAGTTGTGATGCTGATTTATTCTGAATTACAAAAATTATGGACATGATCAATTGTTCATGTTATAATTTAGTGTTTTTGATCCCAAGACTGTTATTCAATCAGAAGGAAGAATAAGCCACACATGACTCTCATTTGGATTGCCAGTTCCAGTGCTGAAATCCAGTTGGTTTAAATGCCCCTCTCTGATCTGAATAGTCACTACCTAACACCCAGCACCTGGAGCCATGATGACTCAGAACTAGTGCAGTCTCTGCAGCTCAGTGAGTGAATTCTGGAAGTTCTGAGCTTTCAGTGAGACATGGCCTGTCCACATACTGAGAATGAGAAACAGAAGACACATTTCCTTTGAAGACAATGAAATCTACCTAATCTTAGCGAGTTTTAAATAGCAGTTGTTGCCCATTCTGCCCCAATAAAAGAATACAAACCCATGATAAAATTGATGTATTTTCCAAGAATATTCTCTATTGTTATCTCCGTACCAGCAGCCAGTCACTTCTACATTTTGTTTGAATCTACAAGGGTAGAGCATAGAGCATGAGATGTCCTGCGATGGCACAGCTGCTCATTTGTATTACGTGTCTCTTAAATGTAGAAGACATCTCCTCTTGAAAATTCTGTATCATTCAGAACAAAATATATGATTTCTTTTTCCTGAGATAAGTAATAGTTTGGCTTCGGTTGTTGAGTCTGCTGAAATCCACACTGTTACTAAGCCGTCTGTGTTGTTCTTTCCCTTTTTTGTGTGTAAGCTCCTACATTCCCACAGTTTTTATGTGTAAGCTCCCACATTTGTTAAGAAACGGAACATGCATCGCTCTGGTTGGTTTATCCTCCTGTCAGTCAAACCCTCAGGAATCTGTAAAGTTGTGTGTCTGGTTCTGGATTGGCAGGTAACTGTTCCTTTATGAGTCACTGATGACTTCTCTTTGTGCGCAGTATGCAAATGCACTGGCAACCTTCATCAAGAACCAGAATATTAAGGACCTGAAGGTCTGGACCAGTCATATGAGGAGGACCATCCAGACGGCTGAGACTCTGGGAGTTCCCTACGAGCAGTGGAAGGCTCTTAATGAAATTGACGCGGTCAGTAACATTGTGTGGTTATTGTAGACATAGGCTTATCTTATTTTAGTATATTACTGGCTCTTATCACTGGAGTCCTGTGTTGTGTTGTGTAGGGAGTCTGTGAGGAGATGACCTATGAGGAGATCCAGGAACACCACCCAGAGGAGTTCGCTCTGAGAGACCAGGACAAATATCGATACCGCTATCCTAAAGGAGAGGTGAGAGAGAGAGTTTATATGAAAGGAGGAGGGAGAGAGAAGGGTAGAGGAGGAGAGAGAGGGGAAAGACAGGGGTAGGGTCTACACATGAGGAGAGTTGAGAGGAGGAGACAGAGAGACAGCGAGAAAGAGAAGGAGAGACAATTCAAAAGAACAGGTAAGAAATGGGGGTATTGAAGTGGGGAGAGAGGGGGGAGACAGAGGGAGGGTCTATCCCAAAGGAGAGGTGAGAATGGGAGGTATAGAGGGGGAGAGAGGGTCTATCCCAAAGGAGAGGTGAGAAAGAGAGGGGGACTGATATGTGTAGCACTCTGAATCAAGTTCTACACATGTGTCAATCTGGAAGGGCTCTCTGAGTGAAAAGCACAGACTTATTTTGACAAAGTCTGTATTTCTGCTTACACTAAAGGACGTCTGTGTCGCCATGTTTGTTTTGGTTCATTTGGTTGCCTTACTTTTGGATTCTCACTCTGTGTACTTGTATGTATGATTGTGATAGTAGTATTGTGTATATTATATTATAGTCCTATGAAGACTTGGTCCACCGTCTGGAGCCTGTGATCATGGAGCTGGAGCGTCAGGAGAACGTTCTGGTTATCTGTCACCAGGCTGTGATGAGGTGTCTGCTCGCCTACCTCCTCGACAAAGCTGGAGGTAAGGCAGGATTTCAAACTGTAAAATGACAAAAGGAGATACAGCATTTGAGTGTTGGAGGTAGTGGGAGTAGCCGATGGCACAGATATGCAGTCTTACTTTCTTCTGTCTGCCCCGCGACACAATATGAAGTGAATGAGTGTAGAGCTTTGATGGGTAAAATCAATTAATATTATTATCAACATAGCTCCATCTTTTGTCACTAATAAACTTCATAGTTGGAAGAGAAAAAACATCCATTCAAGTAAGAGTACTAGTGAAAAAAAAAAACTTCTGCTGGTAACATTATGTTGGTAAAAGAATGTATTTACCATTCTATAAATCTTGAATGATCACCAAAAGGCTGTGAAAAATATTTATCTATTAAATATAACACATAAACTAATAAAATGAAATAAAAATAAATAAGGAATAAAATCAAGTTAAAACCAACTAAAGGAAGGCCAGCTGAGTTTTAAGAAGTGATTCTAAAGATGATACTGAAGGTGCAAGCTTCTCCTCAGGCAGGTCGTTCCAAAGCAAAGGCACCCAGACTGAAAAGGATTCATCAGCCTTCGTGAAACCTTGGACTTTGAAACAGCCAACAGGGACCTGCCTGAGTATCTGCAGCTGTGGGAGGGCATCTTACAGTGTTCAAAGTTCTGAAATGTAATTTGGTGCATGACCTAAATGAGCTTTAAAAGTGATCAGTAAAATCTTAAAATCGATTCTAAAACACACAGGCCAGTGAGGGGACGTAAAACAGAGTCATGTGTTGATGTCTGTTAAACCCAGTGAGTCGAGCTGCTGCGTTCTGAACCAGATGGATGTGGGAGATGGATTTGGATTCAAGGCTGGAGAGGAGGGAGTTGCAATAGTCTAAATGGGAGAAGATAAGCTTTTTATATGACAAATTATATGAAATGCCCTAACTATGCTTTTTCTTTTTTTTTTTTTATATAAATTGCCTGTTAATTTGTATACATTAAAATGCATTAAAATGCATCGCTCTCTGGTGGTGAGGAAAGATGAAATAGAACTTCTCTGCTCAAAGTACAACTGATAGTAAAAGTGAACTGACTCAAGTTATCTCCCTTTTTTCAGATGAGTTGCCTTATCTGCGATGCCCTCTCCACACGGTGCTGAAACTGACCCCTATAGCCTACGGTGGGTATTACACTGAATAAAACATGAGCTTTGTGTCTTATATTCTGACCCTGCTTCTGTGTAGTTCTGATCCTTCTTTATTCTGACCTGTCCTTTTTTAATCTCAGGCTGTAAAGTGGAGTCCTTTTACCTGAACATTGAAGCAGTCAACACGCACAGAGACAGGCCAGGGGTGAGTCAGTATGCATGAAATATTAGACATGAAATTAGAAATAAATTAACAGTGACGTAATATAAATACAGAATATACAGTAAGTTATAATACTGACAAGTCAGCAGAGTTAAATCAGATAAAAGTCTTAATTAAAATGTGTACCTATTTCATAAATACAAAAGCAGGATACAAAACAATACACTACAACTTAACAAATCTGATGCCATGTGCAGTAGTTTCATTAACGGGATGCTTGCTTATGTGTTGTGATAGGGCTCTGAAGGGGGAGTGACTAAATGTGGAGAGCAAAGGGAGGGGAGACTCAGAATGTCAAAAACAAAAAAATGACACTTACAGAACATGTTAATATGTTGTTTTGGGTGAATAGAATTTTCAAAACAATAAAATGTAGCATGGTGATCTAAATATGTTATGTTTTAGCAGTTAATACCCCACAGAAGTAAAATACCCCCTCATTAATGTTTGATACTTTGTTTTTGCAGAATGTGGACGTGAACAGAAACCCAGAGGAAGCTCTTCAGACTGTCCCTGATCACATTTGAGTCTGGATCTTTAAACTAATGCCATACTTTGGAACATCCCAGGCATTTTCTCATTTCATCAATAACAACAACCACTACAAAACACAGCTAAAACTGTAACAAACCCATACTAGAGTTTACATGTCTACTGGCTCCCCCTGCTGTCTGCTCTGAGCCCTACATGCCTTTAGCCTGTAGTTCTGTACGTTTGTCTTTCTAATGTTTACAAAATGTGTAAATATATTCTTGGTAAGCTCTTAACCAAAACAGTACTCTTGTTGATAATAAAGCTGAAACTGTTGCACTGAAAACATTAATGTATATATAAGATAATGTTATTGTAAATGTAATATAGGTCATGTTTCAATGTAAATTGTTTATTAAAGGTGGTGTTTTTTAAGTCACTTATGTTGTTAAATGGTCAAGAAGTTTATTCAGACGTGTTTATTTAGAGTTGAATACCTATGGGATACATTGTGGTTGCCTGGAGCGGTTTACCATAATGGTAATTATTAATTAATTAATGAAGTAATTTTCAGACCTCCATATTTTTATTCCTACATGAGTGATATATTGTACAGTGTATTTACTTGAGTAAAAGTTTTAGTTACTCTTCCCACTGTCAGTAGGTCTACAAATGACAAAATCTTTGTGACAATATGAAAGGATTTGAACATTTGAGTTTCTTGCTCCATTTCTTCAGTTCTCTAATGTTTTGTTCTTTCAATTTCATTTCCAACTTGATTATTAATTATCAGATATTAAAGGTACAGTGACTTTCTGGGTGTGGCATGTCACCTTCTTGATTTCATGGAAAGTACAAACTTCGGAAGATTCTCTATTGACATACATTTTACACCACGCACTGTAGAATATGTATATTTCCATGGAAACAAGCAAGCAAAATAATAGTCAGGTTTGGGGAGATGCGAGCCTCCTCACAGTAAGGACGCATGTTTTTCAGTGCAATAAAGATAACTAAAATGCAACAAAAAACAGCATGTTTGTGTGTTCTTTTAGTATATTTATTTATTAAAAACTTACATACTGTTACTTTAAGTTCAAACAGTTACTCTTACAATGCTCTTAGTAGTTTCCCCCAATACTTTCTTGAACCACTACTTTGTACTTCTACTTGAGTAATATTATTTTGACGTAAAACTGAGTAGGCTACTGTACCTGTGGAAAATATTTTGTGCATGTTTCCAGTCTTTTGCCTGCTGCTTTCCCCCCCTGTTTGAGAATAATTGACTCTAGTTAAAATCCTATAAGGGCCAGTGTTCTGTTGGGTTCAGACTATAACAGCTCTTTGTGTGAGGGGAGGCAAAGGAAAACACTAAGGACTGAATTCAAACACGGAATGTGCAGAAGGGAGGAAGTAAGCTAAAAATACACTCCACGAATAGAACTGTAATTACTTAATACCAAGTAACATTAAACTTTTTTGCTGTGGCACAAAGGATGACTACAGTGACTGGATTACATAGACTACAGTGCTCAAAGACACAAAAACAGCACATTTGCTCTAGTGGGGTTTGCACCTCTCGGTTTGTGGGGAATGGGATGCTTGTATTACGCCCAAGTGTCACTAATAGGACTAGAAATGAAATCTTGTTGAAGGACAGAATAAAAGAAGTTAGGAGGGGGGCAGCCACACATCAGTCAGTCTGCCCCAGGGCAACTGTGGCTACAACAGTAACTGTGGAGTGCAATATAGTGCCTTTGAGAGTCCAAAAAGCACAAAAGCGGTCACATCACCATGGAGCAGGAGTTGGATTCGCACCAGAAAAGTTACACTGTGCATCTTGAAAAATGTTATGATAATGTATAATAGTTACCATGACATGACTGTACTGCTATTAAACATTAACATCGATTGCACGTTCAAACAAAGTACTTTTGGTCAACGTCTAATATTTATGTCGGTATTTTCCTCCTGTGAATGAAAAGGAGAGTTGTTGTTTTTTTTTCATCTAGCACTGGGGGCGCAGAGTAGGACAGTGTCGCAGGGGTTAATCCGTCATCTCTCAGGTGGCAGCGTAGCGCGAAAGCTCCAGATATGCGCAAACACCAAATACGAGCTGCCCGCGCCTGTTAACATCCAGATATTTGTGACTGCACTGCACGCACACGGCACGCCATCTTTATTTAGCTCTGTGTTTTTACCTTATCACAACTTTACTTTTTGACCCCGAGAGGCACGTTTTGTTTATGGAGAGGGAGGGAGCGGAGGAGAGGAGGATTAGCGTAAATTACCTGCCGAGATGAAAAGGTCGTCGTGCGAAATGCTGCCCTCATGTTGACAACGTGACGGTGCTGGACACAACCACGGCTACTTTTGGACCAACCTTCCCTATTTAATCTTTAAAATGGACATAATGGACTTCTCAATACATTACGTTTTACTTATATTAACTTTGTGCGTAAACGTGGTAATTACGCACGACTATAGAGCCCATTTAGGAGACAGACTACTTCTGCAGGTAAGCACGTTTTTTAATGTTAGGAGCTCAAAAAATTTAATTATTTCAGATCAAGACTAGCCAAAAATGTGTATGTGCAAAATAAAATTTAAATAATCCTTGTGTCAAATTGCCATAGAAGCCACGTGTCCGTACAAAGCTAATTTTAATGTTTGCATTATAATTAGCTTTGCAGTCATTCATTATATTGTTTTAGTTGATCTGTTAAATTCATTCATTTTTTCTATAGGATATATATTTAATTTGATATTCGTGACAGGTATCCGTTTTTGTGGCGTTACTGGCTGTAGAAAATGCCTTGCAGGTTAAATAGCAGAGGTGGGCAGTGCTCAGTTAGATTTAGAGACTTAAAAGACATTGTACTTTTTAGAGTACTTTTAGTAACAGTACTCTTACTTGAGTAAAAGTTGTTTATGTTGTCAATAAGAAATGATTTACCAGATTTAGGTTTTTATTTAATGTTTTGTTTTTCCAATTACATTAACTTACTCTTACTTGAGTAGTACTTCTCCCAAATACTTTTTAACTGTTACTTGAGTAATTTCTTGGACCACTACTTTGCGTTTCTACTTAATAATAATAATAATAAATAATAATAACAATTTGAAGTAACGTTACTCTTTCTTAAGTAAAATTTTTGGCTACTCTACCTCTACCCAAGCCATATAATTCAACTTGAAATCAGAAAAGTAAACAAAATGTAATCTTAAAACTATTCAAAATCAACTTCACTTTCAAGACCAGTTTATTATGCTACAGAAAGATAAATACCTCTTTTTTTTGTATTGAAGCCAGGCATAAAGTACTTGCTACATGTATTTTCCAGTATGTGAGTGCTTGTGCAGCATATAGAAAGTGTAGGATATGGTGTCATGTATTGACACAGGGCTGAGTGTGCTGGCTCCTGGTACAGTGCACACATTTATGCCCAAAGCCACACTTCCCCTCCGGATCCATGAATGACTTTGATTCACTCTGTTTTGACACCAAATCTCACTGAATGCTCGCGTGTGAGGATTACCCAAAGAAAATCACTAAAATAAAACTCTAGTGATAAAGATAGTTCAGATTCTGTGCGTATTATTCACAAATGCACTGCCAAAACAGAAAATGAAATCTGTTAAAGTAATGAGATGATTTGTACCATATTTGGAATTTGAACTGAGAATCATGGGGTCCCCCACAGTTTAATACGATACACGATACGTGGCTCACGACACGATATTTTCATTATATGGCAATACACGTGATAATCGATCAATATTTCTGTGTTAAACCAGTTAATACGAAATACATCTATTTTAATCATCAAAACAGTGAATACATCAAGTGCATTGAACTTTTTTCGTCTGCCGGAAATCCCACCCTGTTGCAGAACTTCCAGTTAATGGTTTTCTATAGCAAAATCTCTGTGGAAATGTCTTGAGTATTCTCTACCAGTTTAATGAATCTGTCTGCAGTCACATTTGGGGGTGTTATTTGGGGGGTTAGGGCCATCACCAAATCCAAGTTGTCATTTGCTATAAGATATGCTATTAGATATAGCATCTAATATAGCATGAAAAAGACGATATGTCAGGTTATGTACATGGAATCTTGCCATGAACATCTCTACATTCAAACTGCACAAACCACATATAAATTACAAGTGTATGTTAATATCTGCATCATGAAATCCATTTTAAATTTTAAATCTAGAATCAGTCAGAATTATCAAGTTAATTATGTTTTATGCATTACTATAATGTTAGTTTTGCTAAGGAGTAGTTGGCAAATGCGTCGTTGTTTGCCTTTAAGCTTTCGTCTTTCTTACCTTGATAGTTGTGGATAAATTCTTCATGGAAGAATGTTTATCCTTTATGAACCTTGTTGGTGTAAGATTTGGTGATGGGGCTGACAGATTTATTAAGGTGGTTGAGAATACGCCAGATATTTCCACAGACATTTTGCCATAGAAAACCATTGACTGGAAGTTCCGCAATGCTATAGGGTGGGACCTCCAGCCGTTGTGAAAGGTCTATTGCATAAACAGGTTTTCTTCCACTAAATAAGCAACAAAATTGTTGTGTGGTCACAAATAAAAATACTCAAGATACCAACAAATACTTTTGATAATATATGGATACAACAACCAGCTATATCGATACTGTATCATCAAATTTAATATCATGATATTTCAATATGTTTGCACACTTTCTATCTGAAGTTAATTAAGCTTTAATAGCTTTAATAGGCTAGTGAATGAGATGCAGTATATTTACTATCAACAAGATATCATATGCTTAAAGTTACCTGCATGATTCCATGGAAACAGAAAATTAAAACCTTTCTTAGGAACATTCACCATGTTCCTGTTGTGCAATCCTGTGGAAGATTATAGCCAAAGAACAATAATTCCATGGAAACAAGAAGGCCCTCCTCCTCCAGGCCAAATAAGAAAGGATGCATGTTTCTTATATAAGCTCTTTGAATTACTGTGTACGAAATGTGCTATACAAAAATACTTGTCTTGCCTATATTTTTCAGTGCAAGAAACATAACATGTTTTCATATTAGTCTATTTTTGACAAAAAAGTTACACGCTTTGAATGAGCAATATATAGGTTTTCAATTGTAGGGACTGCCACCTGTTTGACATGGAGTCAAGCAGGTGATGTCACCTGGACAAGTTACAAATAGCGTCTGCGGAGAGGTGACCCAGCTCACACTTTTTTGGCAATAACATCACCTATAATTGAAAAACTCTGAGAGAGATAAGTTTAATGCCATAAAGTGTGACATTCTTATTGCCAAAGGAACAGACAAGTGGAACAGACAACCTTCCAGAAAAGTTGCATAGTGCACCTTTAACGTGTTGTTGGAAATGTCTGATTGGTTTCAACTTTTCAGGCCATTTTAGTTTGTAATTAGAAAGCAAATGGGGTTTAGTTATCATAATTTAGTGTTGTTTTTGGCTTATATTTCAACATGACAAATGAAACTATATCATGAGAAACACCTTGAAAAATTTTCAAAACTAATCAAAACAAAACAGATTTAATTTCTGAATTCATATCATTTGTTGATGGTCCTTTTTGCAGTTGCTCACTTGTAACTTCATTCTGTTTCAGAGAGTAAAACGACAAAGTAAACCAGCCAAACCAGTGGTAAGTATAATCTCCTAAATGCTAAAAATCTGTATGCATTTTAAATATAGGTTACTTTTTTGCCCGTGTGCATATTACAGGGACGCTACATAGAGTTACCCTTGACCTACATTTATACAGTAGTGCAGTCAGACTGGAGGATGTAAGCTGGGGATGTGTCTAGCCCAAGGACACATCAGAAATATAAACAGGGGAAGCTGGGATTGAACCACTAACCTCGTGTTTATTGTGTTGTCACGGTTCTAAAATTTCAAACTTGATTTCGATACTGAGGAATAGAATTGATGCTTAGTACAGATTCTGATACCACGATGATTATAAAAAAAACACTTTCTTTCTTTAGACAATAGAATGTAAATTTCAATATGGTAATGTACTGTATGGTAATGCTACTTTTTATATTCCCATGTGGTCTTATATTAAATGAGTATTTATTTTCAATATTAGTTTTAGTATCAGTTAGTGTCTCATTTTTGATCGCCAGAGCTGTTTAAAAACTATTCTATTCACTTTATTGGCAAATTTGCTTATTGCTAAAAAAAAAAAAAAAATGCAGTTCTCAAATAGTGATTAGAAAGTAGGGTTGTTAAACGTATCGAAAATCAGATACTGATCTAAGTCCCGGTTTAGTCCTGGTTCGGTCCTGGCTTAGTTCTGCTTTAGTCCTGGTTCAGTCCTGGTTCAGTCCTGGTTCAGTCCTGGTTTAGTCCTGGTTCAGTCCTGGTTTAGTACTGGTTTAGTCCTAGTTCAGTCTCGGTTTAGTTCTGGCTCAGTCCTGGTTTAGTCCATGAATCATTGCTCGATAATTAGTTGTTTCTTTTGGTCAGAAGGTCTCTAAAGCTACAACACAAAGTTCCCACATCACCACAGGTTTTGATTATTTATTTATTTAGGGAGTATTAATAGTATCTCTGTATTGACATAAGCTGGAAACAGACCTGGATAAACAGTCTGTCTGGCTTGGAGACACAAACACCTTCCGTTATAAATACAGAAATGTCCCATCGCCAGTGAAGTCCTCAGCTCATTTGTAAAATCTGACATCTGCCTTCTGATCTGTTTCTATATCTGTTTTAACACTACTCGGCCAAAACCTCATACAGATATAAAAGGATGAAAGAGTTGAACGCGGCCAAGTGTTGATGAGTGTTACTGACAGAAACTAGCCGGAGCATGAGTAGGGCTGTATAGTCCTTTAGTCGATTAATTGTTAAGTGGTATCTTAGTTGACCAAAATTTGTATTAACTGACTAATCATTTTTAGTGATACACCGATACGGATCCTGGTCTAGATTATTGACACGGATACTGAAAAATTTGCTAGATCAGGTATCGGTTCCTTCCATGATATCGGTTGGATCTGTAATTGGATTGGCTGATTTTGGCCTTGAATGTTTCATAATATTTGAACTTTTATTCATATAAGCCTGTTCAGTATTTATTTGAAGGATAAATAATAGTTGCATAACACATTTGGATCTTTTGTATAATAAGTGAACTGAGTTTTAAGGAAATAAGTGGCATTTCTCATCCCTACACTGATATCGGTTGACATCGGACATCGATTGATATTTATAAAGGCAAAGTACTGATATTGGTGTCAGAACTGAAAAGGTTGGTTCAGTGCATCCCTAATCATTTTATTTAAATTGTAAGAATTTCTCTGAGACGGTGGCAGAAAGAAAAAGTAAGAGAGTGAGTGATTTAGCTGAATATTTGGTATTTTCTGGTATTTATTTGTAAAAAGGCAGATGAAACTCATAATTCACAATCAGGGTTTATTTAAATACATTGTTTCCTAGTACTTTTTTCTGCATAAATTGTAGTTTGGGTCATATACACTAATAGTTTTGAGAGCTTTTGCCACGCCCCCTTCTTAGTCAACCAGTCGATCACCAGCATGTCTTTAGTCCACCAAGAATTTCTTAAGTCCACCACAGCTCTATAGTGCACAGACCCCATGTCTCTTTTTACGTCTTTTTCCATTGTCACTCGAGTCTGTTCAAAAAGACACTGAGCACAGACTGAGAATGACACACAGAGACAGAGGCAGTGAAAAAATCCATATCTGGGAAAAACTCTGATATCACTGACACCGATATTGGGACTCATATATCTCTAATTCCTGTTTTTTGGCACAACCTAAGTATGTTCACACTTGTTGTGCTTTGGCCCAGTTTAGTTATGATGTAGATTTAGTTTGGACCTGCTACAGTCCAAGTTTAGTTCCTGGGTTAGCCACACTTTCGTCCAAGTTTAATGTGGTGAAGAACATGTTTGCACAGATCTAAATTGCAGGGTTATCAGTTTTAATGCAGAATAAAACTGGATATTTTGTTTTGGGGGGATATTACGGTACTTAGCAAATTGCAGCCTTTGTGATTTGGTAATTGCATCTATTGATTTTGATGAATCTTGCAACTCCACAGGTTAGTAAACATAATCCTCTATGACTGTATTGTTCCAGTTGAAGGTGACAGAGTACCATGTGCGCTGCTCGGTGCTCTCGCGTTACGCTGTGACCAGGATCCAGAGCTCTGTGTGGAACCAGCTCTCATCCACCAAAGAGGCCGCCTTCGAGGTGGACCTGCCCTCAGCTGCCTTCATCTCCAACTTCACCATGTGAGTGTGTGCACTTACACTACATGTCAAGAGTCATATTTCTGTAAGTCTTCTAGTCATCTGTTTCTGATGGGATTGTCTCTTTTGCTCTCAATTTCAAAGAGGAGATGTTACATTTCTATAGGATATTAATTCTTGACATAACATATTTTAATTGCCATGTTAGCTTTTATTGTTTTGAAAATGATATATTTGCCAAAATCAGCACATTAAAATTTGTTGTTGTTTGCTGTGCTAAGTGACTCCCCCTCAGTGTGCATTTTACTAATGAAATAATCCTAATCCTACTGCACATCTCACTGGGTTTGTCAAATTGTAGTGTATTGTTTTGTATCATGCTTGCAGGCCAAGCAAAATCATGGATGACGTACATGGGTTTGGCACTCAAGCCTCCATGCAAAACTATACAGGATTACTCAAACATACAGGCATCTTTTGAAACACAACTGATAGAGCACTGGATTTATATAGCACCTTTTGAAACATCTAAAGAACTTCAGTGCATATTTAGTCACCCCACACTTTGTGGTGGTAAGATACTATTGTAGCCACAGCTGCCCTGGGGCAGACTAACAGAAGTGCGGCTACCAATCTGTTCCTCTGGCCATCACCAAGTCTCAAGGGCAACATTTGCTGTAGAAAAACAAAAAACAAACAAATACAAACATTTTTGTTTTTGTTTTGCTTTTGTTGATTGAGCTCTAGCAACTGAGAAGTAGATTATTTCAGCAAACAACATTATTAAAATGTGGTTAAAAGCTCTAGAAAGTTTATTTTGCATAATATGCCCCTTTAAATACATGTTGATAGCACAGACTCCAGAGCAAACTTCACACGCCTTTCGGGGAAAAGCAAAATCCGGCAACTGTTTGATTACGAGGCGACTTGGAAAGGTTAAAAATACTGAATATAAACAAAGATAAGTCCACACTGGTCAGCCTTACAGTCAGAGCAGGTCAGAAGGGGGCACACCAGAGCCTCATGAATACTGCCTTTGTCAAGACCAAAAGGTAATCAACTGTTTTTAAAGCCAAGGCCAGTGCAGGGACAGCCTGCAGCATTTCATTTCATATTTTAATAGCAAAGGCCCATTAATGTCACATTAAACTAAGTTTTCTCCTATTTCCACGTTTACTGATTAGTCTGTTCAAAAGGACAAATCTGATGCACTGAAATCAAACTATGTGACATTTTGGGTCAAACTGAATATTATATTTTGAGAATATGGGGCAGGAGTGGTGCAGTGAGTTCACCTTTCCTCCACACCAGAGGGTTGCCTATTCAAAGCTCTCACAAATGCATTCAGTTTTGTGTTCCTGTGCAACTTTATTTTCATCTTTAATCTTTTGTCACTTTATCAAGTGAAAACACTTAATTTATTCTTTGAACAAACAAACCAAAAAGATTGTTACTACCAATAGCCTAGTGAGCTGGCCCCACCAACATTGTGTTTGGATGCAAGATGGTCTGGGACAATAGGCACACATCAAATGTCATTTTTTTCCAATAACTGCTTATTTGGAATTTGTATCTCAATGTTGGAAGACATTCCCAAATCAAATAATCTTTAGAACCAATAATAGTGTTCACGTTACATTGCACTTTAAGTCTGTGTTGTTTCTCAGTCCTTCTTGTTACTTTTATTCGTAATTTTTTTCACGTTAAGTGCCATGTTTGTTTTAACACAGTTGAATCATACTTTTCTCTTATGGGCTAATCTGCCTGTCAAATAAGACCACTGGAAATCTGGGATAGAAACTCAGCTCTAGACTATATGTCCTGTTAAAATATTAGAAAAGAGTGAAGTCGTGGCTGATCAATCAGTGGAACCAAATCAGTCAAAAGTGGAACCAAAAGGGTATATGGGACTTGTTTGTGGATTTAAAAAGGCATAATGAGGTGAGAGTTTTCCCACTAACCAGACTGCCACTGGTTCAAACCTCATCTGAGCACATGAACTGTTAGCCCTCTCTCTCTTTCACCTTTACCCAGACACCACAGTCTCTGCTGCTATATTGGTTCACCATGAGTCCCTCTGAGTGCGGGACGTCCTTTTTCAGACTGAGGGCTCAGTGTTCAGGGTCTGTGCTGTTCATCTGTCCCTCCCTCTCTCCATCTCCATCTCTCTCTCACCCTCTCTCTATCTCTTTCTCCCTCTCTTCTCCCCTTTTCTTTTTAACTCCCTATCTCTCTCTGTCACTTACTCTCTCCCTCTCTCTCTCTCTTTTCCAACATTTTCCCACTCTCGTCCTCTCTCTCCTCCTTTTCTCTTCTATCATTTCTTCCTTCCTCTTTTTTTTACTCTCTCTCTTTTATTCTTTCTCTCTTTCTCTCTCCATGTCTCTATTCGCTCATCTCCCTCTGTTCCCTCTATCCCTCTCTTTCTCTCTCTCCCTACTTCCCTCCCTCTCTCTCTCTCCATACTACTGTGGTTTGTTTTATTCTCTGGACTTGATTTTTCCAAGATGTGGCCTTAATTTAACTCCTAATCGCGTGACTGTAGGCACTAAATCGCTGTTTAACAGTGGCACATAAAATTTGTTATTATTATGAATCTATTGCTTGGTGATTCTTAGTAAGTTTTGAAGAGGTGCTATTACATTTCTTTGGGGTATTAACTGCTAACTTATTTAGATCACCACATTCATTTTTATTGTTTTGAAAATGCTATATTCGCAGTGTTAACTTGTTTAATAAGTTTCACTGTCGTTTTTGATGCTCTGAGTTTCTCCTGTCTTTGCTCCCCCGCACTCTGCCTTCACAGCACTATCACAACATGTTAAGGATGCATGCAATCAGGTTTGTGAAGTTGGAGTGTATAGTTTTGTATCACACTTTTGTATATTTTTGGAGAATTGTTGTGTGGGAGCGTGAATGACATATGCTTGCGGGAGGAGCAATGGACAAGATCGTACTGCTAACCAAAGTGGCGTTGGTTCAGATGTGATTTTTGCAGGTGTGGCTCCAGAGGCGACCCGTCACTGCGTCACCAGCCTGTGTATCAGTGCTGTGCTCCTGCTGTTTGTCAAGGGAAATGACTCTTCTGACCCTACACCTACTTTCACATCACACAACTTTGTCACCTACAAATAAATAAACAAGTGTGTTTAAGGCACACAGTTTTTCTTTGATGAAGCCAATAGAGCTTGCAGCGCATTCCAGTAACACTATTTTCCCCATGGTAATGGTGATGTGGGCCACTTTGTGCTGTAGTTTTGGAGACTTTATGACCCCAAAAAACACTGAACTACTGCAGTTTTCCAGCAGGGATTCGTGGAGTAAACCCGGACTAAACCAGGAACTGAACCAGGGACTAAACCAGAGCTAAACCAGGACTGAAACTGTGCTAAACCAGAAACTAGACTGGGGATTAAACCAAGACTAGACCAGGGATTGAGCTAGGGACTAAACCAGAGCTAAAGTAGGACTAAACCAGGGGTAACCAGAGATAAACCAGGGACTAAATTGGGGATTAAACCAGGATTAGACCATGGACTGAACCAGGAGCTAAACCAGAGCTAAACCAGGACACAATCAGGACTCAAACAGATTTAAACCAAAACTTCCCTGGACGTAAAAACTAAAACCAAATCAGGATTAAACCAGGACTACACCTGGACTGAAGATCACTAAACCAGTACAGAACAAAGATTTAACTGGGAAAAAACTTGGATTAAACTATAATACAGCACTGACTAATCCAGGACTAATTCAGGACTCTCAGAGATTCCTGTTGAGTTTCAGTCCTCTGTTGCTGCTGGCACAACTGCATGAATGTGGTGTTTGAGGGATGCAGATGGTTGAATGGGCTGTTGGCTCAGACTTGGCAGCCAAACATCTGTCAATCAGCCTCAGGACGGCTGTGACACTTGCATTTATAAGATTGTCAAAGCTTCTTAAAGCTCTACACTGACTGGGGTAGACTGACTGAAGGAAGATTGCTAGTCGGCCCCTTCAATTGTTATAGAATAAACTGTAGTAGCAGTATCAGTTTGGGACCCAGCACAGAGATGAACCCTCATGAACCCTCAACACGTTGTGATAGTGTAGTCCAATCTGGCTATTCTTATGTTGTAGGGAGCATTGTACCTCTGATGATGAATGGTCGGTAATAACAGGGACTGAGCTGGCAATGTCACCTTAATACAGCACAGAAATGGAATCTCTCTAACACCGGCCACACCGCCTTTATCCTAGGTAAAGTGGATGAAGTGTTGCTTTAGGACACAATGACTTTGAATTTGGTCCAATTTGAACCTCCAACTTTTGGATCAGTGAATGAATACTCTAACCACTGAGTTATTTTATCGACCTATTTTGCTTGTAACTTACATTAAGAATCTCTGTGGGAATTTCCTTGTTAAACAAATAAATACATAAAAGTAATTGTAAACACAGGTGCCAATATGACTGGATTCCACTGTAAACACATAGACCGGGCCCCACAGCTGAGGCCAGTGTAACATAACCTGTCTCTGTGTGTCACATAGAGCGTCACTGTAGCTCTGTTTCCACTGTGTTTCAGAACATCCAACGGGAAAGTGTATGTGGCGCAGGTCAAAGAGCGAGCGGCTGCCAGGAAAATCTACGACGCCGCGAAGAAGCAGGGCCGAACCGCCGGGCTCGTGGCCACCAAGTATGTCCCAGGAGGGGAGGGGCTTCTAATTATAGACAAATTATACAGACTGGTACTGGAAGTAGAGATGTATCATCTCTCACTGACTATGTTTACATGCACACCAAAAATCTGATCATGATCTGATTTCTGGAATTATCAGATTACTGTGATGTCATGTAAACCATTCTATCTAAGTAATCTGATTTCTGTCTGATTGTTCATACCTGTGCAGGTTTTAAAATAACCATGATGCAAAAAGGGCAAACAAAAAAGTAAAGAGAAAATATTATAGTTTTAAAAAAATATTGTAAATATATTAAAAAAAAAACTAATTATTGGGTTTTCTGATTATTTTAGTAATCATATTTTTTTCTTGCCGTGTAAATAGGCCTGCAATGATATGATTACTATATCGACTTATTCAATATATAAAACCTGAAAGAATATTTTTTGAGGTGAATATTTATTGTGTGTATATTTTCTTCACACGTTCACGTATTTATTGCAGCTTTTGTTTTTTTAGCGACATTGAACATTTAGAATAGTTTTTGTGGTCTAGATCTGCCCTTGGGTTAGTGAGTCAATTTGTTTTTTGTAATTTAGTGCATTAATTATTTAAGTTATAAGGATTTCTATGGGACAGCAACAGAAATGAGAAGTTTATAAGTGAGTGAGCTGAAGATTTTGTATTTTTTGATATTTATGTAAAAAGGCAAATTAAATGTATGTTTCACAAATCAGATCTGTTTTTATATAAATACATTGTTTCCTAGTACTTTTTTCTGTACTAATAGTAGTTTTTACATGAGCTCCCCCTGCAGGTGTAATCTTTTGAGAGAGAAACCTGCTTAGATATACAGAGATATGGAATAGTTTGAGAGCTTTTTTGCCACACCCCATTTTTGGTTGATTAATCAATGGGCAGGACATGTCTTTAGTCCACCAAGAATTTCTGTAGTCAAATACAGCCCTGCAGTGCACAATGGCAACAATAGACAGTCAGTGCCTTACATCTTTAAAATCCCAGGTTCCACTTCATTTCCAGATGGACTTTGTATGTTCCCCCCATGTTGTATGTTGCTCCAGGTGCTTAGGCTTTACCCATAAACCCTATGCGTAATAGGCTAAATCCTGTAGTTAGGTACTCTTAACCCAAGATTCTGGCTCAAGATCTTGAAATGGGTTCCGGGGCACTGCAATGCCTCTGACAAGTTTAAACCCTGGCTTAAAGCGATGGGTCAAATGCAGAGATCAAATGTTGTTATGGGGATGAAAAGTATACTTGACATGTCTTGTTATATTGTGTGTTTCCTTAGAGAGAGGGAGATTGAGCGATTCCGCGTGGCAGTAAGCGCGCCCCCTGGTGTCCGCTTGTCCTTCTGCCTGACGTATGAGGAGCTGTTATTGCGCAGACTGGGCAGATATGAACTGAGTTTGGGGCTGAGGCCGGGGCAGCCTGTGGAGAACCTGACTGTGGAGGTGACAGTGTCTGAGAAAACTGAGCTCAGCTTCATCAGAGTGCTTCCTCTGAAGACCAGCCGACTGATCAACAATGCTCATGGTACATTCAACCTGATAACACCAGTGTGGCATTTACATAGGAATATATAAATTATCAGTCCAAAGTTTGAACACACACTCATTCAGTGTTTTTTTAATTTACTTTTACTACTTTGATGGTTTTAGATACAGTACACACAGAAGACATCAAATATATAATGCAAGATGTATGGAATTAATTAGTTAAATAACTCAAATAAATGCCTCAAAGTATCCAACCTTTGCTTTGTTGACTGTGCAGCAAAACCCTCAGACTTCTCTCAGTGATATCAATGAAATCAAGTTATTTAGAGTTTATTTTTTTGAACATTCTATTTGTGTTCATTCACATAAAAAAAAGTGTGTTCAAACTTTTGACTGGTGCTGTATATTATATTATATAGATATTGTATAGAGAATATATAAAAAAGGTATTATGTGATATACTATATTATTAGCCTTTTAAAAACATGTTTATACACCAGGCATTCATAGCTCACAACTTATTATTGTATATGTGTGAATCAGTCTGTCAAATAGGGCTGTAATCCTTTAGTTGTACTTTTGTAGTTGACCAAAGTGTCGCATTATCATTTTATTTAGGTTATAACGATTTACATAGAATAACAACTGACAGGAGCTGTAAGTGAGTGAGTGAGCTGAAGATTTGATGTCATTTAGTATTTATGTGTAAAAAGGCAACTGCAGTCTGTCTTTACATAAATACATTAATTTTCTTTTTCTTTTTGCATGAACTCTTCTTGCAGGTTTAGTCTTGTGAGTGCAGTTTGGGTGAGATACACAGAGGTATAGATTTGAGCTTTTGGCACACTCCCTTTTTAGTCTACTATTCGATCAGCAGCACATATCTTTACCATTACTAGCCTAATTGGACCATGCTGTTGTGTTGCAGGTGAAGGCGAGCCTCCTCCCTCCACTCTGATAGAGAAGACCTCTCACTGTGCTCGTGTCCTCTACAGCCCCAGTGTGGAGCAGCAGACCAGTGTCTCAGCTCAGGGCATCAATGCAGACTTCATCCTCCAATACGATGTGGAGCTCAGGGACATAATGGGAGATATACAGGTCAGAAGAAGGGCTGTTACGAAAAATATTATATGGACTTATCGTTCAATATATGACAGATGGAGCCATACTTGATTCATTTATACTATTGGGATTCTATTCTTTTTCTGTATTACAACTCAATTTGAGCAGTAAAGTGTTGACTTATAGAATCATTATAGATACAAACTAACTAATTAAATGGCCCATATTACATTGTTTTATGCTCTGTTATAAAGTTGTTTCCTCCTCACAAACACACAGTTCTGCAAATTTAGTCTGAGTTTTTCCCTCAAACTGAAAACACTTCCACCTTGTGATGTCGTGTTGTACTACAGGGAGTGCTCCACTGTGCTCCTTCTTTAAACTCCAATTCACTAAAACCATTTGGAATGATTTCAGCCTGGTAATTGCCAATTCTAATGAAATAAAGGTAAAACGTAGACATAAAGGTATATGTTAAATGAACAGAACTACCACTATGTGACATCACAAAGTGGAACAAAATATTTTGAGCTTTGGAGATGTACACAGACTAATAATAAAGTTTTACTCAAATGTGTGAATGAAAAAAAAACACTCCAGATATGTTTTTGAGGAGGTTTTGAGGAGCTCAAGAGTCAATTTTGCATGATTTAGGACCTTTAACTGTTGCATTCTGTTATTCATGTTTTATTTACTGCAGTTCCTATTTTTTTTTACAATATTGTATATTTAGAATAGTTTTTGGGTATAAGTCTGCTTTATGGTTTGGTTTCAATATTATCATCTATATTTACTTCAACAATATATCGCTATCGTGACAGGCCTATCCTGCAGAACGTTTGCATAAGGGTTGCATAATATATTGCAAATTAATCAAAAATTGTAATTGGTATTTTGCAGCTAATGCCATCAACATTGTCTGAAGCTCTTTCACTGAAATTACACTTAAATCTGAGCTTTGTTTTAGCACAGTCTGACCTTAGTAAACTGACTTAGCTGGAACTACATCAGTGAGCTGATGATGGTATAAAATAAGACAACAACCACTGAATTTTCTCTTAAAATGTCACAATCTTGACAACTACATTAACTCCTACATATTTTTTCCAGGTTTACGATGGATACTTTGTGCACTACTTTGCTCCCAGAGGTCTCCCCGTGGTCCCAAAGGATGTGATATTTGTCATAGACATCAGTGGCTCAATGATCGGCACCAAGATCAAGCAGGTGAGAACACAGAGATGACTGAGATATTTGACTTTTATGAGCTTCTCATCGACAATGGAAAGCTCAGGGTCCACACACTTTATTATTTCACATTCCATAACAATGAAGCTGAAGCTGAAAATGTAATTAATCATTTTAGGACCAATATGCCGATACCAATATTCGATATTTGGCCTGCTGTATTTATCAGGGATATAAAATAATTTGTTGCATGTTTGTGTAAACATCCAGTCATATAATGCTCATCTATTTCCATTGGTATCCATGAGTATGTTCAAAAAACAAATCTGATGCACTGAGGGCATTCTGGGAATGGACACAGCACACAGACTGTGGCAGAGCTGGAAAAATATCGGTCTCAAATATCAGTATTGAATATCAAATCACTGATTTAAAAAGCCCATATTGCTCTTTTTTCTGGTCTATGTTCTAATGTTGTTTCCTCATCAGAAACATACCTAGAGTTTTGTTTTGTCTCATTCACTCAAGCCCATCATATTTAGTTAGCTCTTTAAATCATTCAGTTCCACTGTGTGATGTCTTGTGGTAATACAGAAGTGCTCCCCAGTGTTTTTAAACTCTATACACCTTCACTAAAATTATTTGGATTGTTTCTGCCCAGTGCCCTAGCATTGCCAATTGCTACTGAACTAAAGGTAAAAGATAGCTGTTAACTTGAAAACTACCGCTTCAGGACATCACAAGTTGAAACAGAGCATTTTGAGCTTTGGAAATATAGACAAATTAATAATAAACAATTACATAAACAAGTTTGAATCATCCAAAATAAACAACAGCAACAAAAAAATCCATATAAAGCTATGTTCATAGTTTAATTAATGTACGGTTTGATTAGCTGCTAGCCTGTTTAGCTGCAGAAATCCACTTCTGTTGTCAACTGGAGCTTTGTCAGTTAGGTAAAAGGCTCAGGCTTTCTTCTATCTTTAATAATGTGTTAAAGATTACAGGGGTTACAATAATCCAGAATCTCTTACACTCCCATAAATTTTGTTCATTCAACATCTGCAGACAGTGCTATTGAAATACCAAAAGATTTTTTCAAGAAATAGTAATTGACACTCACACACTGCATACATGATATATTTTATTATTGATATGTATTTCAATCTCTTGGTGTTTCCTTGTAGACAAAGCAGGCAATGAGCACGATCCTGGGAGACCTGAGGGAGGGAGACCATTTTAACATCATCACATTTTCAGACCGGGTCCAGACATGGAAGAAAGGCCGGACTGTGCGAGCAACGCGCCAAAATGTGCGAGACGCCAAAGAATTCGTCAAGAGGATCAGCGCCGAAGGATGTGAGTTAGAACTACAGAATTGAAGTCTTCGCAGTTTGCATTGTTGTAGATACTATTTTTTGTTCATGTAATTTTTTTTCTCTTTTCAGGGACGAACATAAATGCTGCTCTGCTTTCTGCTGCTCAGCTCGTCAATCCATTGTCCACTTCCTCCCCTTCACGGAGAGTTCCTTTGGTCATTTTCTTGACTGATGGCGAAGCTACGATTGGAGTCACAGCTAGCGATACCATCCTCATTAACGCTAAGAAGGCACTTGGTTCTGCCTCATTATTTGGACTAGCGTTTGGTGACGACGCTGACTTCCTTTTGCTAAAACGCCTTGCCCTGGATAACCGCGGCGTTGCCAGAATGGTGTACGAAGACGCCGACGCCGCGTTGCAACTCAAAGGATTTTATGATGAAGTTGCTAGTCCTTTGCTATCGGACATCCAGCTAACCTACTTGGACGAACAAGCATTTGACGTCACCTGCTCTCTATTTCCCAACTATTTCCAAGGATCTGAGCTAGTGGTAGCCGGAAGGGTCAAACCAGGCGTGAAAGATTTTAAAGTCGCATTGAGTGCAGTTGATTCAAAGCAACGTGTTAAGTATGAAAATGACGTTTTAATTTCAGGTTTGCAAGAGAATAACAGTTTTGATGGGTGTGTAGGAGATGTAGAAGGCATGTCAAGCTTTGTGAATCGCTTATGGGCGTATTCCACAATCAAAGAACTGCTCCTAGCTAAATTAAACGCTACAGATCCTTCAATGCAAAGGCTATTAGCAGACAAAGCAACCAATCTTTCGCTTAAATATAACTTTGTAACGCCACTTACTTCTTTAGTTGTGGTCAAACCTGATGAGGAAGCTAGTCCAACTACAGAAAAACCCACCACTACTCCAGCTACTATTACTACAACAGCTACTACTTTGACGACCGCAAAAATAATCAAAAACTCAAATGTCATCAAGCAAAACAAAACTAAACCAGAACCGCCCAAGCCACCTCCAGTCCCGCTCAAAAAGACAACAGCTCCGAATGTTAAAATTACCAGGAAAACCACGACAACCGCAAGCCCAGACTTAACAAAAACTAACCCAGCGGGAATTTTAGCGAGAAAGCCCACCGTTCCTAACCAAAATGTGTCCAAAATTGCATCTCCTCCGCCTCTGCCTGCTGGGAAGATCTCTACGTCAGTTCTCAATGCACTAAAAACAGCACTACCACCTGCTCCAGGGAAAGTTTCAACCACAACCCACTCAAATATAGTGACTACGTCTGTTCTAACTACTAACACTGTAACGCAAGCAATTTCTACAAGCAAAATGGACCCCAAAATGGCTACCACTCAACCTACTACTACTACTACTACTACTACTACAGCTATTACTACTTTACCTCCTACAAAAGTCACCGTCCTCCCCATTGGAATAATAAACAATAACATTACAGAATCTATGAATGGACAAGAGTTGGTAACAGTGACGGCCTTGCCTCAGTTGGTTCCTCCTCTCATCTCTTCTTCCATCGATCCTGTTCTAGATGCAGCTAATCACAGTAACAGTAATTACAATACAGAGGAAGATATAACTATAGCCACCCTGATTTCGGCCACTTTCGCCCCCATGCCCGGAGTGCCAGATGGGTCCAGACCGTGGGAGGCGGCGGGGGAGCTTCTGGGTAAGAATAAAAATAAAAGATTAACACTTAATAGTTTTTTCATTCACATGATATCATAATATTGTAAACAGACTGAAAATGTTCACCCTAAATAAATATGTATCATTAAGTATGTTATATTGATCAAATCCATATAATATAGATTTTTTTCAGCTACAGTCTGTAAATAGACTGGCACACCCACCTCTGTTTCACATCTGCCATCTACTGGTGAAAAAAAAAATCAAATAAATTTAAATAAACTTTAAAGTGCCTATGACAGATTAGACTACTACTTTTTTTTAATCTGATTTTCTCCTCGAACCTTTTTGGTTTAAAATTGTACTTTCTGATTGGAATCCATGACATCACATTAAATCCGTGTATCATTCGTTAATTAATTTTTCAAAATAAAACCAAAAATAAGAAAACAAAAAAAACAACTATTTTCTTCATTATTTGTCTCCAAAGCCAAAATGAAATCATCATTGTTTTTTTTATTCTGGTTTTGGAGACAAATAATGAAGGAAATAGTTGTTGTTTCATTTTCTTATTTTGAATGATATATGGATTACACTACTTTACACTATTTATTTAGTTTAGTTTATTTATTTAATAAGACAGGGGCAGTGCACAATATACAGTAACCTTAACAGGAGAGATGCATTATACCAGGTTATAGCACCAGTGCTCTTTTCCATCTGTCGTCCCTGGGCAGGTTTATGTTATAGTTCATAACATCAAACATACAAAGAGAATGTCTTTATAATGGGAACTAGGGAATTACATAACTGTTACCTAGCAACACTGGGCTAAATCTCCTCTAGTGATCAGAAATTATAATTTGACAAATCAAAATATAAGAAAACACCTTTATTTTGAAATAAAAGTCTCACAAAAATTTGTATCTTTTGTGTAAATAGTGTCTACATTTTTGATAGAGTTCTCCCTGGTGTGATCGCATAATTGTGAACTCAGAACTCTCAAATTTTCATCAAATTTTTCAACCTTGACTGGTGTAAAACTAAAATATAAATAAAATAATTACTGGACTCTTCACAAAATTGGCCAAAAAGAAAGTTTATTCTGTGAGTGTAAACTAACTAAGGTAACTTTTCTTTACTATAAAGAAGTGTTGGCCTTTTTCTATCACACATAATTGTCATTTAATGTTACCAGCAATAGAGACCATAAGGGGAAGTTAGTGGGGAAGCAATCTCAACATTTATGCATTATGTTTTTTTGTTTTGTTTTGTTTCTAAATTGCTGACTAGGCTGTTGAGTAATACTGTTGCTAAGCCTCTTTTAGAGATTATAGCATCGTAATCAAATACTCAAATGCAAATACAAATCATAATGCAACAGTTTTGCAATAGTCCCCTATTAATCATGCCCTTAACCTGTTGTTTGTACATCTCTCCACTAGATGTCTCTACCTCCATTCAAGTCCAGAGAAAAGGTAATGCATTTTGCCCTTGATTTCAATGCAGTTTAGGATATAATCATTAATCTCTCATTTACATACTAGAATTTTCACATTTCACACACACAACACAAGTATTAAGTTATTTAATAATGTTTTCTTTCTTTGCTTTTTCAGATATTGATCTTGATAAAGGTTAGACATATACACTTATACACTTATTGATCTGTTCATCTCTGTAAATTTGATGTTTTACTTAAATATTCTTTATTTTTCTAGACTATGATGCCACCTACGATTATGACTACAACCTCAACTATGACCCCTGTAGGTTTAGCGCATTAAATCTGCACTGTGTAACTTTTTAGGTGGAGTCTGCTATCTGCTTGTCTCCATAAAGATTAGTCATTCGTCATTTCATTTCACCTGAATGTTCCACAGTAGGAGTGTTTATTGCCCAAATAATTTATTGAAAAACGGGAATTTATACTTCTAGACAAGGCATTAAAATCTCCATGGAGACAAGCACCAGTATAGTGCACCTTTTAGTGATATTTAGTACAATTGAGATATCAGGAAAAATAAATAAATGTGAATGTGTTTTTAGGGGATGATACCGATACAGACACCGATACATCTTTTGGTAAGACTGTGAAATTAGATTTTCTGATATCCAACTATGCAAGGTGTATTAAGTGACATTATAATCATTTTTTTCCCATGTTTTTAGATTCCCAGTCTCAACTTGGCACAGTTAGAGTGTTTTCCTCATCGGGTTTGTGAAATTTTGAAGAACTTTTAAACATAAATTTATAGTAACCATAAATAAATTTCCCTTAAGCTAGATGAGTCTTTTTCACAATGTATAAACATTCCTTATACATAAGTGTACTGTGTATGAGTTGAGCTTCACCTGGTTTGTCTTTAGTGGATGGAGATCCTCATTTTGTGCTGCAGCTGCCTAAGCTCCACGAGAGCCTGTGCTTCACTGTGGACGGTCGAGCCAAAGACGTGCTCAGGCTGTTAGAGGACCCAGACAAAGGTAATGGGCACATTTACACAGCAGCTTAAACAGGAGGTGTTATGCGACTTTTTCCCTCATCAAAAACATGACTGACGAGGTTTTATATCCATGCATGTTTGAGTAATCTACTTAAACCCTCCCTAGTTAACAGTGAGATTTTGTTCAATGCTCAGCCCACAAGCCTATGTCACCCATGCTCCCACAACAGTTTTCCATAAATATAAGTATAAGTATAATACAAAACAATGCACTACAAACTTTTCAACAAGTTTCATTAGAGAAATGCAGCAGAGTGACAAGTCCTTGGGGTCTAAATATGGCTGCTCATTCAAGTCAATGGGCCAAGCACAGTGGCACATGTCTCTAGATTAATTCAGCTTCCGGTGGCTCTCTGCCCATTGAACATGTGCAGTAGTGCTCTTTTCTCACTTAGGCACACGCGAATGCACACAAGCACACACAAGGAGTGTGGTACTGCATATCATGTGACCACTTTGACCAATCAAAGAGACAACTGAAGGATTCTGAGTTTTTATTTAAAAGTTTATGATTTAAAAATAGGTAAAAATCGCCACAAAATCCGACCTTGCTCAAAGCTGTAGATCCCTGTTAACCAAAGACAAGCAGTTTGTGAATACATTGCACTCAATGAGATAATCCTTTCTGGGCAGGAGGGATTTTTTCATTGAAGTTCCAGTGAGCGGCCACTATGCCAACTCAAGACAGCTACAAGCTAGCAATACCCTATCCAGTTATTTTAATAGATCCATGGGGGAGTGTAGGGGAGTGTCTTAGCTGAAAATTTTTGAACATGTTAATATGTTGTTTCTAGCAAATATAGCATTTTTAAAACAACAGAAGTCAGTATCATGATCAAAATATGCAATATGCAATTAATACTCATAGAAGTGCTGTACCACCTCTACGAGTGTTTGGCCCAAACATACAGCAGCAGCAGCAACCTCCAATCTTAAATAAGTGGACGAACATGGAACATCAACTAAGCCACTTCCTGTACAGTATTTAACCATGCACATCCACTTTGATATATAGGCAAGGTGGTTGAAATGTCATGCCCACGAATACATGTATGTACTGTACTAGTATGTACTGTCAGAACTGACATTGAACCACCAACCTTGGTATACACACTGGAGATGGAGATATAGATATAGAGGAGATGGCTGATGGTTCTGCTGCTGCTGTGGGAAAAGGAGGGGAGAGAGTAACTTACTTTTTTTTTTTTATTGTTCTCCAGTGGGTTTATAGTTTACAGTACCTTTACAGATTTGCTGACCTGGTTTATGGTTCGTATCTGTGTAATTACTGAGTCTATCTACATGAAACAAAAACTGGCACAAAGTTTGATGTCTTCTCTTATTTTTTCTCAGTAGTTTCAGAAAGTGGTGCCTTTATTAAACCCCAAAGATGTGAAAAGATTGTTATAATTTTTTTGACATAGCTAGACAAGGAAGTTAGCAATTTCTAAAACACGTCACAGACTTTTGAGTAGATTCACGTTTTATGTCAAATTTTAATCTAATTTTAAACTACTTAAAAGTCTCCATATTACGCTGTTTTCTGAACTAATATCGTTTCCTCATCAAAACATATCTGGAGTTGTGTTTTGTTTCTTTCACACATGTACAACACACAAATGCTGCATATTTAGTAATAACAGAGTTATACAGGCCCCTGACCTCCATTTGATATTGTGACATTATTTAATTATAGACCTTGAACAAATCTATTGTAAAATGTATCTCTGCTTAAATATTTTCATCCTCAGGTATCATTGTGGATGGTCACCTGGTTGGAGCTCCCTCAAAACCTGGAGCAGAGGATCGCTCCAGGACCTACTTCGACCGCCTCGTCATCGCCATGTCAACAGGCGGGTCAGCTGACATCCTCATCAGTGTCTCATTGGACAGTGTGGTGCTAGAGGGCGAGGGGCGGGACAAGCTGCCTGTCAATCAGCAGGGCTCCATCAGGCGACAGGAAGTGACCGTTACTGTGGACAACCATCACAGCTGCTGGATCGAGCTGAGCCGAAATGTGTGCTTCTTGGTTCTGTTTCATTATTACAAACACCCCAGCTACCTGCAGATGGCACACTTGGGCTTCTACATCACTAACGGACAAGGGCTCTCCCACAACACGCAAGGCCTTCTGGGTAAGAATTTAGATTTTTGACTGGAACTCGGGCAAGACCAGTACTAACCCAAGATTAAACTAGAACCACATAAGATGAAGTAAGATTTGAGAGTCTTTATTTATCCCTCAACAGGGAAATTTTATTTCCACATCATGTGCAAACTAAAGATGCACCAATGCCTCAATATTTGTTGTACAAAATTAAAAATGGCCTAAACAACTTGTAAAAGCATGGCTTTAGGCATGTTTTTTGCAATTTAATATTTACAAAAAATCCAAATTGCTCTTTTAGGTAGATTTGATTAACTTCTACATGATCTATACCATGCATAAAAAGGAAAAAATGTGTTATTTATTTAAAAAAAAAAATTCAGTGGCCCAGAGTGAGTGAGTTCCTCACTTCCTAATTAAATTAGATTACATTTAATGTCATTGTACAAAATGCAACAAAACATTAAAATAAATAAATCTATACCTCAGTAAAAACCCATTAGTTAATTAAATAGTCCCTTCAGGCGTTGTATCTGTGTTTGTGCTTCTGGAGCACGTCCACTGCTCGTGGGTAGAAGCTGTTGCACAGCCTGTTTTAATGGATTCTGAGTCTCCTAATTATTGGCCGAAATGAGTTCATAAGTGCATTTGACAACTTTCAGTGGTACACTGCTAACCACACACCGATGTCTAAAGATGGAAACTGGAAATTTGCTTTATAATTAGATGTAGACAGCACACACTGGCCTCATTTTGACCCTATGAGCTGCTTTTACAATATGTACTGGAGCAAAATGATTTTTCTTTACTACATGTATAAAATCTGGTACAGTGCCTTCCCATTCCAAAGATAGATTTTTTTCCAACTTTTTATCGCTATGGCAATAGTTCAAAGTATAGATATATCTATACTAAAGCATGACCCTAATGTTTTATTTGTTTTTCGGTCCAGGACAATTCCAGCACACAGACATGACTGTCACCAGACTGAAGAACCACCAGGAGGCAAATGCTAACGCTAACCGCTCCAGTCCCAAAGAGCCCACTGTGTCCAGGGGCATTCTGCGATGGGGGCAGCAGCACATGAGGGTCACTCTACAGGACAAAACTTTCAAAGACTCAGTCCAAAGACGACATTCGGGGAAGTGCTGGGTGGTCCCGAAGGCCGAGGTGGAGAGACTGTTAGGGCATCCGTACGAGAGCTATGTGGTGGATCACGTCTAGGCTAAATACATCATCAGATGTTACAAAGGACTACTGGACATTACAGGGTTAATGGACAAATGAACAATGTGAAGGCAATGACTCCAGGGGGCGCTAACATGTACGAGAGGCGATAGAGACTTAAAGGTACCGTATGTGTGTTTCCCAGTTGCCAGGATCCTCAGCTTCTGAACCACTTCGGACAGATACATGTCATCAGAGCTCCGCCAAGTGGTGTTCCAGTTCCCCCAAAGCCCTCATGTCCTCCGCGCTCAACTTTTCTGTTTGGCTCTTTTATCAAGGATGCACGGGTGGGTCCTTGGTTGCCTCGGAGCACTTGAAATTCCCCACAATGCACCTGCAATTTCATTTTTTCAAACTTTATTTAAGCAGTAAAATGCATTTTAATAAAATAAACCTGATTATACAATAAAAAAGAAATCAATATTTTGCTATTTTAGCCACATTCCTGCAAATAACACTATTATAAGATTGAATGAATTGAAATCAGGACAAATGCAGCTAAATCTCTTAAAGAAGGGGTTAGGAATACAATTAGCCAAAAATCCCAAAATGCCTCTGTACTTATTTCTGTAGGCTAATTATCAGCCTAAACAACTCAAAAACAGATGATTCACTCAGCCTTTATTATTCAAGTTTTAATGCCTTTATGTTTGTAGAAGCATTGATGTTTATTAAAAGTTTTATCGCCTTTGATTTGGTCATGTGATACGGCTCCAGAGCCTGCTCCAGGGGCGCTCACAGGGGCGCTCCCAGGAGTGGTGACACGGCTCTGCTTCAGAGGAGCCAACTTTGGAAGTGTGGTACAAAGTGGTCTTTGGTGGAAGGATCCTGGGAATTGAGAAACACCCTATGTTTCTGGAGGTGGCATGTCACTTGCATGATTATGGAACCAGACAGTTAAAACCATACTTCTCCATTGAGATAGATACATTTTATGCCACATTGCGGAAAAATTATAGCCAAAAGACCAACATTTGAACAACCTGGAGACATGCAGTAAGAGTCAAGCTTGTGGAGATGCAAGCCCGCTCACATTAAGGACACGTGTTTTTCAGTGCAACAAAAACATGCTTTTATTTTTGTCTAGTTTTTGGCTAAAAAGTGTCTCAAGTACATGTGATGTATTGGTTTGGTGACAAGGATAAGGGTGTAAAAATATCCAAATGGTACAATATTACCAAAATAATCGCTGCAGCTTCATGTTAATATGGTATGTTGCTAAAATGTTGTTTATTTTACAGGGACTATGTTCAGCTGCATGAAGAGATGCTTTGTACCAGACTATAGCTTTCAGAGCTCATTTCCATCTGTCCCTGAGACATACAAAACACAGAATACACAAACGGCACAAAAGTACAATTCATGATAAAAAAAACATATAAAGACGAGCTCTATCTTTCTCACTCTGCTCCCTCTATGGCCTTAATCGGATACAGTTTAGTTCAGTAAAATGATTTTTTCCTTCATTTGAAAATATCAGTTTCCAAAAACAAATTATTTTAAACCAACTGTAAACAAATAAAAATGTTTAATTTGGCTGCTCCCTCTTTCATTGGCACAGTGAAGCAACTGTTTGGTGATTTGGTTTAATACTCACAGCATCATGTCATGCAGAAACGTGAATGAAACCAAATACAACTTTTTATGATTAAAAGCTAAAAAAGGGACCACGGCATAATTCAAAATGTGACCCATATTGCCAAAGTCGTTCTTGATAAATAAAATGCACTTATGTAAAAATGAGAGGAAAGACAATTTGTGCTTAATGCTGTGAGGATATGAAAGAGGTCATTGTAGATTTCAAATGAACCGAACTGCGTCCTGTATTTCACCAACACTGCATCTTTCTGTTCACACGGCAACCAGGAAATCTCCATTTGAGATGCTGTTTGGGCTCCTCATGCAAGACATTTACTCGTATTTACCATGAGATTCATAATTAGAGCTTTATTTTGTTTAATATGTACATTCTGTTTTAAGTTGTGTATTTTATCAAGTTTGTTAAGTAGGTATGTGAAATCTTAGTTACAAATATTTGATGAAGAGTTTAAAGAATTAACATGAATAAAATAATTGTCAAATCATTAATTTACACTGTCATAGCATCATATTATGTTTTCTTCGATTGCTGCGGATTTACTCATTTGTTTATTTTATATATGAATTTGTCTAAAGATAAGGATTTGCTTTGTTGACATCTGTAATAATGGTTAAATGTAAAATAGATTAATCCCAAAAATCCTTAATTGTAATGTATGTAAATAAAATAAAATGTAATTGTAATATTATTATTAGTACATAAAAATCCTTTATTATGAATCAGCGTTGTAATATTTTAGTTCAATTTACAGTTTAATCAATCTAGTGTTCGTTAAGTAATGATGTCACTTCTGGGTCCAGCTGGAAAGTCCACAACTGATTTCTGGCTTTTTTTTTTTTTTTTGGTTAAATTTGCTACAATGCTGCCTGTCTTTTTATCTGATGTCTGCCTCCTGAAGCCTCCCTTTTCTTTGGGACACCACTTAATATGACACATTTGATTGACAGCTGAAAAATAGAGGATCAAGGAGAAGAAAAAAGGAGAAGGAAATGAGGAAAGAGAAAGTAGATGCAGCCTTGATTGGGTGGCAAGTTTTTCAGTCCTTGAATTATTTGCTGCAAAACACCATGACTGCCAGCACAAGGCTTTCATTGAAATGATCAGAATTAGTGTGGTTAAATGCACGTTAAAAACCAAGAAACACTAACTGGAATACCACCTCATGACATCATAAAGTGGAACCAAACATTTAGAGCTGTAGAGATGGACTAATACAGGATTACTCAAACATGCATGAATTAAACATAACCACAGATACTTTTTATACAGAAAAGATTAAAATTAAGTAAACTAATGATTTGGGAACATTGTTTAACATTATTAAAGCTTCCTAAAAGTAGATTTACATAATACACCCCCTTTAAGAATATACATACAGTATGAAACAAAATCAACTTTTTTCCACAGGTTTGCCATGTGCTTTTTATTTTTCATTTCAATTTCAGTCATAGTTTAGATCATTTTATTTGTTACACAAGACATTATAGGCATTGTTCACATACTAGTGATCAAACAAGGACAGAAAGTTTCTACTACTCAGCCTGAACTATCTTCACTTGTCCATTTCAAGGGAATTAAGTCGATAGTGTTATTTTCAAATGCCAAAAATGAATGGGAGTGGATACAGAATGACCGCACAAGGCTTTTTCCATAAACAAAATAAAGACAATGTTATAATGAATGAAGGAGAGGCAACAAATATATATTCAGTAAACAGTTTTCCAGTCATAATGGTTTTACACTGCAAAAAATGTACGTCTAAGTGAGTTAAAATAAGTTGTTAGCGAAATATTAATCTTGAGTTGGTTTGACAAGCTTATATGAATTTATTCATTTAAACATGATACTTTAACTTATATTAAAAGTATTTCTCACTGGTTTAAATACATAACCCCATATTTCAGGCTAAATTATGTTTAAGCAACTCAAATATACCATGTACAACAAGTTAAATAATCTAGGTCCTATTAGAAAATTAATAAATGCTGGTAAAGTCAACTCAAAAAGATTAATATTTAAAATTTAACAAACTCTTTCAATTCCAGAAGGTGTTTATTTTATGCAGTGTACAATGAGCACATACAATAATGACTGATGCACAGAGAGACATGTTGAAATAGGCAGCAGTATTTTTTAGAGTGTATCCTCCATTGAAACTTTATTTGGAATGCATTTAATCATAGCAAAACTATGATGGACACAGGAATGACCACTAAATTAGGTAAACATGTGACACTGCAAAAACAATCAAACAAACAAAATAATTAAGTTAGTGTGCATCACTTAAAAAAATCAATTCTACCAGATATACTAGTAATGGAGTAAGGTAAGCATAGAGTTTTCAGCATAAGACGCAACCGTTCGTTCACAATTTGCCGGAAATTCAAACTGCAAAAACAAAAGGAAAGTCAGCTCCCCTTTTCGGTGTTAATTCAGGAATCAGTTGGTATGTTTAAGTTAAAAGAAAAATGGTTGATTGGAATGCAACAGCAAAGCACTGCATCTGTCAAAATTCAGATTTCAAGTGATGTTATGGGTGCCAGGACAACTGAGTAGCCCCATTCAAAACATCTTAACAGCAGATTGCACCAGCCAGTTTTAACTTATCTTAGAAGTTGAATTATTGCTAATGTGTGTTTAGTATAACTCATTATAATTACACAGAGAAGTGATGTAAGTTTTTCAACATATACAAAACTTTGCTAAGCTTTCAGCTAAGTTAGGCCCGGATTTACTGAACTGAAAATGCTTATTTGTAAGTTAAACCTAGATGGTGCAATCCAGCACAAGTTCCATATTTTGAATGGTTTGTTGCAATAAAATGGTTGCAAAATAGGCAGTTAAAGTAAAAGAGAGTACTTTTTTTTTCTTCATTATTTTTGCCAATAACGTTAACATTTTGGCACAGGAAGGATCTAAAACAAGAAAAGAACAAGCACTAAAGGAATAAAATAAAATAAGCCATTCTCAGTGAAACCCCGAATTAAGGCTATGACCAAATCAAATCGTATTGGTTCATTCACGAGGGGCAGGAAACTGTGGCTTCATACTGCTATGCTACTGCGAATTAGTGTGTTCCTGCTTTAACAACTGCACTGTAAAAACTGAATCTCTACATGAGTTAAGATTATTTCAATAACATTATTCATTTTATACTTGGTAATATAAAGCAGTTTATATTTATCTTAATACACACAGAAATAAATTTATAATCTGAAATTACTGACAAATTTTATTGTAATTTCGAATGTATTGGAGACTTGGAGAGTATTGGTGATGGAGGGCAAGAGCAAGATTTCCCTATTGAAATATATTAAATTAGCAAATTTAAACTTGACCACTTCAAGTAACAACTATGCACTTTAAATGAAACAATACCTGCATATTGACAATAGTAATTTTACCTTCACCCCAGTCTCCATTAAATATTATAGGCTTATCAAATGTTGTCATGTCATCTGAAACAGGCCAAAAATGCATTCAAACTACTTTAGTTACTCAAACTAGTCAAAACAACTCAAATAAAGATGAATATTTTAGGTTTTAAACTCAAGTAGTTGCAGTTTTTACAGCGTATAGTTTTTCCATTGGCTATAGCCCCTAAGGGAGTGACTCTTCCAGTGACGTACACAAGGGTTGAATTCAAACAACCAAGACACAATCCGGTGCATTCACTTTGAGCTGAAATTTCAGTCTTCAATCTTAACACAACTTTCTCTAGTTCGGACCAGAAAACCTCCATAAAACCTCTTCTCAAAATCACATACTTGCAGTTTCACAATCCGTTTTTTTAACACTCTTTCACTGCAAAAATCAAAAAATCTACATGACTTGAAATGACTTAAACTCCAGAATCTTGAGTAGTTTTAACACATTTCAATTTATTTACTAATAAAACCTAAAATGATTGGTTAAAGAGGTTTTTTTTTTGTTTGTTTGTTTGTTTTTCCCTAGTTTTTGACTGGTAACAACATAATGTTAGTAGTGTCATATTAGCTTTTTATATAATTTAGATATAATTTTCTAACCATAAAATCCAGAAATACTTTCAAAATTACTGAACAAGTAAATAAATGCAAACTTGCCATAACTACTCAATCAAAAATTACCGAATCAAGTCATTTTAACTCATATAGATTCTTTTTTTTTTTCAAATGTGCCCACTAAACTTTCTTGAAGACCAAAGTTTCGATCACATACGGTAAACGTCATCACTTCAGCCAGTGAACTGTGCACCAAATATATAGAAATAAAACTCTTCAATAATTTAAAGTGTTAGAACATATTATAGACTATTGAAATTTCAGAATACGCAACAAAAACAGAAATCATCAACATTTTCGGGTAGGAGGGTAGTGTGGGGGTGACAGTTAGCCTAGTATTAGCCACTGGATAGCTTGTTTGCTAGCACAGGGTCACACAACAGCAATGCAAAGTGAGCACTGAACAGGCGGTTTTGTACAGGCGATTTCACATTTGCCTGATTTTTGCAAAAAGTAGTCGCGTCTATTGAAATAAGACAAGAGAAAGTTGTAATATTGTAAAGCAGGGTTGATAGGAGAGGTGTCTGAATGGGCCAGCCTTCATTTTGCGGAACTGCTATGTACAACAACGGGAAATATACATGTAGAATTACTATAGCTAGAGTCACCACCTCAAAAGTAGTAGTAAAGTTGGACTACACTGCTAAAATGTCAATTATCTTTGAGTCTAAATTAAATTGTCAGAGTACAATATTGTTCATTTTGCACTCTAAATAAGTAAGATACAAAAAAAACATCAAGGCATGTTTTCTTAACTCTCAAGAAATTTCTCAACTAATATAGGCATTTTGATCTTAGCTAGATTGAATTGCACTTCAAAATTGTCTTTTAAAACAAGTCTGTTGATCCACGTTGCTGTTATGTTGTGTGAATTTGACCTTTTGTTTTAACAGTGATAGTACAAACAATATACAGAGAGGCAGTTGGTTTAACTATAGCATCTACACGACGCCATTTCAAGTCTCAAAATTCTATAACTTCTTGTGGTGATTTTTGTCCCAATGTGAACTTTAAAATGAGTAAAATCATAAAGCATTGAAAATCATTGACAGTTTCATTTCACAGCTAGGAGAACACATGGTTATATATTATCTACAATGTGTAATGGAAAAACCGCATCAACCCTGCTTTTCAGTGACAAAAAGTGAGTATTTTAACAGCGTGTCTGTGTGAATGGAGAGATCAGGGCGTAGAGACAACAAAGGAGTACCTGCACTGCAAAAATGAACGTCGGCATGAGTTAAAATGACTTGAATTCATAATATCAATTTGATTGGAGTAGTTCTGACTAACTTAGGCTTCACTCACGCATACGCCATCCCTGCATATTCCTTTAGATGTCTTAAGTTTGTAGGCCTAGATATGAGGACTTGTTGAAATATTTGGAATTGTCTGCCATGTATAAAGTGAAATAATCCTAATAAGTCCTATTTCACCACTCATTTTTATGTTGATCCAAAGCATTTTACCTAACTTGTATACTTTGAATTAACATTTATTTTCAGATAGAAAAAGATGATACAAAACCGTTATTTGAACTCATTTTTGAGTGTATTAAATGCATCTAAACTAGCCATAATTACTAAATCTAAATAATTATTTTAAATTCAAGTCATTTTATCTCATATGAATAATATTTTTTTGCAGTGTGAGTATTTCCGCCTGGCCTCTGCGTCGCCCCCTGGTGCTCACTGCTCGTCCTCTCCGAACACGTCATTCTGTTTGCGCTTCATGTTCTCAAAGTCGAAGTCGGAGCCGGTCATGCGTTTGTAGATGTCTTTAATGTCGTTGCAGGTGGTTTCAAAGTGAGTGGTGGCATCGTAGGACCGCGACGCGAATATCTGTGGCACAAAGAAGAACATGAGAATTCTTTTTTTTTTTAAATATGAGATTGATTTATTTCAGTGATTAGCACTTTCTCAAACATGTGATATGCTGTATGAGATCCGCAAAAGCTAATCATAATGAATGAATGAAGCAGTAAACCAATTAAGTTGATAATCTGAAATATACACACACATAAATCACAATGACAGCACCATTATTAAAGCAACACAGGAAGTGGCACTTCAATTGCATGACTCCCTAGAAACAGAAAGTTAAAACCATACTACAGAACATTCTTCTGTGGATATAGATATGTTTTGTGTCATACTGTGGAAGATTATAGCCAAAGGAATAGGAACATTTCCATGGTCCAAAAAAGACTCACAGTAAAGATGTTATATTTTTTAGTGCAATAAAAATAGCCAGAATAAAAAAACATGCATTTTTGTCTATTTTTTGGCTAAAAAGATTTCAAGACATTGCAGAAAACAAATCTTGTTTGTGGATATTCTTTACTAGGAGACATTTATTCTAAAAGTCACCATATTTAATCTAATAGAAATTAATTACTATCGTATTAGCATATACTAGCATTCTAACAACAATTACGCCTAACAAACCTTATATTAAAATAATTTCTTACCTGACTGTCGGATCCATCATCTGTGGGCTCGTACATGTCACTAATGGCCACAAACCTGCCAGACACAGATTCATCAGTCATACATGATCTTTGTACATACTAGTACATGGAATGCTTTTCTGAATACAAGCTTTAACATTGCTGTGAGACTGACTTCTTGTCTATGGGCTCGAGCAGCTCCAGTGCAGGTGCGATCTCGGACTCAGGCTCGGCGGTCTCCACGGTGGTGCTGACAATGGCGATGTATTTGCCCTGTGCCGCCACGTTATGAGCGTATGAGATCATGCACACGTAGATGTCTGAGGAGAGAGAGGGCAGAGCAGGGAGAGGATAATTAGGAAACAGCACGTGGTGTTTGGCTTCTCTAATAATTACTATATTATTCCCTTATTGTTCAATTTATAAAAGCAAGAATAATACTTCTTAGCCTTAACATGTACTGTGTACACAGGGAACTGATTTTTTTTTATTTTTTGGGAGGGGGGATTTGCCAGTTAAAAAAAGTGTTGTCAATGTTACTGTTTATCATGATCTTTCCTGTAGCAATATATTTCACTCAAAATCTTTCACTGTGACAGACCTATATGAGCAGGTGACAGGTGCCCTGTGGTAGACTGACAGATTACTGACACAATAACTGGCATTAAAACATCGACCTTATGATTTGTGTATAAAAGCTCTCATCATCAGTGTGTTAACTAAACACTAAGTAGTCTAACATTTAATGAAAATACCTATTCAGAATACTAATAACTTTATAATTTGGTATAATACAGTTATTTTTCTAAGTATTGTAAAGACAAATAGGAAACAGCTCTGCTGAACAAATGGAGTAACTAGTTGTTTAACCCTATTACGCATTTTTACACTATGATGATTATATGATGAAAGTATTTAGAAAACAGTACTCAGCTTGAAGCATGAAACAGAATATGTTACAAAATACATGTTATGCAGGTATTCAGTATTCTGTAACAAAATACATTTTGTATTCCTCCTATCACTGCAGGTGCAGGGCTCTCACCTGAGTTGCGGTTGACTTGGTTCTGGGGGATGATGATTTGGCAGGAGTTGGCGTCGTTGGTGTTCTTTATGGGGTGACTGAGGATGCAGATGACCCTGATGACCTGACCTGCTTTACGCACACGGTCAGGGATGTAGCTCGGGTCACAGATCAGCTGCTTACAACGCGCCACCTGCAAAACACACAGGAGTCAGCTATAAACATATGAAGGGATCATTTTTCAAAAAGGATGAAAAACAGATGTTGTAAACACTTAATGTAAATTAAAAAAAAAACAAATTAAGCTATGTTTTACAAGTACAAATAGTATTTACAACTACTCAGCTTCACATCTCCAACAATGACAATTACAAAATACTAAAAAGAGAATAGGAATTCTCATGATCCAAGGATCCTTTGAAACATTAATACTGATCGCCTTATTGCTGTAAACATTCCTGAGTGTGGAAATGTAAACTGTTGCTTGTAACACAATTAGCTTGTAACATTTAATTCAGTGTAATGAAAACCTGGATGCTCTACCTCTCCTTCAGACTTGACTCCGACCACATGGCCTCCCTCCATCACAATCTCCTCCACAGGTTTGTTCAGCATGTATGTCCCACCATAGATAGCACTCAACCTAAAAAGCACAAGGCAATTATTTAAAAACATTTAAATGATTACTTTAGGTGGACCTTTAAGTGGCATTTGTTTTATGCCATTTAAATGCATACCATGTAAATTTTCAGGTAAACAGCATACCTACTTGTCTGCCAGCAAAGCAATTCTCCACAAACAGGAGGCAGACCCTCCACCAGAAGAAAAGTTACATACAAATTTTTAAGTCCAGTCAATCACTAACCTTAAATTAACCTCTGACAAGATTAGACTAATAAATAAAAGTAATACATACTTTTGTCTAGATTAAATTAAAATGGAAAATTTTATTTAAAAAAAGGTTTCAAAGGTGGTCATCTGGACCAATTCCTCCCTTTAGGTCTCAGGCCAGAACCATCAAAGTGAAAATGGCTTTTGGATGGGAGCCGAAACATGTCCAGATGATCACTCCTAGATGAATGAGGGAGTGTGTGTATTTTTGTTATATGCTAAATTATTTATCAAACATTGTCTCAGCAGTATTAATCATAATTACCCAACATTTTCCCCAGAGTATTGTGTACCCATAATGTTTACCTAGCAAAGCCCTGTGGCAGCTCGCCCAGCCCATACAGGGGGTAGAGGTAGGGGCTCTTTCCATATCGAGCCAGAGATTCACTGTACAGATGCGGTTGATTGTTTCCAAACACGGCATGTCCATGTAGCTGAAAGAAGAGAGAATATGCTTTTATTCTTCTACTGACCAACAGTAGTGACAGGCTTTTGGTTATTACAAAGTTAAGGAAATAGTTGAAGAACAGTAAAACAATGCTTAAGTCTGGGGTCCATGATAGTTACTATCTCTCAAAGCCCTTTGACACATGCAACTGTTCACATGTTTATGTTGTGCATGCACAGCTTTAGACCAGCTTCTTTTGACAGAGATATGAAGCAGGGCACACTATTATCCCTAAATGTAACATATCATATCATATTATCATTTGATAATTAGATGCAAACAGCACACAGTTGTCTGGTTAAGACATGAATTGAGGATTTTACAAAGCAAAACAGGTTAAATCCTCCAGCTAAGGTAGTCCTGACTCCTAACCAGTCAAGCAAAGCTCAAGATCTGGAGATCTTAACTTTAGATGACTTTAGACCTTACAATATACTCTACTGAGGGAAAACTAGATTCAATGACACCCGTCTTAATATATCACAATGATTCCATTGTCAGTGTTATTCAAATCATGTATTTTTGCAGTTTTTTAACAGTTGAGAGCAACTATAAAATACATAAATAAGAGGTAATTAGCATGTAAAGGTCCATAGTTATCTGATGTGCTGCACTTACTCGTCTGTCCTGTAGAGGGCAAGGGCATGTCCGGTGAAGTCGATGACATCTTGTCCCAGGTCAAACTTCTTATAAACGTCTCTCATTGTGGTGGTTTTTGGGTCGACACCCTCAAACGTTTTGGGGTCATTCTCGTCGAAGTTTGCCACAAAAACTAAAAACTTTCTAAATCTGCGCTTCTCGAACATGCCCATCAGATCTGAAATGACGAAATAGTAGCATGAGGAGAGCAGGGTTACAGCAGCAGTGATTTCAGATAACATCACAACATCCTAGATACAAGATAGATACTTTTTATGCCATACTGTGGAAGCTGTGGAAGCCAAAAGAACTTCTTAAATTTTTCTTAGGGACCTTTAGTTTGATAAGATTAAGAAATGACAGCATCTACTATACAACAGAGTTTACAATGACTAATTATGATCCCTGCTTCGTGTATTAAAGCTGTTTGAAAATCTTGCAGTTTATTGGTGATGTAGATAATTCTTATTTATTTGTCACACATCATAACAAAGCATCAGCACATTCATTTATCTGTTCCATGCCTGTACTCAAGACAAACAAACAACTCTGACATTTGCACTGTCAGCCTTTCTCAGGAAGCACCAAGCACGAAAATAAATAAACAGGGGCTATTACACGTCTGTGGACTATTAATGACATATTTAGATCACCACATTACCTTTTATTATTTTGGATGCTATATTTGTCAAAAACCATATATTAAATTTTAAAATTTGTTTCACTTTATTTTTTGGTGTTCTGAATCCGTGCATCCCGCTAATGAAATTACAGCACATCGCACCAAGCATGTGTCAAGTTGTAGTGTACAGTTTGTATCATGTATTTGTATATTTATGGAGAATTGTCGTGTGGGAGAATGAGTGACATAAGGTTGTGGGTGGAGCATTGGGCAGAATCTTACAGCTAACTATAAGGTGGTCTCAAATTACTCAAACATGCATGGATAACATCTAAAACCTCTTCAGATGTGTTATAACATGATCAAAAGCTCAAAAATGTTGATTATGCATAATACCCCCTCTTTAAGATATCTATTTACTGAAATAAATGATAAATAAATAAATTATTATTTGGAATTTTCTTTTTTTTTAAAGTTATTTTATACCTTGTAGAAAATGATCTACCTAAGTCCGTTCCAGGATGAATGAGGGATTACAGCAGCCATGTACATAATGCAGTGTACTGTGTAACTGTGGGCAGGCAGCATTGCTTTCATAATTCTACAGTTTGTGGTGTTTGCCCCCATTCTACCATCTGAAAAAACACCATTGAAAACCTGCATAGGACAGGCTAGCTGACAAAAAAATGATTATCATTTTACTTCCTGGTTGTACATGGGCAGTAGATCTGATATACGTAGAGCTATTTCCATAATTGTTACCTAGCAATCATAATAATAAGGACTAAAGCTTGTCTGAGTCATACAATAGTAATAAGTGGCAAACAAAAATATGACAACACCTTTATAAGTCAATGAACTGTCAGAAAATGTGATCCCTGTGTGTGAATTGCCCCTGAATTTTGGATGGATTTTTGTATTTTGATGACACAGATAGAGAGATTTCTTTTGAAAACTCAGCACTACTTCCTGCAATGTGGTTCTGGTGCAAAATTATAATAAACATTTACCACAAGTGCCACCTCATATAATAAGGTGCATTATGTGATGTTTCTGAAGGGACCACTACCAGTCCCCATGATGATACTGCCTAGAATGTTCCACAATATGGCAATGAACTTATCTCCATGGAGACAAGAAGGTAACGCTACCAGGCCAAGTTGCAAGTCAGACCTATGGAGAGGCGAGCTGTGTCAATGTAAGAATGTATGCTTTTTCAGTTTTTGTTTTTTTTCCAGCAATAAAACAGCATAATTAGGTACATGGGCGATATACTGTGCATATGTTAAAGGCAAAACAAATAAAAACCTCTCACCAGAAAAGTTACCATATTGCACCTTTATGTAAAAATTATAAAACCTGTCATATGTGTTTTAAACTTGCACAGACACCAGAGACAAACAGAGACTCACTTGAAGCCAGTGCCTCGGTCTCGGTGGAGGGAACTTTGTAAATCTTTCCTCCTTTGTAAACGAAGCTCCCCTCCACCACCTTAAAGTCCAGGTACCGGGTCACCTCTGTATACAGCAGCATCTTCACCAGCTGGCCTAAAAAACACAACAGCAGATTATCAGCTATTTTGTTTTGTTTATTCATTTGTGTTTTGGCTAATTCACTTTTTATTATTTTATCCCATATTGACAATGGTACTCTGGCCAATGCACACAACCACACTTTATGATACCCATTTTGCAAGGAATCTGCAGAGAAAACTCAAATTTATAGCACTGTTAAAGCTTTTTAAGAGCTGGTGGAGTGATGTGGTGCTGTGGTGTGCATTGGTGTTTAGACTTCCTTCTCTTTCTTCTTATAATGGTGACTCTGAAATAATAATCACTATTTTTACATTAAAGGCCCATATGTTATAATGTTGTTTCCTTGTCAAAAACATATCTGGAGTTGTGTTTTGCTCACACATGTTTAACACACAAATTTACGATATTTAGGCTGAGTTCAGAAAGCACACTTGTGATGTCATGTGGTAATACATTAAGTGCCCACCTATGTTTTTAGTGGTATTATTTACTAGAATTATTTGGATGATTTCAGCACAGAATTGGTGAGCTCTTCTGACCTAAAGGTAAAAGGAAGCTGTTGGAAACTACCACTTCATGGCATCACAAGGTGGAACAGAACATTTTGAGCTTTGGGGATGAAGACAGACTAATAATAAAGGGTTACTCAAATATAAGGAGGTAACAACATTATAACATGGGTTAAAGCTCACGGGAATCCATTTTGTAATATAGGACCTTTAAGTGTCTTTCAATTAGACTTTCCACAATGTTTTCATTTTCAGCACCAGTAAGATTACATAAACAACAAAGATTTTTTATACTTTTTTTTTCATAATTTCTTAAATGATCTGGTTTAGTCTGGTTTTAATCTTGGTTTCATTCTGGTGATACTGGAAAGACACGTGCCATGGTACTTAAATAGAGATGTATAATACAAACCATTGGCCATGAGGAACTTGGGGATGAGGTCAACGTTCCAGTCCCTGCCTCGGCCCATGGACTCAGGGGGAGTTTCCGGCTGGTTAAAACGCTTGTACAACTGTGGAACACAACAACATAGAGATGGCAGAGCTTTAGACAGAGATGGAGAGTAATCAGAAACAGTATTTTAGTGACTGTTTTAAAGGTGCATTGTGTAACTTTTTGGTTGGGGGGTTCATTGCTTGCTTGAATGGATGTGTCATTACTCTGCCTGGAATGTTCCACAGTACATTAAACAGCTCTACCTTCTATGTATAAAATTACAGGTGGTTTTATAGCTAAAAAATAAATAGAAAAACAAGCATTCTGTGAGTGGGGTTACCTCTCCATAGATCTGGCCTGTAACTTGGCCTGGTTTGGTCTCCATAAAGATAGAAATGTTTAATACTATACTGTGAAACATTCCAGACAAAGTTCAATAACATCTCCATGGAGGAAAGCACCAGAAAAGTTACACAATGCACCTTTAAGATACTAGTACTTTTCTGACTACCTTTAATCCTTTATTTCAACTTGAGCAATATATTTTGAATTTAGAGTACTCTTATTTGAGTAAATGTTTTCTCTTTCAGTTAACCCAAACCTTAGTCTCGATATAGACTTGTACTTACTGGTGTAATGGTGGCTATTTTTAATGATCTGAATATGCGCATAATTCATATATTATCAGACTATATTCACTTCAAATCACACATCAGAAGTTAAACCCCAAATAGTACTTAAGTGGAATTGTCAACTAAATCACTTTAAATCTAACTGGTGTTAAAATTTTGGCCACAACAGTTTACTTGTACTTTATTGGCATATTGTAAATGGTAAATGTTATACAGTGCTTTTTCTCCATCAAGGCACTTAAAGCGTTTTACATAAAGGAACCACTCACCATTGACACATTCATAGGCCTGTGTTCACAGACACTTGGGCAAGGTGGGTTTAGTGTCTTGCCCAAGGACACAATGACACTGTGGGAGTTGGAATCCACAACCTGTGAGTCAGTGGATCTGACCGCTCACCAATCAAGTTTATGTCGAGAGCGGAATTTGAATTGCCAACCTTCGGATCAATGAACACTCTACCAACTGTCAATTTTGTAATTTAATTATTTGTGAATAATTAACATACTGTTTTACAGATTATATTTACTCAAATTATAAATCAGATGCCCAAACAGTGAACTGATTGTTAACTACATAATTTGAAATGTTGTAATTTGGATTACTACATTTTACTAGTATTTTAATCATATAATAATTTAAAAAAATTATCACTTGGGTAAGATTTTTGAATGATCTGTCCATCTGGTTTCTGATACAGCTAAAAAGTGACAGAAGGCCGAGAGAGACCAAGAGAGGACAAGAGAGGCCGAGAGAGGCACTTTTGGAGCAGCAGATGCACAGACAGCAGTGGGGGTAAACTGAGAGCGAGCAGGGGGCAGTTAAACGTATTGATTAGCCCTGAGCAGACTGTACCTCCTCCAGGGGTGTGATCGAAGAGCTCTCCCCTCCGTAGTATGGGTTCCTGTCCATGTGCAGCACCTTTTTCCCATTCACAGACATGATCCCCGACAGAATGCATTCCTGTGAGAGAGAAAAAATACAAATATTACTTCAATGTGCAGTAGTAGTCTTATTAGTCAGTAGTTAGTTAGTCAAAAATAAGTACTCTCAAACCAAACAGAATACTTCCTTAGGAAAAAGATGTGAAAATAAATGTTTTAGCTAGCTATAGACTCAGATATTAGTTGGCTGGTATATTGGGCCAATATTTCGTCAAGAGATGCCGATATTTAGTTTAGTCCAACCTACTATCTAATGAATATGCCTAAAGGTTTATTTGAACTATTTAGCGTTAAAAGGACACCCCAGAAAATGTATCCACACGACTCTCTTTTCCAGTTTGTACTGAAACAGGGTCAGAGATGAGTTTGTAGGAAATTATATAATTTGGGGGAAAATCAAAATCATTCCTAGATATCGGCAAAAAAATATCAGCAGAGTTTATCAGCCATCAGGTTCTCTGGATTCTAAACAATCTCTAGTTTTAGTTCAACATACAGTAGCTAAGTTAGTGACAAATAAACACAACATGATAAATGATAAATTAAAGTAATAGTAGTAGTAGTAGTAGTAGCAGTAGCAGTAGTAGTCGTAGTAGTAATAGTGGTAGCTGTAATAGTAGTAGTAACCAATTCAATACTATATAGTACCCTTAACTAATTGCTATTGATTATTTGTTGAATACAGCAGCTGTTAGGTAAGGTAATACTTTGAACCTAAATGCTCCCTGTATTTTAATGGGATTTTGTATAATGATGATAATATTACGCTCTAATTCCTGTATGCTGTATTGCCACTACACTGGTGAAAAATTATGAGAGTAATTATGAGTAAGATAATGTATAGCTTATGACACCTGAAAGACAGTTTGTCCTCTACTTTGGACCCATCCTTCAATGACACTGGGGTTAAACCTGTCAGGAGCAGTAGGACACCAGGGACCCACAGTTAGCTTACATCATGATGACCTAAAGGAGGATTTGACCAATGTTTTATGTATTAGATTGATGAGCAAACATGCAGACTCTTCACATAAAGACCCCACCCAATAAGACCTAAGAACTGAACCTGGGGCCTTCTTTTTACAAGCCACCATGCCACCTTTACTGATGACAAATAATCAATCAATTGTATTTTAAGTACATCTTAAATGCTACCTTCAATTCTATACATTCTCAATGGTCTTGACTCTTTATTCAGTTGCATAGCATAGCCAAAAATAGTTCTACATATTTTAATTCGATTATTATTTCCATTAGGCCCATATAAATCCGTTAGCCGATTAATCATGAACACAACAAAGACAGAGATTAGTTTGAGACATGATTAAATCAGAGGGGTGTGCGCAAAGTCTGCAGCCAGGGAGGCACAGATGACCAGTACGCATGCGTAAAATCATATTCCGCTACAGTACTATCATTGTTTACAGCACAGTGATAAAGAAAACAGCACACAGTCTATCGCTAACTATGATTGCAACTAGTTTATTACATTACGGCGCTATTATGTTGGTTATTGCTACGTTATAAGGTATTGGATACATCCATGGAACAAGTCAAAGCGCAATGTAAGAGATAGCGTGGGTATTTGACAGTTTAAGGCGTATTTCTGTCGCATAGGAGGAAATTGTAGTGGCGTCGTCAGCGTCTACAGAGCATGGAAAGTGTTCAGTCATTGAATGGAGTGATGTTACGGCCTGCACCGACGCCAAACGAGGCCTATGCGTGCACAACCATCACACGCTGCAAAGGGGTTACGCCCAATGAGGTATTAAAAAAGCTAGAGAGATAGAGCATCGCCATAGTAACTTATAGCAACCAATAGCGCGTTCCAGTAGACAGGTTTGACTGTAAAAAATCTACTCAAGAACTCATACAAACTAATTAGGGAGCTAGACTTTCTCAATCTAATTGATCTAAAACACTATGATAATTGGCCTTTGTGAACATGTGTACTTTATCTAGTACTAATAATACAATCTTGGTGTGAAGTATACAGTATAAGTATCAGTGGATGTGCCTACAGATGTTGTATTGACAGTTAAATTCTGCATATCATACAGTCCCAGTGTTTAGTTAGTGTTTAGTGAATATTCCTTTTCATAATTTAGAAATGTCCTGACAGAAACAAGTGAAATTCTCTACATTGAGAACATAAAAAAGGTTGTCAATATATGTTAATTCAAACCTTTATTCAATGACATTTCTGGTAATGTTTTAACATTATATTAGAAGTATACAGTCCTTCTCTTACAATCACAAGATGGCCGCCGCGATTGCCACGGTAACCGAATCTATGGAGTCTCTAGCCTTTATTATAACTCATTGGTTACGCCTTGAAGATGCTACTGCCTTTACGCACGCCGCTGTATCGTCCCCATCAAATGGAAACGTAGCATGGGACTGTTTCGAAGAAAGCTAAAAGCTAAATGCGTTAAGCTAAACAACATATCTTGCACAAATGTTATGGGTAAGAGTAGAATGGATACACTCCCAATAGGAGCCAAACATGCATCTAGTTGCGGTAATAATGCGTGAATACTTACTGTGAGCCCGGTTCCCAAAACAATCACATCATATTCCTCATCCATGGTGCAAGCAGCGCCTCTCCGTCTCGCCCTGTGTCAGAAAAATGAAATGAAGGGTACCGAAGGAAGGGAGGATACGGTTCCTGCTGGATACAAGACAGATCCTCGCACCGGTGTTCGGCTCTGTTCTACCCAACCAGCTGTTCCCAACCAAATTAAAAACTGTAAACTATCATTCGCCAGAAAATTGACAAAATGTGAAGTGACCACACACACACACTGTCACCGGCGAGGACAAGCAAAGATGGCCCTGATCGTACAACTCGGGTACAATGTCCTTGCGCGTCGACAAATAGTGCGCATCCCGTTTTACTGCGCCTGCCTGGCTGACACAATAGGTCAGCTACATCCCTCTTTTCTGTAATATGAAACTCCTCTCTTGTGCCATCCCTTTATTTAACTGTTAACATACACTTGCAACTTGTCACGACTGTTTTGCCACACATAAACGTTGGCATTCGCTGCTCGTTATCCACGTTTAGACAAAATGTATGCCTATATTTTATTCCCATGCCTCTTTTTGCGTTGTAGGCGCAGAATAGCGTGAAGTCAGATGAGAGGTATCCTTCCGCGGCCACCACAGCTGTGAGGAAGCCAGGGAGTTGCTTTCACTGACAGAGAGCGCACCATTTTATTACAATGGAACGATTTTGCATTCATCCTCGAGCAAACATCTGAATATGGCTGAAACTTTTCAGATGCACTGGCTCCTATAATGTTAATAACAGGTGACAATAGAACCAATATGGGGGGTATCAGCACCATGGACAGCTGCCAGGTGAACCCCTTATGACAAAGCACATAATGAACCAAAGAAACTGCTAAAAGCTATGACTATACATTTCTATACACCAAAGTGGCACAGTTTAGCTAATGTTACAGCAACGCTTATAAACCCGTACAGTGTATTGTTCTGCAAGACCAAACTAATATTAAAAGGTTAATTTGACCAAACAGTTGTACAAATATTTATATATATTTCATTAAGGTCTAGCACATTTTTTTAATGTCTTGATGCATTTAAAGTCAGGTTGTAGTTAAAATACACTGCTTTTAAGTTCAAAATAATGATATTATTGATTAAAACCAGGGGACATGGTGCAATGGGTTGAGTTGCATCACAATTTGGTCAACTTTCTCTTCAAAAACTTCATTTTATCAACAAAAAAACATGCCTTTCGTTGACCCAAATTTACGTGTACAGCGAGGAGACATATTATCTGGGTGTTACTGTATTTCCAGTGGGTTTAGGGCAGGGCAAAGGGCTGAATGAAAGAAAAGAAAGAAACAGGAAGCGCTGCGTCCTGGTGCGCACATGACTGTCAGCTGATGCGCATCACGTGACGCACAGACTGCTCTTTGCGGAAAAAGTTTAGCGAAAATGGCAGAGTCGCGATGGTCAGCGAAATCAGCTTTTATCACATATTTTTAGTTTACTTTGGATCACGGGAGCCTTAACGACGCATGTGCCATTGTTGATATGGTCATCTGACAGGTAATACTTAGAAAATGTCCATATTTTGATTGAAAAGATTTGGGGAGTCGATGCTAAACAGATGTCTTCAGGCTAATGCTAACAACTGTGCATTTGGATTCATTGCAGCGTTCACAAGAAGTTATTTCATTTTGGTAATAAATATAGTTTGATTTTTAAATAATAATAATAATAATAATAATGTATATATATATATATATATATATATATATATATATATATATATATAGTTTTATTTTGCGTGTTGATTTTCTACGGTTCATTATGCAAATATAATCTAAAGTAATGTGCCATTATCAAATATCCTGTCTCAAAAGTTATTCTGATCTGAAGTTATCAATAAACAAGACTTAGTAAAAGTCTCACATTTTGTGTCCTTTGGCAAGACACTGCATATCAAGAAATAAATCAGACTATTTTCATTAATTGCCACGGTTTATTCTCCTGCATATTAAAGAATCACTATGTAACTTTCCTGGTGGAGGGTGATTTTATTGCCTTGCCTGCAATGTTCCAACATATGGCATTAAACTATCTCCTTGGAGAAAAGCATGTGACCTCGCCAGATAAATATGTTTTAATGCTATACTGTGGGACCTTCCAGGCAATGCAATAACATCTCAATGAGATTTAGCAGAAAGTTTACTTAGTGTACCTTTAAATACTAATTGTTACTAAAACTAATATCAAAACTAGATACCCATTTGATCAAGCATCAATACTAAAAAAGCCACATTCACAGTACAAAATGTGATCTTTCCTGAACAGTATGTATTTTCGATTTATCAGAATAATTATAAAGAAAGTACTATTACTAATTAGCTTTTTAAAAATCTTTATCATGGTATTAAAATCAGTATTACTTTTACAAAATTTTAGTATCATGACAACACTACTGCATCTATTTGGTGTGTGGTGTTTTAAATTGTCTTTCAGTTTGCCCCCTGTCCCATCTTCTGCTGCTGGACATATCACCTCCCTCACTGAGCTCAAAGCCTACCTCAGCTCTGCGTTAGGCTCTGGACCACACACAGTCCTGCTGTTTCTACAGGAAAAGGTGAGTACATGAAATACAACTGTGTAATTAATCCAGTTTTAATACATTCTTTTTATTGCCTAGCTCTAACATACAAGATTATTATGCAGTTATAATTTTAGGTTCTTTTTCAGAAAAAGTCAGCTCACACTCAGCAGTTGATCAAAAGTGGGGTATTATTGATTAATAACCAAGAATGTTCTGATCCATTTTGGGGCTGCGGCTTTTGTAGGAAATCATGTTATTTTCTAGTACTATGACACAATCGAATAATTTTATTTCTTTAAAAGGTTGAAAATCATTTTGTAAGACTTAAGGTTAGGGTTAGAGTTAGTCTCACCATTATAGTACCAGTGTTGTTGACAAGAAAATTCCTATGTGATGTAAAGCTATTCTTACCCTGGTGTGACAAAGTATTAGAATGACTTCCCTATTTTCACAGTTCCTCTGCAAAACCCGCTCTTAACAGTATTAGCTGTGGGTAGTAGTGGTTAACTTTTATTGTTTGTTTTTGATTATTATGTTAAGATAATTGTGTGTACTATAATTGGGCTATACATTAGATAATAATAATATTGATCTTATTACTAAAACTTGACATTTTGGCATCCCTAATTTCATTCTTTATTTAATGTTTATTTGTTATTTTTAACAGTTGAGCCAAGATGACTTCACAGTTTACGGAGGTGTCTATGGAAACAAAGAAGACAGTGCCTTTAAAAATCTGGAGGTAAATGTGTTGTTGCCATGTACATTGACCTTTTCTCATACACAAGCTCTACTCCAGGCCAAGTAAGAGTCAGGTTGGAGGAGATTCAAGCCCGCTCAGAGCAAAAACAGATGTTTTCCACTGTAATAAAAGAAAAACAAGAACAAAACATGCTTTTATTTTAGTCTGTTTTTTGGCCAAAAAAGTTACATACTGGGGCTTTAACATAGCTGATTTTCAAATGATCTTTCTTTTAAAACTGTGGCCCATAATACTCTTAATAAAATAATTAGCGGACTAAAAAACTAAACCACAGTTTAGTCACCAGTTCCATTTCAGATTTTTAATTAATTAATTAATTAATCATTGCATTTATATAGCACCTTTCAAGATACGCTTTACAGTTCATTATTCATTCCACACTCGGTGATGGTAAGCTACTACTGTAGCCACAGCTGCCCTGGGGCAAACTGACGGAAGTGAGGCTGCCAATCTGCACCTTCGGCCCCTCTGACCACCACCATCACTCACGCACACACCACTTTTATACTAGGCAGTGTGGGTGAAGTGTCTTGCCTAAGGACACAGCAACAGTTTTTACCACTGGCGTTCCACTGATTTACACACATTTACACAGATTTAATCATCAAATCATAGAGAAAAACTAACAAGGAATAGTACGTTATGTTATGGTTGGACTGTGTTGTTTTGAAATTACTCTATGGCTACAGTTGAATTGCTTGTCTCTCTCTGATCTTTCCTCCAGGCAGCGCTTCAGTCCCAGTCTGCAGTGTTCTCGGCCTTAGAGTGGTCAGACTCCTCCTCTGTGCCTGCCATTCTGGAGCAAGAACTCGGAGTGTCACCGCTGCTCCTCAGCCCAGACGCTTTGGATGAGCTCAAAATGGACGCCTCCGTCAACAGCCTCCTGCTCATCAGCCTGCCCTATTGCAGTGACGACACTCACTGCAGGGAGCAGCTCAGTAGCAATGGTGAGTGCGAGACAAATGACAAATAAATACATTCATGTAAATGATGCGCATACGGTAGAATAGTATAACAGTTACGTTATGCCATGTTGTAATGTAACTTGGCTAGCAACATGAGCTTTCAGCCAAAACCATCCCAGACTGCTAAATGTGTAGAGCTCACTATTGCACCATTACACATATCGGTCTGGTGCGAGGTTAGTTATAATGGTGTTCCCTTTTAGTGCACTCAAGAGCTGATTTAAAGGTCTTATATTACACACAATTGACACCTGTGAGCTTTAAGCCTTGCTATAGTGTTGATACCAAAAACATACATGGAGTTGTGTATTGTTTCATTCACATATTCACACATCTACATTTCCAGTGCTCAAAATGTTCTGTTCCACCTTGTGATGTCATGCAGTGATAGTTTTCAAGTTAACAGCTACCTTTTACTTGCCTGACAGTGCCATCCTAATCGCTTTTGTATATAATATACAAGGAATGGGCTCTTTAATGCATGGTTGAGTAATTTTTTATTGTCTTGTGTTTGAGGCTTGAGTGCTCTGAATAGTTCTGTTTTCACCTATCTCCTATCTCTGCCCATAGTACTTGCAGCTATTCGAACAAACACGGATGCATGACTTCAAACTGCTAATTTTTCTCCTGGTTTAGATGATGTTATTGGACATGTTATGAAAACTCTGGAGGCCAAGAATATTCCTTACACAGCCATGTTCACCGGACTACAGCCATCACGGGTAAGAATAAAGAGGGACACTCTTTTGTTCATTTAGCATATATTTAATTGCAGGATAGGACAATATGACAAACATGAATATCACTTTTTTTTTTTTTTGATTATCCCGTTAACAATATTCACAAAATAGAATGGCAATACAACAGAAATGTCTAAATTATCCACAGAAGAGCAGTAATATTATAATATTTATATATATATTTGTGTTTTCTTACACCTAACCTACCACCACATACTGCCCCTCCTGTCCCTCCAGATGAATGCAGAGCCATCCCTCTCTGCTCAGGTGGGCCGCTCCCTCCTCCAGGCCCCCGCTCCAGCTGAAGTTCGTCCCCCGATCATGTTCAACATGACTGGGGGCCCCTGCATCATGCTCTGGGCTCAGAACCTCAATGTCAGCTTCTCTGCCACTGCTGCCTGGATCGACCTGAGCGCCCAAACACCCTCTACGTCCGGGTCTATATGCAACGAGACCAACTCTGTGTAAGGACTGGTTATATTAGACTTCTGCAGTATTAAAGAAGAGGCCCTGCCTCTTCAAATTGGCAATTTTATTGTTGAAAAACGGCTTCGTAATTTTATATATATGGCCTGGAGTACAGATAAGTGGGTGGAGCTAGGGGGTAGGTGAAACACTTTATTAGCACTTACACACATCAAATGCAAGATGCAAAAAAGCATCTGTGGTTCTATGAATCCCAGTTGACTTTCAGACTTCAGCTATATTCGGAAATCTTACCTTTATCTTTTGTGTTCATGCAGACTGGTCCTGACCTATACTGAAGGCATTACTCTAACGTGAGTCAAACTCGAATACAATTTGTTTCATCAAACAAAGAACAACTATGACGGAATGTGATTTTTTTTTCCAGCTTCTTCCTGAGCAAGCGTTTTTACAAGGTGTCAGCTCGTCAGTGGTTTTCTCTGGACTCGGTGCAGCTCCGTCAGAACGCAGTCACCGCATCTTTCTCCAGTCGCAGTATTTACGCTCCAGCCGAATACTCGTACCACTGTCAGTCTGTGACCAGCTTCAGAGACGCTCTGCTCATCCCCGCCAACAACAACGCCAGCAGCTGGAGGCTCAACTTCATTGACTTTCAGGTACAAGAGTTCTGATCACAGGCAAATGAAATGTACAAAAATCATATACACATTTTAGTTTGTTTTTTTGTGTGGCCCTATAACAGACTGTAAAGACTTAAGACGTAAAAACTATAGGGCTAATGCAATTACTAATTCCTACAAGATGAGACACAAAATTGGGTCCATGAAAATGAGACAAGATGACATTTTGACATAATTTATAATAAATAATTGATGCCTGTTCATTTTAAACTATAGGTATAACACAATTATATGTGATGCTAAACAATAAAAGCCAATATTTCCACAAAAAATGTTGTAAATGTATGTGTGTGTGTGTGTGTGTGTGTGTAACAGAGAAGGGACAAGATCACGTGATACAAACCTTTCTCACATAAAATCATATTACAGAAAAAAATGACAAAGAAAAGGTTTATACAGTGAATATTGATCCCTAAAAATTATTCTTCCATCTAACATGTATTGAAAAATAAGTCGATATAGTAATGAAGATATAATTATAGTTGTGACAGGCCTGTTTGTCCGAGCCATATGTAAATACACAAGACAGTTTTGTCTCATAAGATTTTGTGTCACGTGATCTTGTCCCTTTTCTGTTTTAATGTTTTTTTGTTTTCTTGATATTGTGCAGATCCAAGGCTTCGGTCTGAGTAACAGCACAAACTTCTCGTATGCGAGTGACTGCGCTGGCTTCTTCACAGCTGGGATCTGGATGGGTTTGCTCACGTCTCTGCTCATGCTCTTCATATTCGTGTACGGTTTACACATGATCCTGCAGCTCAACACCATGGACCGCTTCGACGACCCCAAAGGCCCCTGCATCTCTGTGCCTCAGACTGAGTGACCCACACAATACTGACACAAGTGTTTATATGTTAATATGGGGTTTCAAATATACAGTGCCCTCTGCTGATGTTGCTAAGATAGGTTATGGCTGTGGGGGTGTGGCTAACTTTGTTTTGACTAAACAAGGACTGAAACTGGACTAAACCAGGACTGAACCAGAGACTAAGCAATGGATTAGACCAAGGACTATAACCAAGACTAAAACAGTAGTAAAACCAGTTTATAATAGGGCTGGACTAGACCAGGACTAAAACCAGTGGAGTAGGACTAGTGTTTAGACCAGGGGCTGAACCAGTAACTCACCAAGACTGATCAAAAATGGTTAAAAAAGTTAAAATCATAATTATCTCCTTAATACTGTAAATGTTGCAATCTTTCTTATTTCTCTGATAGCACAAGTACTATTCTGAACTCAAACAGTGCCAAAACTTGTATGTGATTGTGTTTTTACAGATTTTGTTTTAGTTATTTTAGCAGCACTTCCTTCTGCGCTGACCTATATCAGCAGAGGGCGCTGGCAGTCCCATTCTCCCGTGTAATATTATTTGTCCAACTTGTTCAGCCAAGGCATGTGTCATCATTACCTAGTGCCAAACCCCTCTTTTACTGTAAACATTTTTGAGTTGTGTTTTCAGAAATCTGTTCGTGCCTCTTAATATTCCTGAAGCAATATGCACTCTGAGCACAGACCGCCTTTAGAGCTACATGAATGTAACTGCTGAATGCTGTACAACTGTTGCCAACTCTTTTGCATTGTAATTAATACTACTGAAGTGCCTGTATATTTTGGTTTGCAAAAAAAGTGTTGCCGCATTTTATCTGTAATGCCCTAATGCAAAAAATGAAGAATATTGAGTAAATGTGTTAAAATGACCTGAATTCAGAATATCACCGTTGTACCCTGATTTAGACTAGTTAAAATTGACTAAAGGTGCACTGTGTGACTTTTCTTGCGGAGGGTTCGTCTCCATGGAGATGATATTGTTTCACCTATGATATTTTATCGCTGAAAAAGCCTTTAACGACATGCGTTCTTACTGTAAACAGCTCTCTCACCTCTCCACAGATCTGACCATTATCAGTGTCTCTGTCTTTAACAATACTATCTCCATGGAGACAAGTAGGTGACTGACACTCAACCAGAAAAGTTACCAAGATGTTATCTGTAACTTATTAATGAATATATTTCTTAGCTCACTTGCAGATAATGTTTGAAACTCAAACCGCTGAAACCTTTAAAGGTGCACTATGTAACTTTTTGGCTGAGATTCCATCACCTGCTTGTTTCTATGGATATGTCATTGCTCTGCCTGGAATCTTCCACAGTATGACATTAAATAGCTCTACCTTACATTTATTCAGTTACAGATGGCTTCATAGCTCAGAAAAACCTACAAAACCAGGCATTCCAACTGTGAGTGGAGTCACCTCTCCACAGATCTCCACAGATCTGGTTTGGACTCCAAGAAGATAGAAAGGTGAAACATTCCAGACAAAGCAATAACATGCCCATGGAGAAAAGCATTTGACGTGCTCTCCACCAGAAAAGTTACACAGTGAACATTTAAATGAGGCAAAATGACTCAAAACGGTAAACATATTCTGATTTTAACTCATTTTAACTTGTGTCCTGAAAAGTTGAGAATGTGGTTCAGATTGCAGCAGTGAAGCATGTGCCTTGTCATGATTGGATAATTTTGAAATGCCAATAAAAGTTAAGTTATTATAAAAGTGGTTAATGTTTAATCAACACACCACTAGTTATTCTGTAACTAGACTATCTGCATTTGAATACACAGTACTCATTACATATAGTAGTCGATGTTTTTCTACTAAATATTAGACAAACTTTAATGTATTAAATCAATAAAAACTAAAGTCCTAAAACACTTAAATGGGAATAGATTAATAAAATATCCTTCAGATTTTAGCGTATTTTATGCATACACGATTTTTTAAAAAATGTTAGAAGTTAAATGGGTAATAACAGCTATTTACAGCAGTCAGATTGGTTTCAATATATCACAATATTGCAATATAACATAAAACAATTTTGTCACATAAATCGGTAGAAAGATTATTAATGTCAACTAAGAAGAGATATTTCACTAGTTAAATCAAGATTATGGTCAAATTCAAGGTATTTATTTTTTACAGTGTAGTCTGAATAATTAGTATTAAGTAAACAGTGGACATGTGTTTGGTAATTGGTTGCTATGTTACACCTCAAGACAACAAACCGGATCTGCTGACCACTAGGCTTCCTTTTAAAGTTAAAGTTACTTCTGTCTATGTTAGCCGAAATTTTATACTTTTTACGAAAAGTCTCCAATATGTCGTCCGCTGCCCCCGTGCGTAAGATCCACTTCGGGAGCACGCAGGAGAGAAGGTTTGTGCCGTTCAGTTATCCCCCAAACCGACTGGGAAACGAGTACGCGCGGCACACTGCGCCCAACGTGGGACCGGGCAGCTACGAGAACCACCAGGTAAACTGGAGCCATAGACCGACCGTACATGTGACTGGAGCCTATTGTAGACAGACTGTCCATATGAATAAATAGACCACTGAAATAGTGAGGGCTTGAGCTGAGTGGAGACGGTTCAGATCTGGTTAGTCTTGGTTTAGTCTTGGTAGAGTGGGCTGTCTGGTGTAACCTTATTTGTTAAAGCAACACTGTCTAACTTTCTTGAGTACAATAATTGGGTGCTCTTAAGAACCAGGTTTGTGGAGGTGCAAGCCCTCTCACAGTAAGGACATGATTTCACACGTTTGTCAGTGTCTGGTTCAGGACTGATTTAGTCTCTAGGTTTAGTCTCTAGAGACATCCAATAATCTTATAAATAAAAAAAAATGCAGTGAACATGGAGGTTTGTGCACTCTGAGGACCCCAGGGACTTCCTGCTGGTGCCCAGAGTCAGGACTGAACATGGGGAGTCAGTGTTTGATTAACAGATCGACAGTGGGGTGGTGTGATTTTTATCAACTATGTCTTTAAGTTAAAAAAGTAAAGCTCTTTTTTAAACCGCACTGACGTCAAAAAAACAATTCACACTTTTATCAGCTCCACAATAGATTATTGCAATGCTCTTTACGTCAGTAGCAGCACGTTTTTTAACCAACAGCCCCAGACGTCAGCACATCACCCCAGTCCTTTTATCTCTTTCAGTTTCTTTCAGAATTGATTTTAAAATATTATTGTTTGTTGTTTCTCTTGCTCCTCCCTATTTGACTGAACTCGTGTCTGTCCACAGCTCAATCAGGACCTTAAGGTCAAATAACCAGCTTCTACTGGAAGTCCCCAGTAAGGCTCAGACAATGGGGTGATGGGGCGTTCTCGGTCTCTGGCCCCAGACTCTGGAACAAACTGCCCCCTGATATGCGCATCATCACAGACTTTGGCCTTTTTAAGTCCAGGCTCAAAACTTATCTATTCATTCTGGTTTTAACACTCAGTAATGCAGTGACACTTTGCACTATTTGTTTTATTTAATTGTTTAATGTTTGCATGTTTTTATATTGAGTTGATTTCAATCTCTCACCTCTGCTCCACAGTATGGCTCTATCGTGTATGACCTAGAAAAAACTCCCATGAGTCAAAAAGGCTATGGACTCTCAGCCAGGACTGCAAAGCGCTTTCCAACTGTCAGCAAGGTAAAGTACAAAATGTGCAATCCTTATCAACCAACTTAATGCCAGCTCTACAGTACAGCATCTATCTGTCTGTCTGCTTATGTATCTGTGTGTCTATCTATCTTGTGGAGCTAGCTATTATGTTAAAACATTGACAACAACAGCACATCCCTGTCAGTGTATTGGTCAGGGGTGATTGCTTTAGTAGAAGACAGTTTATTCTCCATATTAGTGTTTCCAAAAATGTGAGAAGGAGGTATTTACCCAAGGAGAGATTTTGGAAAACAAAATCTTAATCTTAATCTTGTATGGCATGTGCAGTTTCCACACATTCCCACATTCCCACGTTCCACACGTTCCCACATTTTTTCAAGTGTGTCAGAGCAGGCGGTCCATACCACAACTTATCTTTAAAAGTCTCAGGATCAATATTGTGGTTTACAATGAACAAAATGATAAATAATTAGTTAATAGTTTAATAATTTTATTATTTTTATTTTTGTTTCTGTCTTTCCCAGAGCGTGTCTCCCTCCCCTCAGCAGTACCAGCCGAATCAGGCCTTGTCCCGAATCATCCCTCCTGGAAATGCGCCGTTTAACTCCACAGCCCAGAGGTTTAAAATGGGGCCGGGCTCTGCAGAACAGAACCCCGGGTGAGACTAGGGCAAGTATTTAAAGGTGCATTATGTAACTTTTCTGGTGGAAGCTCCGTCAAACGCTTTTCTCTGTGGAGATGTTATTGCTTTATCTGGATTTTTTTACAGTATGGCATTAAACCTTTCTATCTTTATGGAGACCAAATCAGAGCAAGTTACATGTCAGATCTGTGGAGAGGCGACCACACTCACAGTCACAATGTCTTTCTAGGTATTTTTGAGCTATAAATCCAATGTTATACTGTGGAACATCCCCCTAACCAAAAAGTTACATAGTGCACCTTTAAGTACAGTTTTTTTTTTCACTCCTGTATCTGCCCTTTTACTTTAGTAACAAAATTGAGTACTTCATCCACTACTTCTCCTAGTACAGTCATACTTTAAAGCAACACTGCGTCGTGTTATCTGCTTGTATCTACTGAATTTTTATTTTTTTTAAAGTGCCTATGACAGGTTGGACTACTCTATTTTACTAAAACACAGATAAGATCATTATATTTAAGATTTTACAAAAAAAAAATCTTTCCCCCAATTTGGCATTTTTTAAGGTTTAAAATGTTACTTCTTGGTTGTAAAATCATGACATTACACTAGGGAATTCCATAAGTTTGAAGACCTAGTAACCATCTTGCACTGTGGGCCAAAACTCCTCTGATGTATACGGGAATTATTACTTGACCAAAAAAATGTAAGAAAACACCTTTTTTTTTTTTTTTAATTATATTTAAATCAGAGATCAGAAAAATGTGTTTCTTTTATGTAAATTGTACTGAACTTTTAGACATGATTCTCCCAACTGTGATGTCAGTATGGAACTCTTGTAATTTTCAACATATTTTTCAACTTTTCTTCAAAAATAGCTTTTTGATTTGTGTAAAACTGTAATTTACTTTTACAACAGGTATTATCCCACCAAATTAAGTCAAAATTGAAGTATGATCAAAACATGCCGACACAGTGTAATACCATGACATGTTATGTGCACATCTGCTGACCTGTACATGTCCCTCTCCACAGCCCTGGCACTTACAGTGTACATGGCACAGAGGCGCACAGGAGGGTGAGATGGCCCATGTGCTTCGGGAGTCCAGACTGGAACAGACTGCCTCAGCTGGACAAGACGTCACTCAGGGTCAAGGTGGGTAACAACTAAAGCAGTCGCAATACCCAAAAATACTTACATCCAAGTACCCAATTAAAATATCATTAAGTCATACAGGATTTAAACCAAAAATGTAAATTATTTTATACTAAGTAAAAAGTTTGTTACTGTTCTCATTGCTAAATCGGCTTATGCAATATCCGTATTTGAAGGTTTCAGCTTCCTGTTTACAGATACAACTTTAAGCCATTGAAAAGTTTAGTGCATTTTTTTCTCTTGTGCTAGAGCTTGTCTATATTCCTGTATGCATCCCTTCAAATAAGCAAAATAGATATAAAACAGCATTCCATCTAACAAAAGTGCAAGTTAACATGCTTGTTTTTGTTTTGCTTTTTCCCCAGATGCCCACAGAAAAGGAGTTTCTGAAGCAGAGGGGCCGACTGGCCTACCTCAGTCTGTACTATTGACACTGTAACATAAAGTTTTATATGAACAAATAACTTTTGGGCGTTAATTCTTCTGTCTTTCACTCATTTTAAAAAATCTCACAAACAATTATTAATAATAAAAAGCAATATTTTTATTTACAAAACCATTATCTGTCCATGAAACTCTAACCAAAGATACTGGTGAAATTAGACTAAACAAATAACAAAGTATTTTCAGTTTAAGTTGTGGCAAAGGATTCCACCTCCAAAAACAGATAGGGGGCACTGTTGTGCTTAGTGACAGCTAACTGTACCACTGTAAAATGTCTAAAGTCCTTCTACTGTAGTCCATAGTTATCATTTCTTTCTCCGGACTTTGGGCTTCTTGACCGGGCGGAGGTACGGATTGTCGATCATGTTTTCCTCGTTTGATTTTGAAGATGGAACAACAGCGCTGGGAGGGAGGAGGGAATTCTCTTTGTCCGCACTGGGGTCATCCTAAACAGAAAGACACAGTGGTTTAAGTCTCTGATCTGAAGTATTGCCAGATTATTTTATTGCAGTGATAAAAATCAGAACGAACTACATAGCCTATTGATACTTGTCTGTGTCATAACACTGGGGGTATTCTACATGTATGTCTATGGTGGAATGTTTAGCAGACAAAATGCACACATTAGCAAACACTGTCACATATGTTAAGATTGTCTGAAAGCTCAAGAAAAAAATACTAAATGGATTTAAACATCCCAGTTTCATTATTTCCTTCAATTGGGTGTTCTTTTCTGTCAAGATCATAAGGGCTAAGCTTTTTTTTTCACCAGATGTCCTTACTGTCATAATCATACGATACATGAGGTGATAATAGGCCAAGTTCCTGATTAATCCTAGTCTAGAACAGTTTTAGAACTGAATCTGATTTAGCCTTTGTTAGGTCACAGTGTTGTTCCAATGTAGACTGTCATGTAGTCGATCTCAGTTTTGATTTGGATCTGCCTTGTTCTGCGTTAGACTTTATGTGCACTAAGTGTTTTAGTTCAATAATGTAAAGATTAGGCTATTGTTACATTATTGGTTATTGTTAAAACAGTCAAATATAACATACAGTGATATTGTGTCCAGTGATGTTCTCGCTGTCTGTCTGGTCGTCTTGTTCAGAGGAATCTGTCTCCTCTAAACTCTGCAGTTCCAGCTCTGAGGGCAAGAGGGCGCTGAGGTATGGAATCGCACTGGGTTTTGCTGCAATTACTGAAACAATAAAGGAGATGACAAAATATGATTAAAATGACAGTTTTCATAGAAATAACAAGAAAACCCATGACAAATGTGTGTAGAGTTTTAGCAGACAGGACCGCTACTTGGATGTGAAAATTTTAAAGGTTACGGTACATGTTATTGTCCCCACAGTGAAATTTGTGATCTGTGTTTGACCCATCCTACAATGTCTTTGGGGTTTAACCTCTCAGGAGCAGTGGAACCAATCTGCAAATTTTGAGCTAACCTTGGTTATGACCTTAGTTGCCTTAGCTGATAAATTTGATTGTGCATATTTTGGGTTCATTCACTCACAGGGAAATGTGGTGACGTCATCTTTGAACAGAGTCTCAGTTTCTCCGGTTTTGGCCATAAACCTGGTCAGTGCACGTTCCACATCCCTCCTCTGGGTGGCAGCCTTCTCTCGGACCACCTGGTAGTCAGACACAGGCTCTCGGAAGGTCTGCAGAAGAAAGGGTGTAGCAGGTTACAGTCATGTCATACAACATTAACAACATTATCAAAATAGCAGTCATTTCAATCTGAGCTGGATTGCAAGGCTGAAATATGACTAATTTGATTTATATCTCTGTAATTACTAAACTTATCCACATGAAGAACAATTCTCTAAACATTGTATCAAAAATTAAGTGATTGCTTTCACTAGCAAATCTATTGAAAGGAACATTTCTCAACCCATTTGTTGTGTATATTACATTTGGAGATATCTTTCAAAAACAATTAATCGTTCACACAGCGAATACAGTCTGTTGTTAGAGATCATTTGTTACAGTGTGAAACAGATGTAGTTTTTCTTACAGGAGTTTTGATGTAGGTGTGAGGGTCAGGGAAGTCTGGGAAGTGGCTGGGAATGTGAGCAGGATGAGTGCGCTTCTGTCCGGCTGTGAGGGCTTTGGGGGTCACAGGGGGGTTCGTCACAGGAGCTGTAAATCAGAATAACACGATTTTTTACACAAAACAAAAATAAAAATCCATATGTATTTTCTGATATTACTATAAAAATATACACAACTTTTTCATAGACTTTCAAAATTTCAAATGTATCCTGGGTTGAATGTATTGTTTTTAAGCAACAAGGATGTCAAAGTTATGTGGTAACCATTAAAGGGATCAGTTAATTAAAGTGTTTCACTATTCTTTGGTTAAAGGATCAGTGAATAATTGTACATTTTAGATGTTTCTCCTCACAATAATCATGTCACTAAAATTTCATATTGTGACTTCCCAATACAGAGCCTTTATTAAGGGTTTACTTACGTGCAGTTATTACCATCCTTTGAGACCTTTTGGCATATACAGGTAGAGTGTCTACATTCAAACCTGTCAAATACAATAATGAACATTTTCAGAACAACATTTATGAATTGCACAAAGGTTAAAGGTTAAATACTGTATATATGATTCTCAGACTTACCCATTTCTATGAGAGTTACCACAGCGTCTGATAAAGTGGGCACACTCCTGGCCGTGTGCTCACAATATGCTTTAGCACAACGCCCGATTTCAGTTATGTCTGAAATGCAACGGGAAGGCAATTCAGTGATAATAGGTGAATGCAGTTTTTTCTGTTAAGTAGTACATAAACAAGTCATCACCCTTACTGTTGTCTTTGGTCAAAAATTAAACTGTAGTTTTTGTAGAAGTAATTGTAAGAATGGGAAAATAAACATTTGCCATAAGATGAGAGAAGACACAACATAGAGTCCACAAGATAAGACCAGACTTTGACATAATAAATTCATTGTGCGAATCACTTGACAATTCTGGCCTCATTTAAAAAAAAAATTTTCTATTTAATATTTATGCTGTCTTTGCAGAATGGCTTATTTGAACTACAGCTTCTAAAAAGTCACAAGTGCTTAACACATTCTTTTTTTGTCCAAGGCAAATATATTTAAAAATCTCACAAGGTCATTTTGAAGCAGGTCTTCTCATGTTTTCTTGAAGATTGCTTATTATTTGTGCTTTTAATCTTATATAATACCCTCAGAGCTCAGTGTTTAGGCATATGACCTCAAGTGTGAAACCTTTTTATGGGCTTGTGAAATGGGGCTCATGTTTCATGTTTGAAATATACTAAATCCTTGTGGCAAAACAGAGATACATACAGCTCTGCATCATTTCCGTGAGTGTCTCGACCGCTGCCTTTTCCGCACTCTCGAAGCCACTCTCTGTGAGGAGAGCACTCACAGCCACCTGCAGAGTGCGCCGCCGAGCAAGGCAGTAGTTCTCTGAAGGACTGGAGCTCGACTTACTGCTGCCACGCTACAGATAGACAAACAGTAAACAATATGAAAACAGTATGTAAATGTGGGGTGCGGAGCATAATATCACACAGAAAGGTAGAGGGGAAAAATAAGAGAAAAATACCTTTAGAGACATTTACTACTTAAAAATACACAGTAACTATAAAACATGAAGTCTCTTTTTCGTTTTAGTCTTGATGTAATCTGACTGAGAAAGCATTTCCAATGAATACTCCAAAATGTTTAAATAATAATCCAGTTCCAAAGGTGAATTTAAATTGTTTCTTTAAACCAAGAACATAAACATCAAGAAGAGCAAACAACAGGTTTATTTACAATAAGTAAGAGTATTGTTTTATTCTAATCAGTCTGTGGTCAGTCCAGGTTGTAGAACATTACTGATAACAACAGAACGTCATTGACTCACTTATTACAATGTATATGGACCAGACTATAAATGAATAGTTAGAGTTGCTCTATATGGTCTCTATCTTGACCATTTTTATCAACTTTGCACTGCTTCGGCTGAACTATTTGCAAGAACAAACCTTTACTTATTGTAACATTCCTGGGACATGTATTCGTGGCTTCTCTCCACACTTCACTACACAACTTCACCAATTATTTTAACATAGGCTGACCAGACATTTACCCGGGACAGTTTCAGTTTAGAGCCCTGTGTCTCCTGCCCCAGCAGATTTATCCAAAACCAGTGATTTGTCCCAGTTTTATACAAGAAATGTCAAAGGTATTCCTATTTTTGATCAATTTGATCCCTGCTAACAGTAAAGAGAGGCATATATTGACATTTATTTGGGTAAAATACAGAAAAGCTGCTTAAAAATGACCAAAACACAAAGAAAATGTGACTATACTGACTCACATGTTAGTTACGAATGAGCCAAGTGCAGAACAGTTTTCCTTAATTACGCACGCATTTCATAATTTTATTATTATCAACCATACCTAACCAAGAGTGTCCCCGTTTGTGATTTTGAAATTCTGGTCACCCTATTATTTACAATTGTTTCAGTGATTAGCAACCACGTCTCTTGTTTACTTCTCATCGTGTAGCACAAGTCACACATTTATGGACTTCACTACCATCCATATTCCCGTGTGGATGATAATAAAGCTAAATCGCTCATATGTTTTGTTGACATAAGGATCGGTGAGGTTGTTCGTTTGTAATTTCATAAAACACTTGATTTAGTGAGAGCAGTGCACTAGGCTAGCATGCTAACACTGAAGCTAACAGTAAATGCCGTGAGTAAAGCGAAAATGAAGCCTTTACCCCGGAGCTTCCCGAAGACACCGCAGGGTCCGCCATCTCCTCCCCACCGGACGTTCAGTTTCCCGTTTATCCTACGATTATAGATGAAATAAGTAGATTTTAGTGCATTCATTTAGCCGCAGTTTGTTGATGGAAAGGATGGTACGTCATTTCCGCCTGTGACCGGATGTTGTTGGTTTTAGCCGCAGTTAACCACGCCGTTTAGTGTTCGCAGGTGGAATTGCAGACTGGAGCTGAACGCGTCCTCAGCATTGATCTGTTATTCTGTTATTTATTTATTAAACAGCCGCGCCTCCAGCAGCACAGGATCAAAAGAGGGTATATAAACAAAATATATGTTTGAACTATCGAAAAAAAATAAGAATATTTGTACATTGTAAGTAGACTGTTGTGTTGTCGAAACACATCTGTAAAGTTGAATTTCACTCAAGTAAGAGTAACTTAGAAAGTGTTAGATAAATATATAAATATAGTGTGACCAGATGTCCCTATTTATCCGGGAGAGTTTGAGTTTTGAGCTCTGTGTCCCCTGTCCCTGCAGATTTACACAAAACCAGTGGTTTGTCCCAGTTTTATACATCTTCCTATTTTTGATCAATTTGATACCTGCTAACAGTAATGGGGCATATTTGAGGACACACAGAAAACCTACTTAAAATGAATGAGCCGAGTGCAGAACAACTTTCCTTAATTACGCACTCGTTTCACAATTTTATTATTACCAACCACCACAAACTGGGGGCGTCCCAGGTTTTTTATTTTGAAAATGTGGTTACCCTAAATATATACAGGCTGTGGTAACCTCTGATGTAAAATGTGAGGAAATTTGATGTAAATGGAAAAATAAAACTTTGCACAAAATACAGTATTTTAAATCTGGATAAACCACGACAATTAGAAAAACAAAATAATATTCTAAGGTAAGAAATGCAAATGTTTTCATATTGTCAACATAAAGCTTACTCAGGTAAGAATACTGTTACATTGTCAAAATATATTACTCAAGTAGGAGGAAAAGTATAAGTGTCTGAAAACTATTTGCTTAAGTCCAGTTTTATTCAGAAGTTAAATCAGGCCAAACTAAGTAGGCAAAATGGGACTTTAGCCTACTCTCCACTTCTACAGAGGTCATGTCAATAATGTCAGGACACGATGAACTGTCGGTTAAGTCTTTTATTAGAAAAAGTAAACAATCTTACAAAAGGTAAATAACATTAAATAACAGGATATTTTGCACCTACATGTGGGGCTATGATTATACAAAATTATAATGACATCTGCTGCCCAGCAGCCAGAACTGTAACCTGCAGTTTTCTCAAGCAAAAGATATTTTTATACTAAACATTTGAGGACATTTCCCCATTCAAAACAGAATATTTCATCATTCTGAAACCCATGAATATGTAAAAAAGTATACATTTGACAAAGTGTTTCTCAAAAGAATGTAAGCTGGAAGGGTTGCTGGTTCAATCCTGTCTGCCCTAAACATAAACATTTGTTACATCCTTGGGCAAGACACTTCACCCCATTCCAACTTGAGTTCAGTCACACTGTAATGTTTCTGATTGCTACAGGAAGGGCATCTGGCATCAAAATCTTGGTCAATGTGGCCCTCTGTTCTTATGAAGCATGTTGTCGGTTGGCAGAGGTCCTCCTGTTTTCTTCCCATAGCGTTGGTTCTCCCTTGGTCTTCTCCAGGCCTGATCTCTGGACCTGTGCTTCACTTGTCAGTGCAGGGACAGCCCGTGTCTCATCTGTGTCTCTCATTATCATGTCTGCAGAGGTGTCTTCGTACTCTTCTGATCTGAAGATGCTCTGGATCACGGCTCCTATGGCCCCCAGCACAGCCAGAGTGGATCCGATGGCGTAGATCTTCACCATCTGACGAGTGGGCTTCTGCTGCAGCATCTCCTTGATGAATGGGAGCAGCTCCTCCTTTGTGTCCATTTGGAGAATGTCTGTGGGAAAGAAGAGGTGTAAGGTGAGTCAAAGGCGAGTTAAATGATCAACTGCAGAACATGAAAAGTATAATAGTCACAAGAAATACGTCTAATCTAATAGTCAAAGGTCCAAATCTGGTGGAGAATCCCCCATCTGCTCATCAGTGTTATTGCCTTGCCTGTAATGCACCATAGTATGCTATGAAATCGCCTGTAATCACATCTGTAATTTATTCAAATAAAATACGAGTTTTTGGTTTTTAGTTTGCACAATTTTCAGCTATTTTATGGAGCATTTCAGACAAAACAACTTACATAGTGCATCTTTTTCAACTGACCCAGTTTTATTATTAGGCACAAAGTTCATTAGCCTAGCACCCATTTAAAAAAATTTAAATATGATCCAACAACTTGCACACAATGACTAGACCTATACACGTACACATATGTTTTCTATATTCTGCTATATTCATTACATTATTATTTTTCATTATTCAGAAAAATTAGAAAAAATATTTGCAATTTTCTAGGTATCACAAAAACATGTAAATTTAAATTAAGTTTGTAAAAAAAATCATATGGAAAATAATAATTCTGAGATAAGAATTGATTTATATCTTCTTGAAATTCATATCAAATAGTATAAGAATTGAGTTGCACACCTTAATACACTGCAATTAAGAAATAGTAAGTAATACCAACTTACTTAGTGTGACTCTGTGCAGGTCTGTCTTTGGAGGAATAATGTGATGATATCCATGCACCCGGAGCAGGTACTCTTGTGTTTTAAAGTGCTCCCCTGGCCCCGCCCACAGGGGGCAGGTGTATGTGTAAGAGGACGGGGGAGTTGCCTCATGATTGTGGAGGAGGTCAGAGGTGACACTGTGACACTTTGCACGCACTCATTTTAAGGTGCTACTTTTTAGTTTACAACTCAACAGTGGGGTCATATGAGGTGAACTATGGCATTGATCTGCATCAGGAGAGACACACAGGCCAATCCAGGCTATAAGCTAAAGACTGCACCGAGAAACAAAACAGTTACAATAATGTATTTTTTTTAAGAACATCTTTGTATTTGTTCATTTCTGCAAATACATATACTTTCAGAACAATAAACACTAATAACAACTGATTTAAATGGTTGAAATAAACACAAAAATAAATAAATAAATAAATATGTCACATTTTTCAAAATTCATTATTTTATGTTGACCCAAAGCAAATTATTTGGGTTATTATAAGATCTATGCTGGAATATGTTCATTTAAATGCACATTATCAGATTTTCTCCATGTATATCAGCAGTTGTTACAGATGTATTGTATAAATGGCTCTTGAGGTCAAAATAAGTTGTTTTGAGCATTGATGTGATGGCAAAACTCTGCTCTGGTCTCTGAGAGTTGTGAAAAGAGTTTAGAAACTTATTGTGATGAATAATTAGGATGCTCTGAATGCATAAGAAAAGTGAGGAATAACTGTGGATCACTGCAAACTGTTTCAAATGAACGAGTTCTGCTGAAACATTTTTAAACAATAAAAATCAGATACAGTTTAACATAACCTTTTCAAATGGGATGATGGTTACATGATATATAACCTATTAGTAAAAATAACTACATTAAAGATGCATTTTAATAATTTTCTGGGTACACCAAAGATCATAAGCAAGTATGTCTAAAAATGTATGTAATGTTCATCAAAATCACAAGATCAATAATATCTTAATAACAAAATAAACCAAATAAATGAGCTTCAAATTTTTTTTACAGTGTACAGTCTGATATTGACCTGTGATAAGTGAAAGGCAGGGTCCAGTCAGTCATGAGAGGTCGTGGTGCTGTGCTGCATGTCCACGCTCTGGCCTCTGACCCCTGACCTCTGCCCTGCTTATGATGGACAGTGTGTGTGTGTGTGTGTGTGTGTGTGTGTGTGTGTGTGTGTGTGTGTGTGTGTGTGTGTGTGTGTGTGTGTGTGTGTGTGTGTGTGTGTGTACGTGTGTGTCTGTTGTTGTGAAATGATCTTTTTAGAGCCATGTGGAGCTCTGGGGACACACGGGGACAAAGCACCATGACAGCAACACATGTACAGACAAACTTTATTGATCCACTTTGACCAGTTCACATTCTGGATGATGTAATGGTCCTAACCATATGGGAGATGCACAGTTTTTGAAAGAAATATCTAACATTAAACTCCACAAATGCCACAAACGCTGAATCTTCTCATTATTTGTTTGGGATCGGCTCCACAAACCTGCTATATTAATCTCATGGTTTAAAGTCCTTTCAGATGACAAAGATCACGTCTTTGGGGCTGGCCAATGGCACGACTTTCTGAAGCGATTGTGAAAAAAATATTTGACTTTAGTTCATTTATACTGACAGTAAAGACGCTGAACTTTGTGCCAGTTTTTGTTTCATGTGAATAGGCCCAGTAATTACAGAGATATGAAACATAAACCAGGTCAACAAATCTGTTATCTGACAACAGCAAATTCCACCTCCAGCTAAAACTAGTTTAAAGTATAGGGATTTTACATGGTTATGTCATTGCCTATTGACCGTGTAGTTCCAACATGTTTGAGACAACTGAACAGTAAATACATTACAGCATATTCATTTTTTATTGTGATTTCTTTTAAACATGCACTATGTAACTTTTCTGACGGAGGGTCTGTCACCTGTTTGTCTCTATCCAGGTGTTTTTAAATGCGTGCAAGGTTGCTTTCTCCTACCTGACAAGCTATTGTTTTGTAAGAAAAACTGTATTGTTTTATGGTTAAAGTCAGTATGTAACTTAATAGACAATAAATACACAAAAAAATATGCAATTATTATTATTTTTTTTTCATTTTGGTTGTTTATTGCACTGAAAAAGTTTTTAAAAATATATATGCGTCCTTTCTCTGAGCGAGCTTTCATCACCACAAACCTGACTCTTGTACCATTGCCATAATATTCCACAATATGGTATAAAACATATCTGTCTTTATGGAGAATTTAAAGTGTGTAATATACCTAATAATAGAAAATTTGCTTATTTCCATCTGATGTTGTCCCTATGGAAACACAGAGGCAAGACAAGTTTATTTGTATAGAACAATTCATACACAGAATAAGAAAGACATTAAAATCACAATACAAACAAATCAAAACAAAAATAATCACCATAAAAAGAACATTAAAAGAGAAGAGAGAAGAATAAAACCTTTTCTGTCATATGCAGCTAAACAGAAGTGTTCTAAGCCTGGATTGAAAGAGTCAAAGTAGAGTCTTGGAGGACTGTTTCAGTTTATAGCTGAATAACACGGATATGTCTCTCTTCTGCTTTCTGCTTCGTCTGCTTTAGACAGTACACGTTTGATTTATGCTGTGTTTTTAGATGGTAAAAAGCTGCAGATGTTATTGATTCAATGTGACTGTTAAAATTCAAGTCTGAGCCCATCATTAGCTTCAGATTTGTAGTCCTTGGTGACTGCTGACACGCTATAAAAGACGTGTCCCCTCTCTGTTTACACAGTGCACTTAAACAGTAAAGTCTTAAATGAAGACATCTCACAGGTCCATGTACTGTTCACCTCTTAGAGATGAGAAGGTCAAAGTTGAGACAGCTGCCCCCTGTCTGTCAAACACACTCATGCTTTCCCCAGCACTGGGTAAAGTGATGAAATGCACTTTTATTTTTTCATCATGTGAAGAAAAGATAAGAGAACCATTATCTGTAGCGTGGAAATTTACTATTACAACAGAAAAGTACAAGAACTGCAATCATGTACAAATGTGCACTCACTTGTTTGTTGTTTGTTGCACAGTATGGCTTTAAACTTATACCTACTTACTCACAGTTATTCAGTCTCTGAATTTAGGAGTTGTTATTGCTCTAAAATACCTCAGAAAAACTATAATCTAATACATTTGTGCTGTGAGGAGGCTCCTCTCCACAGATCTGACCTGTAACTGGGCCTCTTGATGTCACCTGGCCTGCTTTTCTCAACGGAGAAAGATAAGTTTAATGCTGCACTGTGGAATATTCCAGGCAAAGCTTTCCGCTAGAGAAGTTAGATAGAAAGTTAAAGCCATACTTTGGCTCATTCTCCATGGAATAGACACGTGTTTGGCCAAAAGAACATTTCCATGGAAACAAGCAGGAGAAGGCTCTTTTCCAGCCCAAATAAGGCAGGTTTGTGGAGATGCAAGCCTTGCTCACAGTAAGAATGCCTGATTTGTTCAGATTTTCAGTCCAATAAACACATCATTTTATTTGTAACATTTTTTTATTTATAAAAATAAAATTTTTGAGACTATTTATGACTAAAATGTTACATACTGTGGCTTTAAAGAGCAGGTAACATGCCTAGGAAAGTTCCACTTGTCTCATAAACAATGCTATCGGCTCTTACGGTCTATAGGTCATGTTCTGTCATGATGTCTGTCCCTCACCTTTCCCCCAGTTCATCGTTTCACACATTTCCAGTAACTTTAAACATGTCCTCAGACTGTTATTTTGGGAGCCTCATGTTTGCTGTGCTTCCACGTCTGGTGAAGGCTGCTTTGTTTGTGGATCTTTGGCCTACATAACCACTCCCTCTATCGACCAATGCTCCTTGTGTCTCTGGTCCTCCCAGTCCAGGTCCAGGTGTGGTTTTGGGGCAGAGGGTTTGCAGAGCTGGTGTTGTACACGTGATGAGGTTTTGAACAGAGGAGTGAGTCAGTACAGAGAGCTCAGAGCCACGGTGACACACTTTATTTACATCAAGAGCATCAGCATCAGAGACATCAGCCATTCTGATTGTGCTGTCCATTCTCATCTAGTGCAGTCCACTCTGGTCTTCTTCTGTTGTAAGAATGACGTATAGGCCATGATAACAACATGAGCTGGAAGTGAGCAAAAAGACAAAGGTGCAATTTCTTTATCAAATTGGAAACACTGCTGTGTCTGAAGCTCTGGAACTGTAGTTAGCTGTCTTACTAAAGTTAGACAATAGAGTTTTTTATTTCATAAACATGTTCTACCAGTGTCCCCAGGTAGGAGCCAGACATGTTCAGATCAAATGTGGATTTTATTGGTAACAATTGTGATGTTGATTTAAAAATATTGGACATGAAGAACAAGTTGTTTATGTTATCCTTTGCTTTTGTTTTGGTTTTCAAGATAATTATCCAATCACAAAGCAGAATGAGCCTCACATTAGTCCCTCATTTGGGTTGCCAGTTTGAATGCTGAAATCCAGTTGGTTTAAACCTGAAATGTCTCTCTCTGATCTGAATGGTCACTACCTAAACCCCAGCAGCCAATCATGCTCAGTGCTAGTGCAGCCTCTGGAGCTCAGGGAGTGGCTTCTGTGAACTGGGGGAAAGGTAAGAGGTGAACAAGTGCTTTGCCCAAACACATGTACCAACCACCAGCATGTATTGACCAGAGCAGAAGTTGGATTTGAACCATCACCCCCTCACTGAGCCGCTGCCAAGCTCCAGCTCACAGCAGTATTTTCCAGTGTTCTAAATACATGCTAATCCTCCATAGGCCTGTTTGGCTGATGTGGCTAATCCCATGAACTCGGGGTTTAGGTTAGTTTGATTAGGCTGGGGCAGGTCACAGCATCAGCTCAGGAAATACAGACAGAGAAAAGCTGACAAATAATCACATTACTATAATTGAATAAATCTAGTAATTGTACTCTTTGTGTCGATTTTTAAAACTTTGTGCAGATGGGAGTTTATCATAATTTTAAATCTAATGAATCAAGTTTTGGATAGAATACTAGTTTAAAATGCTATCAAATCTACGTAAAAATAACTAGTACTTTGAGTAGTATTTGAGTAGTACTTTTAAGATGTAATTACTAACAGTATGATAGTGAGTACATTTTTTGACTTTAAAAAAAAAAAAAAAAAATTCTGTACACTATCACCGGTGGCTAATACACAAAAATGGTCCAAGCTAGATATACTTAAAGTTTAATTGCAATCAAAATTGTAAAATAAATAAAATGCTGTAATATCTCCTCCATATTTCAGTCTTTTTACTAAATTAAACTAAAATTCTCCTTTTTAATGTGAATTTTAGTCCAGACATCTTTCCAAACAATTGTCCTTTCGCTCAAAATACCAGGAAAACCAATCAATAAATCAATAAACCACTATTTTTAGATCCTGAAAATACACAGACAACAGAGTGAGCAGTGCAGTTTTATTCATGCACAGACGTCATAATACAAAAATCATATTATATTGCATTTCTACCACCGCTCGACGGTCAAAAAACTCCACCACGACATTAAAATCTTCCCTTTATACTTTCATAATAATAAATACATTTTCATTTGACAATTAGTTACATAAAAACAATCATGTGCTGTACCTCGGCTCAAAATAGCAGGCAGATTAATGTATGGACTTCAAGGCGCAATGTGTAACTTTTCTGGTTGTATCCACGGAGATGTTATTGCTTTGCCTGGAATGCTTCACAGTAGAGTAAAAATACCTCAAAAAACATGCATTCTTTTTGTGAACTGGCTCGCCTCTTCATAGATCTGACCTGCAACTTCTCTCAGTGGCACCATCTGGATACAAGTCATGGAGACAAACAAGCTGATGGCAGACGCTTCACCAGAAAAGTTACATACTGCCCCTTTAATAAGTCAAATGGAGAATAATTAAAGCATTTTGACCATAGATTACAAATAGTTAATAATTTCACAGTTAGACAAACACTTAAATGGTACGCAGCAACAAGTTAGCAATACATCGATTTAAATACTGTGCAAATGGAGGGGAAATCTACCCTGTTTCTCATATAAGGTGCTTTTTATTTGATTTAAAGAGGGGGTATTTTACTTCTATGGGGTATTACCTGCTAACACATAACATATTTATATCACCATGTTACCTTTTATTGTTTTGAAAATGCAGAAATTTGCAGAAAACAATGTATTAACATGTTTTACAAGTTTAGCTTTTGTTTCGGACACTCCCTTTGCTCCCCCTTCAGAGCTCTATCACAACACAATCAGCATGCACCCACAAATGAAACTACTTCACATCGCATCAGGTTTGTCAGGTTGCTGTGTACAGTTTTGTATCATGCTTTTGTAAATTTTTGGAGAATTGTGATGTGGGGGCACGGGTGATGTAGGCTTGTGGGCAGAGCTTTGTACAGAATCTTACAGCGAACAGTAAGGAGTGTTAGAATAGTGTTTGGGAGAGATCACTAAATTACTGAGATATGCATGGATGGTTTAGTGGTAAAAAAACAAAACAAAAGAAAAAATAAATAAAAATTGCATAATACCCCCTCTTTAAATTCCTGGCTGCTTCGTACTTAGGCACTCATTCTACAAAATAATTAATCCAACTTGGTGCGTTCAAGTTTAACAAATTATGTAAAAATCTCATATGTTGTAATCATTTTTTGGTATTGGGTCCACAAATTCGCATGATAATCTGCTGATAACAAGTCAGTCTGTGTGAATGACAAAATTGCATCAGGTTTTGATGCTCTAATTAAAAAAAAATAAAATTACAATTTCATCTTAGTTCATTTGTATTCACAGAAAAGATGTTGAACTTTGTGTCAGTTTTTGTTTCACATGGATGGGCCCAGTAATTACAGAGATATTAACCACAACCTAGGTCAACAAATCTGCATTTTAACAGCAAATTCTACCGTAGAATTCTCCGCTGTCCTCCACTTCAATGTTATTCTAAAGGTTCATGATGACGTTGCATGAACACAGTCTACAGAAGTCCAGTGGCTTCAGGTCCATGCTCCTGTCTCAGTCCTGGGAGAGCTGTCAAAGTCGACCATGACCTGTAGGGGGCGCAAACACACTGGTTAGTTACATGCGTTATACTGTATTCAGACAGGACTTTCTATTGTACAGAAGTAGGTTAAGCCACAGGAAAGACAAACAGGACGCACAATGACGTAGAGCAGTTTAAATGTATTAGTGTTACTGGTGGTACTGTGGGGACTAAGGTTTGTAAAAAGTATTGAAAATCAGATACAAATTGATACTTAAACTAGTATCACATTTAGATACTAATTTGAGCAAGTATCAATACTAAAAAGTCACATTTACAGGACAGAAACGAGCCTTTCCTGAACAGCTTTAGAATGATCTTGAGTTGTATCAGAACAAGTAAAAGAGCACATTGACTAGTATACACCCATGGACCACTATGGAACCTACCTGGACCACTGAGGGACTACACAGATATAAGACCACATGGGAATAGAAAAAATTACTATGATTTAATATTGAAAATCACATTCAATTTCTGAAAAAATATATTTTTTTGTTTTTTATTATCAATGTTGTATTGGAATTGAGTACATCCTTAGTATATTTACTATTTACATCCTTAGTAGATTTACTCTTTGAAATTTTACTATCATGACAACACTAGTGGGGATCTCTCGAGTGAATTATTTTTACATAGTTACCTAGTTGCATAGTACGTAGAAGCTTTTGACTTTAACCCCTAATTTAGGTTATAGTATGCTTTCTGAGATGACGTGACCTGTATGATGACATGGAACCATACTTCATTTTCATACTACTACTACGTCATACTACATTCTCTATGGAGATAGATAAGATTTATGAAATCTTGTGGGATATATATATTGGGGAAACAGTGGCTCCCTCAACTTGTCTGCCTGTTCCATTGTTGTGTCCTTAGGCAAGACACTTCACCCGCATTGCCTAGTATAGGGTGACCATATTTCCATTTGTCAAAACCAAGACACCGTACAGGGGATGGGAGGTGGGGCGTCATCATGGACATTGAGCTACTCTCACCTGGCAAAGCTTTTTAATGGTTTTCAGTGTCCTGGTGAGCTTTGAGGTCCCTGACACCGCCACTGGACACGGAAACATATATGCCTCCTTTGCACACTGTGCACCTGACCTCCCACTTGTCTCAACCAAAGGAAAGCAGGGAATTTCTTGTACAAGTCATCATTAAATGCACATTTGCGCTTCAATATTTTTCAGGCTGACCGACTGTGTGTCTGCTTGCTCCTTCTGAGTTACAGAGAGCTACGAGTGCCACTCAGTTTAATGGCCCAATGAAAGTAATGAAAACCCAGACATTTGCATCACTTTATAAAAAAAACCCGGATGGCCAGAACAGGACGTGGAAAATGGACATATCCGGGGAAAAACAGATGTTTGGTCACCCTACCCTAGTATGAAAGTGGTGTGTGTATGACTGGTTGGAGGCAGCCTTGCTTCTGTCAGGCCATCCAGGGCAGCTGTGGCTACAATAGAGGTTTACCACCACACAGTGTAGTGTGAATGAATAATGACACAGTGTAGCGCTTTGAGAGGCTTCAACAAGCCTGTGAAGCACATTACATTACTAACATTTCCATGGAAACAAGCAGGAGGAGGCCCTCCTCCAGGCCAAGTAAGAGCCATGTCTGTGGAGCTGCGAGCCTGCTCACGATAAGAATGCATGCTTTGTGTGTAATAAAAACAAAACAAAAAAACATACTTTTATTTTGGTCTATTTTGGGGTTTTGGTGTTAAATTGCACAGTTTCAAAGTTTGTTTTTTGTTCAGTAAATCAATATTTAAAGGCATTTTATTTCACTTTTGAAAATAAATTTTATTGGAAATTAAGATCATAATCTTTTTTGAAAGACTAGAACCTTCCATTGCTCTGGACCCACCTGGACCACACAGACACGTTTCTTCAGCTCATTTCCACATCTGTGGCACATGTACAGTATTTGTGAAAGTGTTTCTTCATTTCAAACATTGATTTTGGCGCTGTCTTCTGCGTTGCCACAGCTTTTTATCAGCCCTGGCATTAGATTTGACACCCGTCTATCTGCACTTGTCTGAACTTTAACTGGAGCAAAGGGGAGCTCCAGCCTGGAGACTGGCTCAAACCGACTCACCTACCACCACATTATCCTCGATTCACTTCTGTCACATCAATAATTCCTTAAAAACTCACCATGCAACCTAACTATCTTCCTATGCATTTCCATGAAAATGATCATACCGTATTTATCTTCATGGAGAATGTTCTGAAGTATGGTTTTATCTTTGTATTTCTGTGGAATTAGGCAGTTAACGTGACATCTCCAGAAAATTCCGGTGTTGCTTTTAATAACTAAAAGAGGTTCCTAGTTAAGTAAAGTTAAAACAAAACTAAGGCTGGTTCACAAGATTTAAGAATGTAATGTCATAATTTCAGATGGAGGGCAGGGGCCAGTGTACCTCTATGGGAGATTCACTGTTATGAAAAGAAGTAATGAAACCAATAACCACAAACAAAAAGCTAAGTTTGATTACTTTGTTTTTGTTCAGAGTTGGGCACACAAATGTTTCATATTGATCTTGTGGCATTTGTCATGAAGCAGCACACACAGACACATGTTTAATCTTCCACAGGTTTGTTGGTACAAGTCAAATAAAAACATACCAGGTAAAAAAGTGAGTCCATCCTCCCCTTTGACTCCTCACATGACAGAGCACACACCAGTCTGCACAGTTTTACCACAGCGAGTTTTAGCATATCTGAAACAAGAGAGGTTTCAACCGTCAGCTTTACAGGTGTGAAATGACACCAACAATATGATCCTAAGTCATGTTAAAGAAAAGTTACACAGTGCACCTTTAACAGAACACAAATTTTATATCCTTTTTTCTTTTTTTCCCCTAATGAAGTAGCTGCAAAATTGGGGATTTCTCTAGTACATTCTTGTCTCCATGGAGTTGTAAGTGCTCGGTCTGGAATGTTCAACAGTGTAGCATTAAACTCGCATCTATCTGCCCAGCATTACAGGCAATTGTTAGAATAATTCTATTATCCCATATTTGCTAAATGCTTGTGTGTTAATCTAGACCTATGAGTTAACCATTTATGTACTACAATTCTCTAATTTAGCATTTACCAATCATTTGTATGTATAAGAATAACCTCTCTGTGTTTAACACCTGTGTGCAGTGACCTATCGTTCTCGTGAACCTTGAGATGACCCCTCACGTGAAACCAACCCCCACTGTCACACATGCAAGAGTTATGATGGTGTCTGTCTATACCTACGGCACCTCCTGATTGTTAATCATGTTTATGTTTTGAACCTGCATTATGTCTTTGCTTATCCCCCTTCCCTTTGAGAATCATGTGTCTGTAACTAGGGCCTCCTAATGAAATAAAAGGAGGAGAACGGCCTTGAGTCATCAGAACGTGTGGAGACTGTTGCTCTTGATGCCACTCTCTGCCCGTTCTCCTCATGAGAAAAACTTAATTAATCTCTTGTCTTTCTTCTTGTTTTGAATGTCTAGATAAACCTAACAGCAATACTTGGCCTAGTAGTATCACCTGCTTCTGTCTGTGGAGTTTAAGGCCATACTTTGGAACATTCCAAGCAAAGTAATTACATGTTCATGGACACAAGAAGTTAACAGACTCTCCACCAAAAAGATTATACGGGGCACTTTTCTTTAACTGACATTCATTACACAGAACAAAAATGGTACAGATAGCTCTTTGCATGTATAGTGCACTGTGACTGTCTCATTAAATAAATTAAACCAGTGCAGAAATACAGTGGAAAACATATATAATCACAAGTCATGCATTCTGTATATTCATTTATCTACCAAGTTCACAGTATTGATACTTTGCAGTGACATCACACTAGAGATATACTGCATAGGGTGACCAGCTTTTCAAAATTCAAAACTGGGACACAGCCGGGTTGGGATGTTTAGTATAAATAAAATTGTGAAAAGCGCGTGTAACATTGTGTATTCTTGTGTCATAATCTGAGGGACTTCTGACACTGCATTTTTTTGCTTTCTGGTCATTAGCAACACGGTTTTCTGTATTTTGGTTAAACAAATGACAATGTATGCTCCTCCTACTGTTGGCAGCAATCAGATTAGACAAAAAATGTGATAGTCCTGGTTTAGACCTGATGTAGTTCTGGTTGAGACTTAATTTAGACCTGGTTTAGATAAAATTGGTCAAAAATAGGGACAGCTGGGACATTTCTTGTATAAAACTGGGACAAATCACTGGTTTTGTGTAAACCAGTGTTATCTGAGTTATCATGGTGACTGAAGTTTTAAGATCATCTGAAAACTCAAGAAAAAATACAAACATTTCACATTTCAGGAGCCTGTGATCAATATGAGCATTCATGGTTCTGTTTAGGACTTAGATTTTCAAAAGATGAGAGTGACAAATTGAAAAACTGTAATGCTTGCTAAGTTGTGATTGTAATTTTATGCAGGAAAGACTCGTTTAAGAGCACACATCAGCACCCCTGCAGTTAGCATCATACATCCAGGGAGTGTTGATGCAGCTGCAAAGTATCAATGAAGAATAAATATACCAACCCATTGAGATTGGCTGGCTCGGAGTAGAAGGCGGTCTTGCCCTGCTCTGCGATGGTGGGTGTGTGGTGGCTCTGTGTAGTCTTCAGGCAAGGGGCAGAGCTTCTGGACTCCCCCTGAGACGGGTCAGGGACGGGGGGCAGGGTCATGTAGCTGGATGTCCCATCGGTTTCGGCAGGTGCGGGCTCCTGATGCTCCTGTCGCCCCTGTTGCTCCTGTCGCCCCTGATGCTCCCGTTGCTCCTGTCGCTCCTGTTGTTTGCGTTTGCGGGTCGGAGAGGACGCGTCGGTCACCTGGATGGCGGGGATACTGGTGTGGGCGAGATGCAGTTTCTTCATGTGGTTTATGGCCACTGCAGCGTTGAAGGCTTGCTGGAGGAGAGTGAGAGAGGTCAATGTTTGCATGTATATGAGCATGGCCACTTAGGATGACCCTCTCAAACTTGTGGGGTATAGATGACAAGATAACTGAGTCATCTAGTTTTACTATGCAAACTATGGCAGCCTGTAGACCACACATTTAAAATCTATGCCCGAGTGATACTCCTTTGTACATTTTTATTGGCTTTAAACTCATTTTCTGGCCTGAAAAACAGAGAACACTTTTACATTCTCCTTTGTATGTGAACAGAACATATTTCCATACTTTCTGATTATTTCCCCAGTAAAAATCTGTTGATTTGTAATTTGAGGTCAGTGATAATGACCCCAGTAACACAGATTTTTTTTTATCACTCACCAGGGACATTGATACAGCAAAAGATTTTTATTATCATTATTGTTTTATATATTTTATTGACTTTAATATTTAACAACACCAAAACTAAATAAAAGAAAATAACATTTAAAGATGCACTGGGTAACTCTTCGGTTAAGAGTCTGACACCTGGATGTGTCATTGCTCTGCCTGGAATGTTCCACAGTATGACATTAAACAGGTCTCCTTACATTTATTACATTTACATTTATTTACAGGTGCTTTTATTGCTCAAAAATATCTGGAAAAACATTCTAAGCATTCTAAGCAGATCTGTGTAACTTGGTCTGGTCTCACCTCCATGAAGAAAAAAAGGTTTAATGCCATACTGTGAAACATTCCAGACAAAGCAATAACATCTCCATGAAGAAAAGACCCTCCAGAAAAGTTACACAATGCACCTTTAACTTAAAATGTAATGTAATGTAATTTAAACCCTCCCATGCCCGAAGCCTCTCTCCACATGCTCAACACAAAATGTTAACAGGTGCCAACTTATTAAAAACCTGAAAACCAGGATACTGAAAGAGTCATGATTAATTTGCAAGAAAAAAAAAAGAACAATATTGTCTGTTAATTGTAAATCACACTTTTTAAACAATTCATGTGGCATCAATGAAAAAGTGACTCATTTTCAAAATAAGCCAACTTGTTGCAGTATTAGTTACAAAACGTGCCTTTTGTAATTGTGAGTCTGAGACTGCACAGTTGCATGCTTTGTATTGCATTGGCTCACCTATTTCCATCATTCTTGTCATGGGACTAGATCTTGTGCCACAAGATCTTACGAGAAAAAATTGCCACAAGATTGTGCGCATATGAGAAAAATTATCTCATGAGATTTTGTCCTCCTGAATTTACCTTTGGCTTGGACACAGAAAAGCTAAGCACTGGCATAGTTTTTGAAGCTATAGTTCAAAAAAGCAGTATACAATGACCACTAAAGTATTACATAAAATAAATAAAAATAGTGAAGCCAAAATTGTGGAATGGATTGCACTATGTTATTATGATTATTAATTACAAATTATCAAAATCTTGTCTTGTCTCATTCTCCTGGACTCAATCTCGTGTTGTGTCTCGTCTTGTGAGAATTGTGTCTTGTTCCATCCCTACTAAACAGACATCCACATTAATTATTCCAATGCTTAAAAGTGACTCTACAATTAAAAAAGAATCTATCTGTGCATATTTGGTTTGGAGCAAGCTCACTGTGTGCACATCTATGTAGGTTGGCGAGGACAACTGACTTATTTGACTTGGTTGTGAATTGTATTGACTGACTGGCTGGTTATATAACATATTTCATAAAATGTCTGTCTGTCTGTGAGGAAGCTATTTCAGGCCTTTTTTCAAAGAACTGCAATCATCCATATGTTTGATTAACCTTTTTATCGCCCTGCAGTAACCTCCTGATCATGCCAGAGAGCAGGGATCACACTATAGTGCCGCTTGGTGGACAGCACACTGCACTGCTCTCTGTGGTGTTAATGGATTAATGAACCCTCTCACCTTCCACTTGGATTTGGCGAAGTTCTTCTGAATTTGGACGCTGACAGAGTAGTAGATGTCCTGGCTCCGTGCCGTCTTTCCGATTATCCTGGAAGTGGAAGAGAAGACATTTGGTTAATCCTTAATCTGTGTAAATGACTCTATAGAGCAGGTGAAGTATTTTAATTACTATTAGTTCATAGTCAGTACTGTAGGCTATGATATGGGAATCAAGATAAGGGCTTTGGTGATGTGGGTAACTTTATGCTGTAGTTAGGGAGGCTTTCTGACCACAAGAACCAACTAAATATTGCAATTCTACAGGAGTCACTCATTGATTAAATCAGGACTAAACCAGAATTAGTGAACATTTTACAAACATTTCTTGATCTTAGAAAGTAGATTTTAGTTAAATTGTATTGTAAATTCAAAAGTATGCTAGTATCTATTTCACAAAATTATTGTTAAATGTGCTTTGTGTTTGCTTCTCACCAGGGATGTCTGAGGGCCTGCTCTGTTGTGAATCTCATGCTTGGGTTCTTCTGCATCATGTTTCGGATGAAGTCTTTAGCTAAAAAAAAACAATGGAATGTAATTAACACATAGACTACCTATAACTAACATCTAATTTGTCATTATGTGCAATTAGCATTTCAGTAATGAGCATTTAGCCTGTTAAACATTTATAGACAGATCAAACACAAACCAGATTCAGAGATCTCGTCCCAGAACGGGGAATCAAACTCATACTGGGCCTTCATGATTTTGGAGAACAGTCGACTCTCAGTCTCTTCGTAAAAAGGAGGATATCCACACAGTCTGAAAACACAGAAAAGTGGATTTAAAATAACTGCACCTACAACACACTGTACCATAAATAAACTTGTATAGATAGGACTCAGGACGTTCTTAGTCTTGCTAACCTCTACTCCACCTGCCCACACTATAGACACATATATGAACAGTACAGTGACTCACAGGATGTAAGTGATGACTCCAATAGACCAACAGTCCACTGCTTTACTGTAGGGCTTCTGAGCCAACACCTCAGGAGCTGAAAGAGGACAGGGATCATATTTAGTTTTTGCTCAGATTAGGGTACATAAAAGCAAATGACGTTACAGTGAATTTAACTGTTTCAAAACAGTTCACATTGCCCAGTATGAAAGCGGTGTGTGTGTGCTGGTGTTGGTGGGAGAGGCTGATGTAGCAGATTGTGATAGTTTGCACGAGGACAGCTGTGGCTAAAATAGTAGTTTACCACCACTGAGTGTGGACTGAATAATGTACTATGATGTGTCTTTTGTGTTCAAAAGAGTTCTATATAAATCAAATGCATTCTCATTATTATGTAAGTATTGTCAAAGCTTGTGGTTTTGGCTGACCAGACAATAATATTATACCTGTTGATTCAGTACATTTTATGGGGCCCACCTGATTTAACCAACACATCCTCCTCAGTCTACTATAACCCTATCTCTCCTCCTGCTAGACTCACCCACATATCCAGGAGTGCCACAGGCTGTGGACATGATGCCGTTGTCCACCATCTTGGAAAGACCAAAGTCACTGATCATGATCTTGGAGTCCTCGTCCTGGCTGTAGTACAGGATGTTCTCCGGCTGTAACACACAGTCACTCTATGGGTTCATATCTGTGTATGCAGACTAGAGTCTTATTCAGATAAAATAATTAGGCATTGGGTGATATAACACTGACATAACATAGGAGGGAACTGTGTTTAAATTTACTAAACTACTACTAAACATATTTTCCCAAATATATGCAGTAGGTTTTGATAATTGAATTACTGAATACTTTCTATTTGTGATTTATGTGCAATATTTTCATTTGCATTGAAAAACTGTTAATTTAAAGGTTCACTGTATAACCTCTCAGCTGCTGAACACCAGCCTGTGTCCATAGTGATTTTACATAGATTAGAAATATTGTTTATTGTTTCTAATGTTTATGTTTTTGATGTTATGATTGATGGACATCAAGTTAAACATTTTGTTGAAGTCTCCTGCAATAGTAATTTTTAGTCATTCTAATCTGAAATATTTATGTTGCAAACATGTATAATTCTGTATATTCCCTAGCCCTATATGTGCATAAAAGTATTCTGACCTTGAGGTCTCGGTGCACGACTCCGTTCTGGTGCAGATATCCTACAGCCTGGAGCACCTGCTGGATCACTTTACTGGCATCCTGTTCAGAGTAAACCCCACGGTCCAAGATCCGGTCGAACAGCTCTCCTCCAGATACACTAAGAACACAGGGAAAAGTCACTGTCATTCTGTCATAGACAGTTTATATATGTGTTCTAAAATATAATGATAGCTTTTATATCATGCAAATACTCACAGCTGCATGATGAGGTAGTAGTGAGTGGGACTCTCATACAAGTCCTCCATCCCAACAACATTCTCATGTTTGATCCTGGAGCAGAGAAAAGAGAACTGGTCATCAACTGTTCTAAAAGCAGTAGCCTTCTGGCTCAAAAATGCATGTACAATGTATGTATGTATGTATGTATGTATGTATGTATGTATGTATGAGATACATAATGGTACCAAGATCTGGACTTAGAAGTTAAAAAGTGTCCTGTTATTCTAGTATGGGTCCAGGACTTTTGGTTTCACAGTCTGGACTTTGCCTGAAGATGTCTCTCCTGTCGTAATGACAACTGGAGAGCCCCTCATGTAAGCAGGTGAAGTCTGTGCATTTTTTAACCTGGATTTGGTCCTAAAAGATTTGATTAAGTAGTATTTGACTGGCCCTTGCTCTGGACCAAGACCATCTCTTCGCCTCAGACCAAAAGAGCAGGTGTTTAGTCCGGTCCGCAGGAGTGTTCACACACACATTGCCGGGACAGTACAGGTGTGACAGCAATGTAAGATTTCTATGTTCCATCTCCCTTCATCTCCAGACTAAGGTAAGGTACAGAGCAGACCAAGGTCCGTTAACAGACTGTGATGTGACAGTCCCTCAGACTTTACCTCCTGAGAACAGCGATCTCGTTCTCCAGGTTCAGGTCTCTCTTCTGTTTCTTCTTCACACATTTCATGGCAAAAGTCTTCCCCGTCTTCTTTTCTTTCACCATGTACACCTCTGAGAACGCCCCTCTGAAATCACAGAGGGAAATGAGTTATAACAAAATAAATACTAAATTCAAGATAAGTATTGTTAATCCCAGCTACAGTATTATAGGTAAAAGTGAAAGGCCAAATAATAACAATAACAACACCTATAATTGAACACAGGAGACAAGTTGAAGGTTACATAATGTTCCTTTACATGAATCAAAATGAAAGAAGAGTCAACTGATGATTCAAATTCATATAATGAGGTGAGGAATAATTTATAAAACCTTTATGATGAAATTTAGTTTATGAACTAGCCATTCTCTAATTCATTCTCACTGAACTTTTCTTTGTTTGAAGCTTCACCTGATGAAATCCGTTTATCTTTTATTAGACCAGGGCTATTGTTCTTTAATTAGACTGCTTCCTCTGGCACTCTCCTGTGACTTTATATAAGACACTACAGAGATTTGAATCCTGGAAACTGCCTAAGCCTCCAATTAAAATAAACAGGGCACTGGAATAGATTGACCTACAGGTGTAATAAGGGACAGCACTGCAAACAAGTGGATATTTTGTTATTTTGTTCACTAATGTGTAATGTGTTGTGGTACAATCTTGTTTCCATGGCAATGCTAATGCTTTGCCTAGGATGTTCCACAGTGTGGTACTAAACTTATTTACCTTCATGGAGCACCACCATGTCAAATTACAGGGCAAATTTGTGAAGAGGAAAGCCAATAAGAATGCATGATTTATAGATACTGTGGAATATTCCAGGCAAAGCGATAACATCTCCATGGAGACAAGCAGTCTGTTAGAAAAATTACATAGTGAATCTTTAAGCTAAATTTTTGCTGTGTTTAGTAAGTGCTTTGGTGTACAGTATTTATATTTGAGCCTCACGGTTCATTAAAGAGATATCTCCAGTGGATCCTGTTGTTTTAAGGTGAGTCTGTGAATAACTGTTCTATGGAGGATAATCCCTGAAGTGATGAAGCCGTATCCACAGCACTCTGAGCCTAAGGGGCAAAAGTGACCTACTGAGCATGTGCAGATCTGAGTTTTCCCCATTCAGTCAACACAGTAATAATTATAATACACTAGATTTATACAGCATCTTTCAGCAGTAGTCACAGCTGCCCTGGGGTAGACTAGACTAGAAAGTTTGGCTGTCAATCTGGACCACCAGCCAAACAATCACACACACAACACTGATACTAAGCAATGTGGGTATAGTGTCTTGCCTAAGGACACAGCAACAGTTTCCATTAGAGCCACTGCTGCTCCACTGTGGAACTGCACTGCAAAAAAGCTTGGCCAAAATTTAAGATATAAATACTGTCTAAAAATGACTTAAAAGTAGTGAAATTATCTGTCCATGCAGCAAGATCATTTTACTTACTTATCTTAAAATAAACTACCTCTAGACTACAATTAAGCAGTCTCGGAACTAGTAAGTAGATAATAAATCTGAAAACAAAATGAATGATCTGATATAAGTTTTAAAATCTTGGCCAGATCAGAGAAATTTGCAGTGTGGTATTCCCAGCGGTCTCCAATCCAAGTACTAACCAGAATGAACTAAGTTAACTTCAGAGATCTGTCGAGATTAATTAAGCATTGACAAACAGGTAATCTTTTACTCTAGCGTTTTGCCCCTGTGCACAGCAACAGTTACAGCAATAATAGTAGCAGAAATGAAACATGAAACCCCACAGCATTAATAGGACCACAATGATTTGACATAACTTGGAGAATTGGCAGAGAGAGAGAGAGAGAGACTGGTATAGGGTTTTCAATATATCAAAAATCGAGATACTCATCTGAGCAAATATTCATACTAAAAAAGTCACATTCCCAGAACAGAAATGAAGCTTTCCTGAATAGCTTTAGAATGATCTTGAGCTGTATCAGAGCAAGTATAAAAGCCCATAGACTAGTATACGCCCATGGACCACTATGGAACCTCCCTGGACCACTGAGGGATTACACAGATATAAGACCACATGGAAATATAAAAAAGTCCTATGATTTAATGTTGAAAATGGCATTCTATTGTCTAAATAAAGAGCTTTTAATATTGTTGTATCGGAATCGGTATTGAGTATCGAGTCTATTGAGTTTGAAATGTTAGTATCGAGACTGCACTAAACTGGTATGTTTGCATTTTTCAGACAAGCACCAATCGAAATAAATGCCTCTTTATTTCTCAAGTCTTCAATCAGGCTCAGGCAGCACATCCGCGCACTTTTCACATTATGTTCTCCTAACCCCATTTTAAACAATCAGATTTTCTTGATGAAAGCGCATTATAAAACTGACTCTAGTGTCGTGAAGAGCCGGTGTCCTGATTACGTCTGTATTGCCTGGAACAGTTCTGAGGCTTTCACACTGAAGTCTATGGGGACTCCTCTGTGTACGTGTTACATTAAGCCTCAGGGGTTTGTCTGGCTCATGTGTGAATGAGGAAGTAAATACACAAGAAAACACCATAGCAACTGTAATCCAGGGATTAACAATTGAAGTTTTAAGGATGTCAACAACTATTCATTCAACTTCCTGTTTATTGCTACCATTTTAAGGACTTTTTCCCATTCAAAAGATATAATATTTTGTTTTATATTGTTAATCACTATGGAAACCGTCCTGATTTTTCTATCAATCTGAAAACCACAGATAGTCCCAGGCAGTGTACAATGAGATCTAAATCCCATGTCAACGTAAAGGGCCCATATTATACTTTTTTCTGATCTATGTTATAATATTGTTTCCTCATCACAAACATACATGGAGTTGTTTTGTTGTGTTGTTTTGTTTTGTTTCATTCACATGTTTACTGTGTTCCACCTGATGATGTCATGGGGTAATACAGAAAATGCTTCACTGTGTTTTTAAACTCCATACATCTTCACTAGAATCATTTGGATCATTTCAGCCCTTGAATCTCCAATCTCTTCTAAACAAAAGGTCAAAAGTAGCTGTTAACTTGAAAACCTAAAAAAAACATAATAATTTGAAAAAACTGAGGCACTCATAAAGTACAAAATAATTAAAAGCCTTTAATACCACATGGCATATAAAGTTTAAATCACGCCAATGTATTTTGGCCCTTCGGCCTTCATCAGGGCAAACTCAAGATGGCTGTTACCGTGCAGATTTAAAGTCATAGGTGTAGGTCACATGTTCACTGTGGGCTGACTCACAGTCCCCTGGTGCATGATGGGGCATGTAGGCTGCACAGATTTTAGTTACAAGCTATTTCAAATAAGATATAATACAAGATATAATTCCCAACAACCAATACATAGAAAGATACATAGTATAAATATATATATAGTGCAAAAATTCAGAAGTGCTACAGATACGACATGTATAATTTGTATAATATATTAGAGGACTAGTTAGTTACCTAAAAAACATGCACCAGGTACTACAGGTGGAAATGAGCTCTAGTGCTACAATCTGGCTCTCCTGTTAAGCTTAATGTACATTCTGCACTATCTCTGTCTTATAAATAAACTAAATAAATAAATAAACAAAATTGCACACTTCATTATATCACAAGGTGGAACTGATCATTTTGAGCTTTGGAGATGTGACCAGACTAATAATAAGGGGTTACTCAAACAACAACAAAAAACTCCAGGTATGTTTTTGAGGAAGTAACAGCATTAGAACATGGCTTTAAGCTCACAAGAGTCAATTTTGCACCATGCAAGACCTATAAAGAGGGGGGGGGTTACTTTAAAGGGGTATTAACTGCTAACCCATAACATATTTAGATCACCGTGTTATCTCTTCATACTGCCAACCGTTACGAGGGTTCGAAAAATGTCTCAATTCTAAGCACGTCTTTCTCTCTCAGTTGAATGAGCTAAAGCCCTTTTGGCCGTGTCCCAGCTCTGTGTTCAGTGTCAGTATTGTGTTCAGTATTTAAGCTCTGACGCCCTCCAAGAATCTGTGTCAATACAAAGAGGCTTCGAACAATGTAGGCTGCCATAGAACAAGTCGGTTATATGTTCATGTACAGATCACAGCTTTGTTTCCTTGGTTTATGCAACATTTGATGACACTGGATTCTTAAATAACAGACACTGGCTACATATACATGGTCAGAAGAAATCAGAAAACTTGAATGATCAGATAACCCAATAATTAGATTTGACTGTGGCGTGTGTTTACAGCACAAGAGAAATCTCATGTGGGATGGTGTGAACAATCAGAAAGAAAGCAGATCACACACATTAGATTGAACTGTTGACATCTCAGTAATCTGATAACTCCCGAAATCAGATCATGGTCAGATTTTGGTGTGCAAGTAAACAAAAAAAAAAGTTCTCCACATTTTAGTTTTACCCTGACTAATAAATAATCTGGTGCAATCATTTAGTATTTGTCTCACAATGAAAAAAATCCAATGTTGCAACAGAGCACAACAACAGTAGAACAAGGATATGCAATCAAAATAAAGACAACTAACTAACTAACTAACTAATGAAAATACCAAACACCATATTCTTGTTTCCATGGCAATAAAGAAGATCAGTTTAAAGCCATACACTGCGACAAAGCAATTACATCTCCATGTATCCATCTCTCATTCGGACTGTGTATCTGTTCACTCCTCTAGCCTGAGTCTTTGCGTTTGTTTTTGTGAATGGCCGTTATAAGCTGCCCTGCTCCAGTCATTGAAAGAACAGGCCACAGTGTGCTCTGCTCTAAGCTCAGGTAAAGGGTTTGCTGCTGTCAATCCAATCAAAGCAGTAATCTGCACCAGTACCAGTACTGGACTACAGCATCAAACATAGCTACACTTGGGTGCCACATAGTTACACTTACTCTTAAAGCATGAACAAAGACTTTCCATAGAAAAAGAAAGGTGAAACCATACTTCAGAACATTATGCAAGGAGATATATAAGTTTTATAGATACTGTAGAATGTTATAGCGGGGAGGAAGAGGTCTCCTCTAGGAGCACAGAGCTCGCACAGAGCAAGGACGTGTGTTTTTCTAGATTTGTCAGAAAAATCATGCTTTTATTTTTTGACAAAAACATTACATATACTATGCAACAGGTGGAACGTATGTCACCTGCTTGTCTCCATGGTGATGTTATTGCTGTGCCAGGAATGTTGCACAGTATAGTGTTAGTTTTATCTAAGATTAGATTTGATCTATCCCCATTTAGAAGCAGGTTACAGCAAAGCAAGTTACAAGTTACAAGTCATCTCTGTTGGTCTTCAAGTTGTTTTTGAGCAATACAAACATCTGGAATGAAATAAACGCAAGATTGATGCCATACTGTGGAACTTTCCAGCCACAGCACTAACTTCATAAAGCCAACCAAGTTACATGCCTTTAGCACCTTTAAAGAGCAGAACAGCTCAAAAAGATTTGAAACACTGGAAATAAACTGTTCTATTCAATGTAATTAATACATGTTTTTGTGAATGAAAATGACCGTACATAAAAAAAAATAATAATAAAAAGTATTTACATTTTTGGAATTAAAATTATAGGTTGTACTTACGATCCAAGCTCCTCCATAAACTCAAAGACCTCCTGTATGTTTTCGGTGGTCTTCTTCCACACATAGTCGGCCTCCTGTCTGCCCATGTCTGCAGCGCCTCAACAGGGATTTCTGACAAAACGACCAAAACAAACAAAAGATGCTATCATCAGTTAATCCTGCTTCACATCAGATGAGGTCAGCCATATTGAAGTCTTCATCATCAGAAAGTCATAGTGGATTACAGTATGGGTCATGGTCCAGACTGCAGAGCTGTGCACCTGTGCACCTGTGCACCTGTGTACCTGTCTGCTCTGATGCTTAGACTGTCTGTGCTAACGCTAACGCTACACAAAAGGTTAGTGCTAATCCGTCTAACTAGCACACAGGAAAGGACAGGAGCCAAGCCGGGCTCATACTCAGGCAGAGACAGTAAATATACTGGCGTCCCATATAGAGATGAGCAACATACTGTCTACAAGATAATAGAGAAATGTATGTTTTGGACATATGCAAAATAATTATATCATGTACAGAATCTAAAATAAGAGAACTGTTAAAAAGCTGATAAAAAGTTAATACAACCATTCACTTTTTGTGAGACTGTAAAATTATCATCTTTGTCTCACAGTAATTTTAACAATAAGAATAAGGATGCACCGATCCAGCTTTTTCAATTCAAATACTGATTCTGATACTATAGATGTAAGTAGCTGCTGATGCCGATATCAACCGATAACAGTGCAGAGACTGAAAACAGCATTCGTTTACTTAAAAGTAAAATAAAATGAGACAAAACGGATCCAAATGTGATATGTAGCTGTTATCTATCTCTTAAGTAACTACAAAACAACTTTGTATAAATAAAAGTTCAAACATTATGAGACTTTTTGGGCCAACTAGTGTACATGTCCAACCAGAAGCAGTATAAATGTGGTTAAAAGCAATAGCTACCTGCCTCTAGACATTAAAGTTCTGATATTTCTTGTCATATATTAATACCACAGTGTGAGGAATGGGATACAAATTCAGTATGCAAAATACATAAACACTGTGTGGACTGAATAATGAGATGAAAAGGTGATCCATCAGGAGTTATCTAACACAGGTCCGTGCTGAGGATTATCTGCACCTGAGGGAAGGCGTAACACTGTTCTTATATAAGAGATTACAGACTGACTGTTGATCTGACCACACACACAGAACTAAAGCCACAGTGAGGAACATGTGGCAATGGTCTGATGCAACTCTCCTTCCATGAGTTACAGGCTTTGCCTAAAATGTCCCACAGTATGGTATTAATCCCATCTATCTCTATGGAAGCAAGCGGGTAACACCACCAGGCTGAGTTACAGGTCTAATCTGCAGAGAGGCGACCCTGCTCAAAGTAAGATTTTGAGCACTGATAACAGCCATAATGAAATGAATGAAAGAAAGATGAGTTTAATGTCATAGGACCAATTTAGGTAATTAAGCAATGACATCCCCATAGACATCTGAGTTATAGACACTTTCACTTAGACATAATATGAAAATGTGTAATATACAGCCAGTGTTTGTAAAAAAAAAATATCAATTACACATTACTTGTTAAAAATATTGCCCTATATATGTTGATGATGATATTGCAAACTACAAGTATTTTGTAAAAACTGCAATTTAATTACAAGCATTTTCACAGTAATGTGTTATTATTCTATTACTATTATTACTATTATATTCTATACTAGTTATTTCTAAGTATTACACATAAATTAATTATTTATAATGAATTAACTACCCTCAACACTGTATACAATATAGCGTTCAAATGTGCACCTCAGCATTTCAAACAGATACATAAAGTTTAGCAGCAGTTACTGATGACAGTGTTGCCTCTGCATGGGCTTTGTTGTGGTGCTGATGCGCAGGCGCAATAGCCCTTAAACCTCTACGTATAAACTGAGGTATTCCCGCTCACTCGGGTTCTCTCGTCCACTCTCTCATTAAACAGAGACGACCCTCCTCCTCCTTAATCTCACCTCTCCTCATTCACCTCGGTTGGTTACCAGGATAAGTGTGTGCCTGTCTCTGCGTAAAGCCCATATCCGAGCCTATCTGTAACTGCATTCATTCAGAAATACTGCGGAGTGCGGCGTTTGCTGCTGCGACGTCTGGTACAAATGATTTCCTTGTGGCGCAGTGTTTACAGGCAACACCAGGGGGCAGCAGTGTCAGTGGTGCAGTGGTCAATTATTCAGAACTTTTTGTACCCTGTTGACAACCTGAAACACGGACGCTCAAATGTATTGTTGTATAAACGTAACCTGTTACCCCGTGGAGCCCACTTTCTAAACTTAAACCGTTCTTTTGCTTTGAGGATGCCTTAAGAGCCACAAGTTCCCAGCATCCTCCGCGCATCACCATCATTAGTGCTGCAGTATACGCGCGACTGCCAGAGCAACGTATTATAAAAAGGGAAATATGGAGCAAAATGCAACACGTAGGCTAACCACTGCAGAATGACGCTGCTCCTACATAATGCGACGTAAAGAGTGGCTATAATATCTAATTAGAAAGATGGATATATTTAGTGCATTATTAAGTTCTTGTGCTGAGTGTAGCTGCACGTAAAGCCTATTTATGTGTTTCATCTTTCTGTGATATATAGGCTACAACATTTTGAGGACTTATCCCGTTCAACAGATATTAAATTTTATTGTTAATTGTTAATCTGAGGCAACGGTCCTAATTTGTCTCTACTGTATAAAACGTGACTTGAATAGAAAGCGGCATAACATAAATTAATAAAAGGAGCCAAACGACCGATTTGAATCCTGGTTTAGTCCCAGTTTGGACTCGGTTTTGTCGGTGTCAAGTCTTGGTTTAGACCCGGTTTAGTCCAAAATTAGTCCTGGTTTGGTACTTGGAAAACTGTAGCGCGCTATAGAACCTGTACATGACTTGAGTGCTTAAGTAGGGTGTTTAAAATCTGCATAGGCTACGCATGGCAAATCAATAATAAATGGTAGCAGAGATGAACGATCAACGCACTTAACCAAACAGACAGTGAATCAAAACAACCTTAAAATATGAAATGAACAACGTTTTGAGTTGCGCGGTGCATAGAAAGAAAAGAAAGGTCATTAATTAGAAAAAATTTAGGTTTCTTACCGAGAGAGCGAAAGCAGTGCGCGCTCGGCTGTGCTCTGACTCGCCTGTGGGAGCTCGGTGCAGCGGTGGAGAGGACCGAAGACTGCGGTGGAGGTGTGGAGACGGTGGAGAGACTGGAGAGACTGGAGCTAGGAGGACGCATGTGGCACCCAGGAGACACGAGACGCGAGGAGGAGGGGCCGAGGCACGCGCAGGTGCTCACAGAGGCGCGCGTGCAACAGGCGGTGAGGGAGAGTAACAAGGTCACAAAAGGTTTTTATATTTATTGTTGTCGTTTCAGATAAAATAGTAACAATGTGTAAGTCATTAAAGGGACAGTCCGGAATTTTGGACATAAAACCTCATTTCCTAGTGAGCCAGAGTGTTGGAGACGTGTGGAGACACTTTTTAAAAATATTCCATCCAGGTCTTGTATTTGCAGAGGTCGCTGGTGCTAGGCTAGCACATGTCAATGGCCATAGTTAGCCTGCCTTACCCATGCACAAAACACCCAAAGCAAAACTATTATTACTCCAGACTGTCAATGTAAATGTCTGTGTCAATAGAATAATTTTAGAAGTAAACAAACCGTGCATTTGAAGGATTTATGTCTGAGCAGCAGCAGTGAGTTGTACTTCCTGACAGAAAGCTTGGCAGCGGCGGACTGATATCACGTAGCATCTATCTTACCGGCAAAGTAAAATTCTGCTTCTGCTGAGAAAATAGTCCCTCAACATGTGGCGATTCATGCGATGCAAGGTTAGTTTTATTTCAAACATTATTCTATCAACACAGACATTCACATGGACAGGCTGGTGTAATAACAGATTTGCTTCAGGTGTTTTGTGGAGTGGGTAAGACTGTTTTTAGTGGCAGGATAACTATGGCCATTGACATGCGCTAGCCTAGCACCAGCGACCTCTGCAAATACAAGGACTGGATGAAATATTTTTAAAAAGTGTCTCCACATGTCTTCAACACTCTGGCTCACTAGGAAATGAGGTCCCACAATTAAAAAATATATAATGATAATAAGCTTGAAATGTATGACATAATTTCATTCTAGCTGAATTCTGAAACCACCAATAGTCTACACAGGGATTGTTGATTGAATTCTTGAAAGTGAGGTCCAGAATGTTGTGTCCTATGTGCTTCTATATTCTTTATCTTTCAGTGGTCCGTGTTAAGGGGACAGCCCACTCAGACACAGGGAGAACATGCAAAACTCTGCACTGAAAGGTACAAACTAAGAATCAAACCCAGGACCTTCTTGCTGTGAGGTGAGAATGCAAGCCGGGCAAAGTTCCATAGTGTGTCTTTAACTCAGGTAATAGGGTAATGGGTGTCTGCAGCATGAACAAAAGGCGGAACAGGTGTGTGAATGTGTGTCTCACATGCTCATTGTCTGGTTGTGTGTCCCAGGGGCAGATGAGCCCTGAGCCGTCCACTCATCAGAACATGGATTTGCAGGACATGATCTGAGTCTTATATTCGTGTGAGACATACACATTCATTCAGATACACATAGTTTCATAGCATTTTGTTGACTTCTTTTGTACATTTTTAGACCTGGTTTAGACCTGTTTTCAATTGGTCCTGGTTAATTGCTGAGTCAGACTTGGTTAGAACTGGTTTAAGATGGGTCTAATCTTGCTTATTATGTTCTATTGACAGAAGTGCTTTGTGTTTTTGTGTCTTTGTCAGTTAAATTTTCTGTGTGACAATAAGTGGCACTGATAAATTACTTGTGTACCTGTGTTAATTCTTATATTAAGAAGTATACAGTGCATATACTCTTAGATTCCAAATAACCTTTGTTATAACCTTTGTTATGAGCAAATATTATAAGAAATACTTTTGTATTCTTTGTTTAAAAAAACAAACAAAACATAAATAAATCAATACAAAATTGTGAGTCAAAAAATCACACTTTATTACACATCCACTAAAAATCGGTCTGATCTTGTCCTCGTGGACCCAATCTTCTCAGATCATCGTGTGGGAAACGTGTCTTGTCCCTCTTCTATACTTTCTTGAAATCTTCTTTTTGCTGTGTAGCCCTTATTTAGACCTGACAAAGTCCTGAATTAATCCTGGTTTAGTCCTAATTTAGTTTTGGTTTTGTCCTGGTTTAGTCCTCTGTTAGTCCTCAGTTAGTCCTTGTCTCTCTCTCTGTCCCAGTGAATCAGCTTCATTCTGCTCACTCATCATTGTGTTGATCTAAATACAGAGGTCTAATCTGTTTATGGGTCTCTTATCCACGTGAGACATGTCTGAGCACTTGTACAGACAGAACATGATGTTGTCTGATCTGCTTCAGTCCTGTTATTGTCAAATGTCCTCTGCATTTGACCCATCCTTCAGTGTCTCTGGGTTAAACCTTATCTGAATCAGGAGTAGTTATAGGTGAAGCCAAGACAAAAGATAGAAAAAAAATGTCCACATTTTAACAGCTGTGGCTGTAGGGGTTTTGTAGACTTTATATGGGACAACAGCAGAAGGGAAAAATGAATGAGTTAGGTGAAGATCCATCAATTTTCTGCTGATTTATTCAAGGCCTGGTTGCGGAGGCAGTAATCTGAGCAGAGAGGCCAAGACTTCTCTTTCCACGCACACTTCCTCCAGCTCTGAGACTCCAAGGCATTCCCAGGCCAACCCAGAGAGACAGTCCCTCAAGCGTGTCTTAGCTCTTCCCTGGGGCCTCCTCCCTGGGGGACATGCTCGAAACACCTCTCCAGGGAGGTGTCCAGGAGGCATCCGAAACAGATGCTCGAGCCACCTGAGCTGGCTCCTCTTGTCGTGGAGGAGCAGTGGCTCTACTCTGTGCTCCTCTCATGTGACTGAGCTTCTCACCCTATCTCTACGGGAGTGCCCAGCCATTCGGTGGAGGAATATAATTTCAACCACTTGTATACGTGATCTTGACCTTTCTATCATTACGCAAAACTCATGACCATAGGTGGATCCATGGATGGATGGGTTGAAAAAGGCAGATTAAACTCAGAGCCCAGGGAACAGAGGGACAACAATACATGTACTCTATGAAAACCACCAATAGGATGCAGTGACGTTATCTATCCCAAGCTGTAGTTCTCTGATCCTAACAGTCCAATTTAAGAAATCAGTGTAGTGTCATGTCTGGATGTTTGGTCGTGCACCTGCCTCAAATCGAACCCTCGACTCAGCAGCTGGCAGCATCAAAACACAAGGTCAACCAATCAGACTGAAGCACATGCCACAAGAGGATTATACAGGAAAATAATAGACCACTCTCATTATAGTACACACAGGACACACAGAGCACACAGTATACACAGTACACACAGTACACACAGTACACACAGTACATACAGTACACACAATACATACAGAACACACAGCACACACAAGACACATAGAGCACACAGTACAGCACAGTACACGCAGTACACACCGGACATACAGTACATACAGAACACATGGAACATACAGCACATACAGAACACACAGGACACACCGTACATACAGAACACACGGGACACACAGTACACACAGAACACACAGTACATACAAAACACACAGGACACAGGGCACACAGAACACACAGGACACTAGACAACAGCCCTCTTCAAGTCCTTGTCCAGTTCAATAAAAGTCAATAAGGTTCTAGTATTGTCTCAATAATGTAATTTGAAATACCAATTTTAAAACTACAATGATTATTAAAGGTGAATTGTGCAACTTTTCTGGTGGAGGTTCCAAATGTTTTTCTCCATGAAGATGTAGACAGTATGGTATTAAATCTGTCTATCTCCATGGAGACCAAACCAGACCACATTACAGGTCAGATCTATGGAGACCTTTTTGGTGAAAATCAAACACCTAAACAGGACCGTGGAGGTATTGATCACACGCTCCCGAAAATGTGCTGTCTAAATCCATTTTGTGTAGGGGGTGATGGTGCTGTGGAGGGGGGTGATGGTGCTGTGGAGGGGGGTGATGGTGCTGTGGAGGGGGTGATGGTGTTGTGG